TAATATCCAGGTGTCTGGGTTGTATTTAATGTCTTAGTTACTCTAGTGATTATCTTTTTCAAACGCTTTTAAAGTTGGGGCTTTGGCAAGTTCTTCAGGCAAAGAGTTTCAGAGCTTGGCCTCTGAAGGCCAAAGTAGTTTTGTTGTGCCTTTTTACATGGTCTTGAAACTAGCAGTTTGTATTTATGGCCTCTGGTTATCCCATCTGGGGCAGGTTTCAATATTCCCATGGATGCTTAAGTGTCATAGACCTCATGGAGGATCTTAGAAGTCTTAATCATATCTCCTCAGGTGTGTCCGTGTGCTGGTGCTGCTAACATAATTCTATTAGCTGTTCTTCATAGCTCTGGTCATGCAAACAGAAGACTTGCTTAGTTGTTCTGCGCTGTACATTCTCAACTGTGTTTTCGTCTTGCTTCTTATAAGGAAACCATATGACATTTCCAAATGTGGTCTTACAAGTGCTGTGTAAGTTGCTTGAAGGAGTGCTTGTCTAGATATTGGTATGCCTTTCTTATGGATCCCATTGTTCTATTGACTTTCAAAACTGCATAGCTCAAATGGGCTTCAAATGATAACTTACTGTCAGAGGATCACACTAGTGTCTTTATCTTTTGATGTCTTGATCAGTGTGTGGTTATCAGCTGGACCACTCAGCTGGGTAGTACAGTTTTGTTGCCCATGTATGGTTTCCAGGCATTTTTGATTTGATCCCATGTTATTATTTATCAGTTCTATTATAACATTTGTATACAAACATTGAAGATTAAACCCTGATAGAAAAGAGAGAGAGTTTTGTTAATGTCTTCTAGCCACTTAAATGGGAAACTTTTTCATCACATAAACTTAGTGTATTATGACCTAAAACAAAGAACAAGACTTTAACTTTTCACAATTCATTGGCTGTGAAACTGTGGGTGTAACAGATTAATACACAAGCTGTATTTGTCTTAAAAAATCACCCAGACTTACAAATGAATGGAATTCACACACTGCATTCAAAGTATTTTCTTTCAGTTCAGATGGAATTCTTGAATGTGAAAAGCAATGATCATTTTTACCATCAATCTAACAGGAAAATGTTTTGTTTTCTTTTAATATATATATTTTTTCATTTCACATCCACAGCATGAGTAAATGACATGTATGTACTGCTATATGATATAGTTAGGATACATGTAGAATCTCTAGGTTGTTCAGTATATAATTTTTAACATTTACTTTCCAGATATAAATGAATTGAATCTCCCCAAAACATGTGACATAGATTTTCCAGATCTAGATGACCTGCTCAACTTTAAACTTATCATTTGTCCTGATGAGGTAAGACTGAGAGCATGTGTAAATTGCATTTTAAGTACATGTAATTACTGGGTACATTTACAAAAATTCATTGCAGTGCAACTGAGAGGAAATCCTATATTNCCCCCCCCCCCCCCCTCCTCCCAATTCAATTAACCTAACAAGTACATATACGTGCCTTTTGAACCTATTAAAAACAAAACCCATCAACACAGCCACTCAATGACAACCTGGATCTATACAGCTATCAATATGCTGTACATAAAATTTCCCATTAAAAGCACAGTATTTGTTAAGTTTACTTAACCATGTCAGTGCAAACATTTCAACATACACTTACTTAACTTGAAGTGCACTACATACAAGCATCACTTTCCTTTGTAGCACATGTATACACTGCTGTTATATTCATAAGCCAAAATTTCCATAAAATTTTCATTCATAATCCCAAATGAGTGTATTTGTGGTGACAATATGGACATTTACTCTCATAATGAAGATATTTACAACCTTTCCATATTTAACCCGTAGCATACCATTATGCTCATACTATAGTATTTAGTGTCACAGATGTTACAAATTACACAAATAAAATGTCTTTTATCTGATCCTGAGTTAACCTTAACTGATACCATATATCCTCCACTAACATGAACCCTGACTTAACACTGACCTGGATTTAAATGGGTATGACAGCTTTCTCTAATTGAGCACTATACTCTTTCTGCTGTAGGCGACAGCTAGCTAGAGCACAGGATGCTATGAGGTGTTTTTTTTAAACCTGCATTATGTTCGATATCTCAGTTAACCCAATTTTGAGGAATCCCATGTTAGGTAAAGACTATAATGGTCCCTTTACTATAAAAGCTCTCAAAAGTCCCCATATGCCTCAGCTACAACTAGGAATTATGTGCCATTAAATAATGCTATAACTTGTTTTCTAATGTAGAACACTGAGAGTACATGTACCTGTGCCATGTTTGGATAATTGTTGGGTACTTCCATGATTTACCAGCAAAAATCCAAATTAAAATAAAAAAAAAGCACCTGAATATACCTACCACAGTTATGAATCTGGATGTCCTCCACATTGGCATGATTAATGGACTATACAGTGAAACAACCATTTCTGTGACAGCACTTCCGTACATAAATCAGGAGAATGGAAGAGACTGGCTATTACTGGTTTTAAATAGCTTCTGGCTTTCAAGATCCTAGTTATTATAATATCTTCTGAGACATGCTAACAATCTGCACCTTAGGCTTTTTAGTCACTGATCACTCACACTAATGACCTTAGCAAACTTCTAGCAAGAAACAAAATGAACTATTCAAAGATGAAGTAAATGAAGGTCACTGTGAGAGTTTGTTGCCAATTATTTATCAAATACCTTTTACTAACATCCAATGTTGTAGACTATACTCTTTGGTCTAAATTGTACTTTGTTTTCTACATCACGGAAGGTTAACGCCATATTATATAATGAATAACACCGGCTGTTTTCCAGTATTTTAATCCTAAACTAAAAAGTTGTCACTGCCATAGTTCGGTTAGTTGTTTGCTAGAGTTATGTTTGTTTGTCTTACATAAGATCATGTTGGTATGAACTTTTGAAAAAAAATAGATTTGAAAATAAACCCAATCTGCCAGCAGTCTAGTAAGCATACTGAATGATACAGGTACATATACACCAACTTATTTCAATTCATTGTGTTATTTCTTTCAATTTCATTATGCAGCATGCACTGCCAATGTTTATTTTTTGTTATATTTTCTTTGTCTGCCCTTGTGAGCTAAACACATATGAAACTTATTACTGCAATAAGAACTGGAAATACTTTTCATTAAAAAATTAACTATAAGCAATTATATTGAAAAAAAAAAGTTATTGTGAGAAACACCCAAACATTCAATTTATTTGAAGCTTTTAAAATATTTTTTCTCCAATTTTTGCAAGAATTATGTAAAAATTGCACTTCCTTGGTCATTAAAATTTTAAAATACAGTACAGAACATCTAGATATAATTCATTAAATCATTTTTATTATCATCTGAGATATTTGGGAAGTGTTCAACTGCCAATGATATTTTCATTGCTTAAGAGAATTTGTAAATACTCACTGATAAATCCATTCCTGCATTCTGATTCATACAGTATATTTTTCTTAAATGAGACAAACTTTTCAGAATCTCAGAAAATGTGTTAGATATTGCAGGTTCATGGAACTTCTAAGATCTATATACTGCAGGACCCGCCAACGTAATTGCCGGTCCAAATATATATATTTTCTTTCTGAGACACAATCACTTAATGGTATTGGGGTTTCTGTTCATTTAACTGTTCATTTGCTTAAATTCATTTCAACAATTTATTTTATTAATTCTATCTGCGATCTTCCTACCAAATTGAGTTTTCTGCAAAAAAAAAAAAAATAATAATAATAAATAAATAAATAAATAAATAAATAAATAAATAAATAAATAAGGCAATTTTCTTCTATCAAAGATCATTCAGTGACCCATCCCTGCACCTGGAATTGTAGCATGAAAATTCATGCATTAGCACTCCTATTGACGATTCTGATATGTACCGTCTGTGCTAGATATCGTCAATAGTCAATCGTCAATAGGAGTGCTAACGCATGAATTTTCGTGCTACTGTAATTGATGTTTTATTTGATTTCTAATCAATTTTTTTAGTTTTAGGATAAATTATTATAACTTTGAAATATTTTCAGACTTGACCAGTATACCACTTACTATATCATGCAAAATCTTTTCAACTCTCAAGAACTTAGTAATAGCTGATAATTTATATTCAAGTCAGAAGCTAGAAGTTATTGCTGGTCATTTGGGCCAATATGTAAATCATTTAAATGCACAAAATCAAAATTGCCACTTCAAAAATACTTGGTATTTGGGCAGCCAGAAGTGGAAAAGTTTCACCATACCCAGAACTTTCCCACAATCAAAGCAATGACAAATGCGCCAGTATAAATCCTTCCAATCAGCCTGAACTTGTCTCAGAGTTACTGTAACTTTACATGTACACGGTAAGTGTAACTGTAAGACCCAATTTAATCAGTCTACTCCATGTACTTTGACTTGAGCTGGCAAAGTCTGAACTTCTAAAACTGACATGGAAATATGTCTATAGGGAATAACGCCTTCACTGTTTTAAGCTGACAGTTACGGGCACGCCTATATCATGTCTACACATTAACAAAGGTACTGGTGTGGCAAGGCCAAGGTCTCTGAAGTGCGTTTCCAAGTGCATTATTTACAAATATAAATCGCATAACGTTTAAAGCTGTGGAAAATCACATGATAATATATTACATCAGACTCTAAGCCTACCTTCTTTTGTGTTTCCAGGAATATTCCATCGATCTCCTTTATGCTTTCTTTAACACGCAAACTGCAAGAAGCTAGTCAGTCTAGAACTAATTCAGTTCATCACGCTTCCGCCTCGATGAAGCAGCACTCGAACTCAACGTACAAAGTCACTCTTAATTTGGTGTATGTTTACTTATGAAGACTCACTCAATTCTGCTAACTGATTTTCTCAGAAAAGTGTCAACTTATCATGAAAAATTAAAGTGATATTTTGTATGCTACTATAGTTTTATATCTACATTAATCTTTTTAACTTTTGATTATTAGGTATCGAAACTAATTAACATGTTAGTTTCAGCTCTGTATTAGAAATCTGCTGGTTCGTCGCTGAGTCTTTTTACATTAAGGAACTGCACCAAATCTACTTTTTCATAGCAATGATCAGGTTATTTTCGCTAAAACAGCAAAAGAAGGATGGTACTGATCCAGGTGCTAAGCCCGGAAGTCAAAAGAAAGCCTCAGCTGCACAGTTAAGAATAGCAAAAGGTAGAGTGTCACTTGATCATGTTGAATGAGGAAAAATGCCATTTTTAGATATGACAAAATATATCTGATTCAGTATTTGATTTCATTTTTGGACGACCGTCAAAATGCCCACTATTATGTGTTATTGCTGAAATTGTCACGCCTAAAATTCATTATTGATTAAATGACACGGGTTTTGATTTTTAGCTACTGTGATAAATACATGATAAATGCTTAAAATACCTATGGATACATAAGCAGATACTGGACGCTGGTTCCTATGAAACCTCAATATCCAGATCTTCTTCAAATTTGTCCAGAGACTTTGGGTCATCAAACATGTTTTCTTCTGGTAATATCCAGGTGTCTGGGTTGTATTTAATGTCTTAGTTACTCTAGTGATTATCTTTTTCAAACGCTTTTAAAGTTGGGGCTGTGGCAAGTTCTTCAGGCAAAGAGTTTCAGAGCCTGGCCTATGAAGGCCAAAGTAGTTTTGTTGTGCCTTTTTACATGGTCTTGAAACTAGCAGTTTGTATTTATGGCCTCTGGTTATCCCATCTGGGGCAGGTTTCAATATTCCCTTGGATGCCTAAGTGTCATAGACCTCATGGGTGATTTTATAAGTCTCAATCATATCTCCTCAGATGTGTCCGTGTGCTGGTGCTGCTAACATAATTCTATTAGCTGTTCTTCATAGCTCTGGTCATGCAAACAGAAGACATGCTTAGTTGTTCTGCGCTGTACATTCTCAGCTGTGTTTACGTCTTGCTTCTTATAAGGAAACCATATGACATTTCCAAATGTGGTCTTACAAGTGCTGTGTAAGTTGCCTGAAGGAGTGCTTGTCTAGATATTGGTATGCCTTTCTTATGGATCCCATTGTTCTATTGACTTTCAAAACTGCATAGCTCAAATGGGCTTCAAATGATAATTTACTGTCAGAGGATCACACTAGTAAGTGTCTTTATCTTTTGATGTCTTGATCAGTGTATGGTTATCAGTTGGACCACTCAGCTGGGTAGTACAGTTTTGTTGCCCGTATATGGTTTCCAGGCATTTTTGATTTGATCCCATGTTATTATTTATCAGTTCTATTATAACGTTTGTATACAAACATTGAAGATTAAACCCTGATAGAAAAGAGAGAGAGAGTTTTGTTAATGTCTTCTAGCCACTTAAATGGGAAACTTTTTCATCACATAAACTTAGTGTATTATGACCTAAAACAAAGAACAAGACTTTCACTTTTCACAATTCATTGGCTGTGAAACTGTGGGTGTAACAGATTAATACACAAGCTGTATTTGTCTTAAAAAATCACCCAGACTTACAAATGAATGGAATTCACATACTGCATTCAAAGTATTTTCTTTCAATTCAGAATGTGAAAAGCAATGTTCATTTTTACCATCATTCTAACAGGAAAATGTTTTGTTTTCTTTTAATATATATATTTTTTTTCATTTCACATCCACAGCATGTACATGTGTGTACTGCTATATGATATAGTTAGGATACATGTAGAATTTTTAGGTTGTTCAGTATATAATTTTTAACATTCATTTTCCAGATATAAATGAATTGAATCTCCCCAAAACATGTGACATAGATTTTCCAGATCTAGATGACCTGCTCAACTTTAAACTTATCATTTGTCCTGATGAGGTAAGACTTGAGAGTATGTGTAAATTGCATTTTATGTACCAGTAATTACTGGGTACATTTACAAAAATTCATTGCAGTGCAACTGAGAGGAAATCCTATATTTTATGCATTTTTAAATATCTTTGATATACCTTAATTTTTTTTTTTTTTTTGATTCATTAATTAATTGTTTTAATGCTTTATTTAATGCATTAAAAATTATATTTATCTATATTTTATAGTACAGTTCAACATTTTTGGATGCTATGATTATTATGAAAGCTTTAATTGCAGTATTTAAAAACAGTGACAAATTGTATGGATATTTTCAAAATCTGAGTTCTTTTCTGATTAAAAAATTTGTTTGCTTTATTATTTATGTATAATTTTTTTATGGTTTTACTGCATACAAATAAATGGCAAAAACAGCATGTTTGATGCATATTGTATTGATGATTAAGTAATTGAATGTTTTTCTCTCTAGGGATTTTACCGAGGGGGACGCTTTGTTTTTAGTTTCAAAGTAGGACAAGGCTATCCACATGAACCTCCAAAAGTTAAATGTGAAACAATGGTTTATCATCCTAATATTGATTTAGAAGGAAATGTTTGTCTAAATATCTTAAGGTAGAGTGACTTTTTTGTTTTTCCATAAAGTAAATGCTTTCTGTAAAGTAAATGTGATGCATATGTTAGGCTTAATCTGTGTACTGAGGTTTCACATAAGATATACTAATCATCATCATAATAATAATACTTGTATATATATAGTGGCAAGAATGGCAGTGTCTTTTGAGAATATTTTCACTGTTTTATTGATTTTTCAGGGAAGATTGGAAGCCAGTTCTGACAATAAATTCCATAGTATATGGCTTGCAGTACCTATTCTTGGTAAGAAAAACCTCAGCTTAGTATATTTGGTGAAATCCCAATAACTAGTATAAATTTGTATTGCAAATTAAGGATTTTTCATTGTTCATGTTTTGTTTTGGCTTGAAAAGTTGAATAAAAAAATTGAAAGCAAAATCTACTTAAAACGTACCTATAAAGTACATAATCATAATCTTAATCATAATCACAATGTCTTAGTTAAGAGTGTCAAGTGTCAATACATCAATCCATACCTATCATTTTGCCTATTATAGGAACCTAATCCTGAGGATCCACTAAATAAAGATGCAGCAGAAGTCTTACAAAACAACAGACGTTTGTTTGAGCAAAACGTTGCCAAATCAATGCGTGGAGGCTATGTAGGATCAACATACTTTGAACGCTGTTTAAAGTAGTACTGCAAGTAAATAACAGACTACAAACCTGGAGATGATGCTTTTTAAAATCATCAACAGGTTGCCAAACATGGATGCGAAACATAAAGCCTGTATTGACATTACACTTTTTTATATTTACCTTTTACACCATTACAGTGCTTGTGAATGTTAATGAAAAGTGGATATGAGAAGATATCTTCTTCCAGAGTTAACTTGGCATTAAAAGAGGTGTATTGTGGTGCCTGCCTGTCGGACAAAGAAACTCATCACAAAATGCCCCTTATATTTATTTGTGTATCATATGATGCTGAAATATAGTTTTGGCTGCTTAAGTAGTTATAGAATGGAAAATTAGATTTATGCTTACTTCACTATTTGCTACTACAAACTTCAGCTATATCTGGTAAGTAATGATCAAGGAAGTTCCGAGGAGTTTAAAGAACTGTCCGATACTTGAACACAGTACAAGGATGATTCGGCTTTCATTCGTTGCTACATTAACTCAGTTCCCGTGATTTTAGATTTAGTAAACTGGTGCAATTGTCTAAGCTGTCACCATCTCGAACGTACATTTTTCCTAAAGGTGTCAGTGAATTTTGTTTGTGATATTTTTTTTCACTTTATCATCAGTTACGCACCTGGTTTATAATTTCTTAGAATATAACCATATTTTCAAAATTATTCAGATTAAGATTAAATCATGGAAGACATTTCATTACAAATAAATGTTTAAAATACCTAAGTTTTTTTTCATGCAACAATAACAAAACGGGTAATAGTTTCCTAACAGATGTACATCAACTTCCTTTGAACCCGACAAGGCACTTTTCCAAAACCAGTAGAGAACTCGGCAGCAGAGGACTCGGTTTGCTCGACTGTCCAAATATTTTAAATGTTTAAAGATGCCTAATAGATGGGACTCTTATTGCCAAGATCGACGTTGGCCAATGGCAGTGTTTTAGCACATTTACTCCTCTATGACGGCTACGATTTCAGGTAAAAAATGTATTGTGAGCATTTACGTCTGCTTACCTTTTTCCTTTCTTGTTAATAGGATATATCTGTTGAAAATGATTTTGGAGTGGAAATTTCCGCGAAAGAAAAAGAGCAAATGAAATTCTTCAGTTTGCGGTTTCGTGTCATTTATTAGCCTAAATTTTGAAACGAATACATTTGCTGATCAAGATATTAAATTTAACAAACGCACGGGTGGAAAAATATAGAATCAGGAACATACGAATTGAATGCATGCGTGCAAATAATGATTGGGGTGTAGTAAATTGTATAAATATAAGTTTGTTGAAAATGACAACTCTTTAAATCAATATATATTTATACATAAATAAGATGTCGAACACCGGCAACGACATATCTCCAATTCGCTACGACAATCCGAAATAACAGGACATAAACGGTCATCACAAAGCTTGTACCTTATTTGTCCATTAGTCAAGTGACATTGTAAAAATGACAACCCGATTGAAGTCCACGTAGATGCTGGGAGATTTGCAGCGACTTACAACTCTTGTCTTCACTTATGACCATTCACAGTAACGTGCGACAACGGCGGAAAATCTACCGAATTCGAAGTTGATGTCACTTTTGGCGACGTATTTGAATCGGCTGCAGCTTTTACTGGCTTTGCTTGTTCCTTCTGTTTGCTGTTTTTTGAATTGACGATATCTCCTTTCTTTGGGGTTGTGCCCTTTTTCTTTTCATTTTGGCTTGATCCGGACTTAGTTTTCCGATTTTGATAACGCGTTCGACTCGCAGCTGGAGACATGTCATCTTCCTAAATGTAGAAAATAATGTTGAATGAGTTTAAAAGCGTCTTATAACTTGACGAAAATTGTTTTAAGTTAAAGAAATTGGATGACAGTCTGTTTATCACTTAAACGCGTCTCTTCAGACCGACCATTTAGAGCCTCTAACCATGGCGACACTTTCTTTCAGATCAGGAAGGGAATCTTTTTCCGGCACTGAATAAAAAATTAATTTTAATCTTTTCAATTTTCACACTCAGTGACACCCAATGTACTAGCAGTTTCCTTAATTCCCACAAGCAGTAAAATTATTTTTTTCTCACCTGAAGATCGACGTCGCTCTCCGTCTCTCCTTCCTGGTATTCCAGGCTATCGTCTGCGATCCCTTCACGCGACGGCTGTAAGAGTAAGACGGTCATTAACCTTAACTACTATTTCAAACATCGCATAAATAAGCTAACACACTTTGAAATTGCATAAATGGGTGCCGTTATTTCTGACTAAAAATCATCAGTTCTGTTGAGAAATATTGCCAATAAAGGCGACTGCACTGCCCATCACTGATTTCTCTTTAGGTAATATAAAGTTGACTACGAACAATACTTCTTATATAAACCGAAATATGTCTTATTTAGCACTAATAAAACAACAAAAAAAAGACCATGTCGATTATAAATACGAAACCTCATAATCGGGATCTTCCTCCGAAACATAGTCATCATCATCATAAAAGTCATCATCATCAGAGTATTCCGAGTCGCTTTCGCTTTCGATATCATCATGCTTTCGTTTCCTTTCTGCGTCGTCACTGGCAGAACAGGGTCTTTGGTCGACTTCTTGAAAGTATCCAGAAAAGACAAAAAAAAAACACTGATGTCTTTTTGTAATGTTATGTACACTAATTAAAAAATGTAAATATAATAATACTAATTATAATTATTATTATTATTATTATTATTATTAATGACGATGCATCACCCAAAAGTTTGGTGCCATATTTTATATGTAGCGTAACTCACAGAGTAGTCTCGAAAATACACAAATTGCATAAACAGGCTACATTTTTTACCTCCCTCCTCGCTGCCTAACTGGCGGCGAATCCGAACGGGTTTAGAAAGCTCCTTTTTCCCTTGCCCAAACGAGAAGACAGAAAGTACGGCACCAGCCAGTCGTTGATAGAAAGGACGTTTTGGGAGTCGCTTTTTTGGGGAAACTTTCCTCCTTCTCTGGATTTCGGCAAGTTTCTGTGGCGATACGTGTGTAGACGACCATACTTTGCCGTATTCCATTTGATGCAAGAAGTCTTGAATGGCCTTCAGTATCTCGACCTGAAATTGCGATGATAAACTTTAAAAAATAATAAAAGTTCTATAGCAGTTTATATTAGAAAATTTTATTCACACTGGTATTTCTAAAATGAAGACCTAGCAAACCCATGCTAAAATTAGTGTTTTTCTGTTGGTGTAAATTTTTTCTGTTACCATATATGTGCTCATATATACACAAATCCAACGTCTGACACTTACCGCGCAGCGAAGAGGGTACGTTGCAAAAGTGAGCAAGTGGCTTCGCACGTCTTCACTCTGAAAGAAAGGAATTTAGAAATTGCTATAGTACACTTCCTATTCTCAACAAAACTACAAAATAATAGTTATTATTATAAAATAAAAGGAACAGAAATATATATATTTATGTATAGCTTAAAGATCATAAGCGTTGTCGCGAAGAGTCTAAAATATTCATTTACCTGCTGATGCTCTGACAAGCTCTCGATGGGTGAACGAATGGAGGCCTCAGTTTTCTTGGGGACTGCTGCTTTCTTCTCGTCTTCTTTGACGCTGCCTTGAATTGTTGGATTTTTCTCATTTAATGGACTGTGTACAATGGTGGAAGTATGAGTGTCAGGGGACTTACGAGGTGCAATCTTGTTGAGAACAACCTCTGATGCAGTAACGAGGACGTCTAGGCCGTTGATTGCCCCTTGGCCAAGTGAGGACGTCATGATTGCTTGAGTTCCCGAGTTGACGTAGCCCATCATTCTCCGTTTGATGCGTTTTCCGATCTGAAGACGTGACAGGCAGACAGCACATGTAATAATTAAAGCATCTTTTTGAAACATTGTGACTTCAAACTCCGTTTTTAATATATGGTACGAAGGGTGGCGTCTAGCACTAAAATAATGTCATTATTTGAATAAACTCGACAGGTGGTTAAATGGAAATATGAAATACCAATCCTATTAAAAAATTTGATCATAATTTGGTGTGACAGAAATAATCGACCTGATTTTTCATCAGAGTTCTGTGACTTTTCTGCATCCAGCATACGCCTTCCACTTACTTATTTAAAAAAAACGAGATAAGTTTCCAGGAAATAACTTAAACTCGGGTCGGAAAAGGAACAAATAAAAATGCTACCTTTTTTACTGGCTGCTGAGTGACTGGATAATTATCTTCGATCGTATCCAAGCAGTGTGAAGCCACGCATTCTAGTCTGGTTGCTAAACGATAAAATGATATATTTTCTACCAGTAGATTTAGGTGAATTCGTCCTTAACATGTGAGATAGATCAATTGATGTGGGGAGTTGCGGCAATGGTCAATAAAATTAACTTTTTCTTATACGAGGCAGTAATAACAACACCTGCAACAGTATATAAAAAGAAATGGGTAAATCGCGACAGCTAGTTATGAGAAATGGCACATCCCAAACCTTGAGATTTGAACAGAGTAGATAGGCCGAACTGCAGTGGCTTCGTCGTCCATGTCACTGCTCCTAGTCCGTATTCCACCATAGTGCTACCAATGTTGAACAAAGTGCTCCCCTCTTTGCATTCATTGTAACATTCTTTCGTAGATTGGATAAGCGGCAGAGAAGAAAGTCTGGTGGCAAAACTTTCTTCAGAGGTGTAGGGCTCTTCCTCCATTTGAGCCATGTTTTTATTGGTGCTTGGTTTCAAGTATCAAGCGAACCGTCTCTCTTCCAGAGATGGTATCGGGAGAGATACTCACAATTTTGTGCAAGCCTTTTATTACAGCGGTCAGTCAATGACGTAATTGGACGAGTCCAATCCCCAAAGACGTCTCTCCCCTTCCCACAGCATTGCCTCTCCCTCTAAGAAGGACCGTGTTTCATGTTTTATTCTAATGTGAAATCCACCTTCTGGGATTTTCCCAAGAATAAAAGTCATGGAGATTGGCATGTATTTCTTAGTTAACCTCATCTGATAATTTATACCAATAAGTTTACATTGTTTGATTACATTATCATTGTTGCATTTTCTCAAATGGTACCAGAATATCGACAAGTGAAGGTGGGCATAAGTTTACATACCTTTCATCGTCCTCGCTCCAAACCCATCAATAATAATCTAAGTATACAAATCTCAGACTTTGGGTCACAGATTGGGTCAGACAATTTGACAAGGCAGAGGTGGATTAAAATATTAATTTGAAAAATAAACAAAACAGCAACAACAACAAAATAAATCGAATTTGATTTCGCCTTATTTCTAACTATCTGGCATTCATCACACGTTTTAGAACTTACGTTGGGGCTAACCATATACAGGCCCGTAGCCGGGGGGGGGGGGGGGTTCGGGGGGTTCCAAATAACCACCCCTTTTGTCAGGAAAAGGTCCATTTTGGATAAAATTTGATCTAGGTACACATAAGTTTCATTGTAAAAGGTCCACTTTTTCAGAAAAAGAACCCCCCTTTTGAATTCGCTGGCTACGGGCCTGATATACGTTGGAGGTTCGGTCGAATTGTAACACTAATCAAATAATTTGCCGAGCTGCCAGGGATTGACAAACTTAAAATTGTTTGTCACACATTAGATATTTCTGAAATATTAGACAAAAACTCCTCAGATTCTATATTTTCAAAAATCTACTTTTCGTACGGAAATTATTTATCTCACATCTGTATCAATTTGTTAATTTATATTTTGCTCAATTATTTTAAAAAGTGAGAGGCAAATGACAGGCAGTAACGCAATTGCAACAACACCGGGTGTGCTCATGTTTCGTTCTTGTGTCTTCACCGGAAACACAATCACTTCATTCTAGTCACGTGACCGGTCTCTTATTCCAATCCGCCATCATGGTTCGCATGCACGCACCTGGGTGAGAAATGTTTCACACAATATCTTCGAATTTATAAACGTTATTCTCATGATGATTACAATTGTATCAGTATGAACCACTTAGCTATTACATATTATCTGGATGAGTGAGATTGCTGACAATTTGAGACTGTAAAAATGTTGGCTACAACCGCCTCGTTGTCCACATGTTCTACATCTTAATGCTTTGGCATCTCTACTCAAGAAAGTCCCTATATCATACCTTTAACCACTTGTATTGAAGTCTAGTCATGTACACCTCTGATCACTGTTACTATGGGTCATTAGAAAAACAATATTTATATGTGTGATTTATGGATACTTTGAAGGTAATTTGATTGAAATCTTGGTTGAAACTTGAACGAAGAAGACCAGAATTGACCTTGCTTAAAACTGAACCAAAAGACGTGTTAAAATAAGTTTAATGGGATCATATAAATAAAGAAACTTATCCAATAAGATATGTAGTGATTATGTATTATGTAGAATTACCGGAAAACCCCTTCAGGTACTAGTCTGAACTGCCCCCTCATTTTACTTTACAGTGCCCTTTGTGTAAATATGAAAGGTTCAGAAACACTCATTATCTATCAAATTTATATTTAAATATAAATTTGATATTTTTTTTTATTTTAGCAAGGGCATTTCCCAGTCTGCCCTACCATACAGACGCAGTATACCAACAGTAAGTACAATGTACACAAGATCTTAAATTATTCTAGGTGCTTAAGGATAATGTTACAATATTATATGGTATAAGTTAAAAAAATATTTCATTGGGTAATAATTCAATATTTTCTTTTCAGTGGCTGAAACTGACCTCTGATGATGTCAAAGAACAAATTTACAAGCTGGCCAAAAAGGGTCTGACACCTTCCCAAATTGGTAAGATCATCATTGAGCTCAGTAAAAAGCAATACATAATGCAAAATACATTAGAATGCAGAAAGTTAATGTTGATTAAAAAGTATGCTTGATAAAGAAAAAAAAATAATATGTTAAAGAGCAGATGATGTTCATGTTTGTCTTGTAAGGCCACCGTAGACGAGGTTCAAGGTTTACACATGAAGTCACACTTTTGTTCAATTCTCATTTAACATTTAAGGTGTTATCCTGAGGGATTCCCATGGTGTTGCTCAGGTGAGGTTTGTGACTGGGAACAAGATCCTGCGTATCCTGAAGGCCAAGGGTCTGGCCCCTGACATCCCAGAGGACCTGTACCATCTCATCAAGAAGGCTGTGGCCATTAGAAAGCATTTGGAGAGGAACAGAAAGGTAGGGAGGGAGAAGCATAGAAGCAAAATAATAAACAAATTAACGATATGTGCATATAAACCAATGTTTCCCTTACTTAGCCCATTCAAGTGTTGATGTACCGTCATTTTTTTTATATACATGGATTTAACCTTTTTCTGTTGTTTTCTGTTTAGCACAGATAAGGTATGAAAACAAACCTGCTTCTCTGGGCATGTGTGTGTAGTTTATATATTGTAAAATATTGTCAAGGGACCAATTTGTTCTTTTGTTCTGTTCTCCAATTTAAAAAAAAATGGCTTGGTGTATTGATAAATGGGTCTACGGCTTTCTTCTAGGACACAGATTCCAAGTTTCGCCTGATTTTGGTGGAAAGCAGAATCCACAGGTTGGCACGCTACTACAAGTCCAAGAAAGTGCTGCCACCTAACTGGAAATAGTAAGTTTCTCTTGAATTGGAATATTTAATTAAATATTTATGAGTATTGTAAAGGCTTGTTCTAAAAGTTGGCCTTTGCTTGCTGTTTGTAATTGAAAACAATGAAAATACAAACTTATCCAAATTCATATAAAATTGATTATACCGTCAGCAGTATAATAATTTTATTCAAAATACTTTTTTTTTCTTTTTCAGTGAGTCAGCAACAGCCTCTGCACTGGTAGCATAAATTGGATATTTTGTGTAAAGTGACTTTGAATAAGAAAAAAAGAATAAAGTGTACAGACTGAATAAAGCAAGTTGTCAGTTGTCCTTCGAGTTCTCAGTTTAAGGAAGCTAATTTAAAAGTACACTTTGTCTCGTACCCAAGTAACTTAACGCTTTTTTTTTGTGACAAGTTTCATATCTCAAGTTGGAAGTTTTTTTCAAAAAATGTCTCCCTTGTTTAGTTCAGTCAAAGACATATAAGCCTTTGTTATTATTATGGTAAAAAAATCTTTTCAATGGGGGTAAAATTGCAAATTTTTTACAGTTGCTGTATTTTTTAAGTCTTGACGTTTTAAAATTAAAAGCAATCCTATTGAGTGGTAGCAACAAAATTGAAAAGCATAATACCTGTTCTGTTCTATGCATTAAAAGCACCACAAATGCTATACAAAAATATAATTTTTACGATTTTCAAGTGACATCTGAAAGTTGGATAATTTTTGCCTATTGAAAAGATGGACATTACCATAGTACTCCTTTTATGAAATGGGGATTGAACTGTACACCTTGATTTAGCATTTTTTGGAAAAAAAGGTTAAAATGACTAATTGCTTGATCTTTCAAACATTTAAAAGTATGATCGACTGTTCATGATAAATCAAAACTATCCAACAATGCCTGAAATGTATGTGAAATTTTGGCTTCAGTTTACAATTTACAATTCCAGAACCACAGAGTTTTTATGTCTGAAGTAATTAAAGAAATATGGGTTTGTAAAACTCAATAAATTTATTAAGGAGCGGCAAATGATCCTTCCAACAAACTTTCAAATTGAAAATAATATGTCATATAAAAAAATAAAAATGAACATCTTGATACAGTTCTTATAGTAGAACTAAAATTTACTGTGATGTATTTGAGGCACAAGTTTCCATCTGGATTTGCTGCATAACTTGAAATTTCACAAAAATTACTTTAAAATATTCAAGGTGGTAATAGCAATAGCCAATAACTTTTGCTGCATCATTGCATTGAACATTAATAAGGTGCACCAAGTAAGGAATGATTTCATAGTTTGCAGGAACATCTACACTTCTTTCATAATATTTACAAATGGCACCATATTATTTCCAGTCATTATAAACCATGGAAACTCACAAAGATGTGAATTCAGATGATTTGAATGAGTAACAAAATCAATGTGACTTGGCAAAGCTTGGAAGTTTCTGGTAAATAAATAAAGCTAAAAAGATAACTTTCTGCCATAAAGCCCGAGCAACAGCCACACGCTTAGCCAGGAGGCACCACACTATGATGAATGTGGTGATTTTTATGAGAAACCAGGAATACTGTAATCTGAAACAAAAAAAAAAATATTATGAAATTGCAAGATTTCTGAAAGTGTTTATGCACTAACAAATCAAATAGAGTACTAAATGTTTTGATCATTGGTAGACCAAACAAAAGTAAAAAAACAGTTTACAAAACTTGAGAAGCTGCCAGGTTTAAAAGGTGATTGTAAAGCATTATGCTCGCTATCTATTGTAATTCTTTTTGTATAACAGTCAATAACAAACCTTTTCATTGCCCTTCTTGCGCCTGGCAAGCCCGACAATTCTTCTTTCAAAAAATACCTCTTCACGCCAAGACAGTAGTTTTCCACATAAGATGGCCAATTGATGCTCTTTACATTAAAATTGAAAACCTTAAAAAATAGTTGTTGAAAGTATTTTAAATCAAATACAAGGAACAACTATTATCAATTATATTTCAGCTCAATATAAAATGTATGGATGCTATATAAATTCTGGAACAGTTTACAAAAAACACATAAGACACTTACCAATGAAATATTAACTACAATATAATATACACCAAACAGAAATAAAAGGTACAGCCATTTTACTGTCACATTATAATCCCAGCATCACAAGCTATTGACAACTACTTAAAGGGATAATAACTCTTCGTATGAAATCTATATTTCACAATAAAAACATTGTGAATAACTCATAGAAATATAATATATTCTGTTTTACGACAAAAACAGCAGCTATAGCTATTATTCTGTTATCTGAGCTTGTCTCCAGATCACGTGACCTCCATTGATGGCTATACTCTGTTATAATCTCTTAAGAGATTTTAACAAAAAACCAAACCTTTTAGAAAAAAACCAGGGACTAACTTTGAATGTAAAAATGGATTCATTAACCATTGGTAAGTATGGGAAAATTTTTGTTTACTCCAGGAAAATTCATTTTTTTGGCCAAAATGAAGAGTAATTATCCCTTTAATATAAGGATGTATTCTTTTTAAGCACACTCAAATTCCTACCAATAACATACAAGTTACCTCTGGCACTACCTACCGATTGGTCCTCCTTATTCACTTTGTTCCACAACATCACCAAGTTGTCATTTGAAAATTCCCACTGATTCAGGGTAAAATAATCCAAAGATTTCAATGTTTTTTTCTGGCTTTCATTGTATTGTACACTGCTGTAAAAACGAAAAGCAATGATAAGAGATCATGCAATTTTTATAAACAAAGAAACAATATTTACAAAATACAGATCAATGAAACGTTTAAGTTCAGAAAGTGTTTGTGTGCGCGAGCATCTTCAATGGAGTACGTATTATCTTAGACTACTGTTGATACTACCCGCTTATCATACAAAATAAATTGATCCATAAGCTTTTTAATCTAGAAAATTAAAAGAGTTTTTTTTTACAATAGTTTTCTAGGTTTAAATTTGGTTTCTTTGATTTCTTAAATTGTTCTTAAAAAATCAGATATGTTTAATTTGACTTAATGTCGAATACAAGCATTAAGCAGTTACCATGGTTGTCGTCCCATCAGCAGCCGGAAAAAGTCCAATACATAAGCTCGCAAATCATGATCAATCCAGTGGTTTAGTCTAAACCAGACACTAAATCAGATAAATGGAAAAAAATTTTTAATCTTTAAATACACGAATAAAAAGCATGCAAATGATATTTTCTTCTTGAAGAACCTGGACAAATTAAGACGGTATCTTCAAATACAGCTTCCTACCCTTTTTAAGACAAAGGGTACAATTTTTGTAGTATCAAATAATGGAAGTTTGTGATTTTGCAACACATCAATAACAACAATTTGATAAAAAGACTTAAGATACATATTTTTGGCATCTTTTAAATGAAAGGAAAAGGTGGAATTGAGAGTTGGTATCAAGATAAAATGTATGGTTATTAAAATGTATATGATTTCAAATTAAAATTTCATTTTCTTACCTACTGGTAGTGAATCTTAGGCGTGGCACCCTGAGTGGATGATCTAGAGGGTTCTTCAAGAAGTAATCACGGACAAAGCGTTCTGAAAAACATTTAGCACAGAAAATAGCTGGAAATCTTGAATTACAACAAAGGCACATGCACTCTAGGTATGATGCAAGCAAAATGATGATATGTTTGGGATGCTTAAATATTTATTTCTAAATCACAGCACTTCTAATTTCATATACTGTCTAAGATGTATTTTACAAAAAGCAAGTACGCTCTTTGGTAAATTTCATTAACTAGACACACAGAGTTGAATAAGTGTTTATTAACTACCAACCCCAGTGTCCCCATGTAGCCTTGTTCAAGTTCCCAGTTGTGAGGTTATAAACCATGGTGTTGCTTGGCCTGAAAGTAAAATTCAATTTGTAAAATTAGTGTAATATTCATTATAAATTTTAATATAAAACAACAATCACTGACGGCTGGAACTTTTGCAATCACTTATTCTCCTACTTTCAGTCAAAGTGAAAACAAAGTACGTACCACAATTCCTTATTGTTATCACCTTATAGCTACTCGACATGAGTCATGCTTCTTATATCAATTCAGATCTAATTTAGCTTCGGGAGTTTTAGTCATGAATAAGTTAACTAGTTTATAAAGGTTTGCAAGTTTACTTTTAAAGAGTAAATTTTTGAAATGACACATTTTCCACTGTATGATGCAGTTTGGTTTTCAATGCATACATGTATTTCTATAGTCCTACATACACATTATGTACCTGTGCACTGACGTATACCATGCCGAGGCTATCATTAGATTTATTACCAAATCTATGGGAACAACGTCAGCTTTGCCATTCACATTTCCCATCATACTTCTCAAAATACCCTTGCCAACCTGAAAATAATAAAAATATGAATAATTTTTAAAAATGAAATACAACAGTTGCAGTTTTTAGAATTTCGAAAAATTGTGACTTTACACATACCCAGAAAATAAATTGTGCGTGAAACCTACAAGTAATTTCAGTAGGTCAAGAGTTTATCAATACGTGGTAAGAAAATAAAAGTCACCTACTGGGTGTATAAAAACTGTCTACATTTTTATGCTTAAATGATAAGAATATGTCATAACTAAGCATACCTACCTTAGTAAGAAGATTGGTTGGGCCATCAAAATTATCAAGCCACCCCTGAAAGACCATACAGTAATTTATTAGTGTTTGTGAGAAGAAAAATTTAATCTATTTCATCTAGACTCACACAAGCTTAATAAGGACTTACGCTAAATGCTGATGGAATCTATTTTTGCTGAGAATAATATTACCCATCACAAAAAAACTGCAGATTAAATCTGAAACGTGATATCTTAAAAAGTACATCAATACATCACATTACTCAATCACTTGTCCTGGCAGATATTACTTTTAATTGTATGACATTTAAAAGTTTAGAACTTTTTTAATGTGAGTGTGAGCAATACAACATACAGGAAAGGGTTCTCTCAGTGAGGCTCCCACTATAGAGGGCCTTATTATGGCAATGGGTAGACTGGCATACTCCTCCACTAAAAGATACTCCACCATGGCTCTGATATAAGTGTATGTGTTTGGCCGCTTGCCAATCAGGTGAGGAGCCAAAATTTCCATCATTTCAGCATCCATCCATCTAAAAACAATTTTTTTTTCTTTGAACCTATTTGAAGGTTTTAAAGTATTCAAGTCATAGGAAGCAAATGTATTTATCAAAACAAAGCAAACTTTAAGATTGCTTACTATTAGATCTGCATGTACATCAGTTCAGTTTTGCTATTTTAAACTTTGAAAAAATTCAATACATTATATATCCTCTTTATCTCGACTTATTTCATGCAGTTTTATAATTAAGCTTTCAATAAGAAAGGGTTCCATTGTCTAATATTTTTAGAAGCGGTGGCTTAATATTAAAAAAATATATAAACGTATGTATTTCACACCAAATACCAGAGTTGAGACAGAGAAAAATTCCTACAAGCCTAGAATCCTTCAAACGCCCCTTGTATGCCTGTTAAAAGGCATCTTTGCAGAACTCAAAGAAACCTTGAACTTTTTGAAAGATTGATACATACTCTGCTGCCTCCATCAGTTTCTGGGGTTGGAGCGCTGGTGGATATATTGCTTCCTGCACCTGTGATCTGTCACAATTTGCAAAGACTGTGGACACATAAACTAAGGCCTGCAAATACCAGAAGTGCAATTTTCTCAGTCTATGGTTTTCCAAGTATCAATATTTTGTAAAATAACTTTGTACACTGCAGAGGCATTTTGTACAAAAGTCTACAGCAAGTGGTTAATTTCTAGAAATCACAAAGCATGTGCAATTGAAGTTACTGATAAAGTTCAATTTAGAAAATCTAATAAAAAACGGTAATTCATAAGAAACTCACTTCCAGTTTTGACATCTGTTTACATAGCTCTGCAAGTTTTTTCACACCATGCAAATTCATCAGCACTCCTGATCTGGAAGAAAATCAATAAACACTTACATGTACCACTAGTATCTTATCAGAACAAGATCCTGAACAAGTATTGATAGGATGGTCTCTTGAGAGGTTGCATTTGGTAAAATTAAGATGTTCACAAGTTACTTTCTCAATCTACAGATGTATTGTGGTCATGCAAACAGACACCAATTCAATTTCAGTAAGTATTTGTTAGCAGCCCCCACTAAGTCAAACAGCCAGCACAAAAAGTGGAGGACAATTTCATTGATGAATTACACAAATCTCCGCAGAATGACATCTTATCATCAAGGCTTAAAATCAAAGCATATCCCCCGTACACTTCCAGGGAATCAAAATTTTAATAGTTAAACATTTAGAATCGAGTTAATGGATCATAATTCTTGGGAAGCTTTTGTATTTACTCTCCCTTGGTCATTACGAAGTTGAAATTTATAGGAAAATTTTTTTTTGATTCATAAAAGGAAAAAAAAATTTTTGCTTCATAAAAGTATAACCCTCTGAGTGTGCCTTTTCAATCTTTTCAAACACAAAAAATGTGACGGCTACTGAAAAATACCTACTTTAAATGTTCCTCAAAGTTAGCAGTTGCAGCAGCATGAAACACCACAGACACATCAGTAACAAGTCTGGTCATATCTGACTGGCTCATGCCCAGGTGTGGCTCTAACATGTTTCCATTCACTGGAATGACTTTGGTGCGGAACTCTGGACGCTCTTTTCTCAACTTGTCAAATAGCTGAAAATATCACAGGTAGTAATTTTTACATTTAAGTAAGACTGTCTGGAGGTCTTGACAGTGAAGGAGGTCTACTTTTTCAAGGAGTGTACGAATCATATGGATCTCAGAAGGAGTAATAATAGTTTAATTTCCAAAACTATATGCACATGCACAGCTAGGTGCAAAAGTATAAGGATTTAATTGTTTTCATAATACTGTTACATACACAATTCCTTATAATGTTATCCAATTTTTCAACAGACTCTGTATCTTTCTTTTTCATTTAATTTCAATACATGGGTAGGTACATAAGAAAACAAAAATCAATAGAGTATTTTTACAAAACAAGTGCAAATCACATACTTTGGAACTGAAGACATCTTCAAGTCTCTGCCTCACATCCTGGTTATTCTTTGGTCTGATAAGTACATAAATTGCCTTTATGTCAGAACAACTTCTCAGCAGCTTCTCGACCAGAACCCTGCCCATAAACCCTGTAAAACCAATGACAAATATGCTGCGTCCAGCATAAAAATCTGCAATGGCAGCCACCATTTTGCTGTACCAGGTGTTCTGTATACTGCGTATTCTGGAACTTGGAAGGGTTTCTTAACTGCGACTGCAGAGCCTAAAAATAGAATGGACCAAACAGTTAAAACTTCAAAACAAACATATTCTAGTATCAATGGCTGCATGTGGCTAGGTTGAGAGAGAAGCTTGTGATTAAAAAATAATTCTTCCACTAGCTGAATTTGTAAAATGGGCCCATGCAGTGCCCAATGCCTGGAAATTCAGTTAACATAATTTCCCTATTTACAATTCAAGTTCAACCTCTGAATAAGATTTGCATTTAATTTCAACCTCTGGCTAAGATGAAATGATATCTTGAAATACATAAATTCATGGACACCATGCAGAGTACAGAGGTACATGTTTGGGTGTACTCTAGTCACGAGGGGCAAACAGCCTACAGTCACGTATCTATTTTGCACCCATCATGCGCCCAAGTCTCGATCTCTCACACTCGCGCACCCACCACGCACGACAGTAATTACACCTGCCTTACCTGCTGCAATAGCTACATGTAAGTACAACACATACAGGCATCCCTCAGATCATATACCGCTAAGTATTTACTAGTATGACTAGTCCAGTATATCGATCCTGTAACCAAAGTCAGAACTACGTCTGTAAGTGTAACAGCCCAATGCATAGCCAAGTCGATGTCATGATATATTATCAAGCCCTACTGTTTACCTTCCCAGTGGAGCGCCCTCTTGAATGTTATCTTTCCCTATTAAACACAGACAAGTTTGCGACAAACTGGAAAACAAAGTGTGACAACCGTTTCTTAGTTCACCTGCAGCGCTGCTGCAAAGGTCGACATTACTTTGGCATAAGGGGTACTAATCACAATGGTTGAGAAGCTCAACAATCGCAATTTCTTTCTAAAGCCGCTTTTTAGCATACTGCTGTGCTAACAGCTCTTTCCACGTCGACTAAAATTCTTCGAAATTCTCAAATTTCGTTGTCATTTTCTTCTACCTTGTTTTTCTATTTCATTAAAAACTGTGTTTATATTGGGTTTTAAGAAATGAATGAAACTGTTCTTTTGTTCATAGTGTGCGTTTTGTGTGAAGTGGGGATCGACTCAAGATTGATTAAAAAAACGGTAAATTAAAACAAAAGATGCAGTATTATAAGGTCATTTAGACTTGTACACGAATTTAAAGTTGACTATCAAATATTGTCAAACCTTCAGCTTTGAAGATGGTTCGTTCTCCAAGCCTAGTCTAAGCCCCATGAAATTAAAAAAATTGATTACACCTATATGTTTTCCGCTCAATTCTGTTGATTAATTCTGACATACCTACAACATGCTTACTTCCAAGCAAGTAAATCTAATTAGTTTACCTGTGGTACTCATCTAGACCCTGGCTGAAGGAAGATAAAGGGACTTCTGAGGAACTCGAAGAAAGGAAAAGACTAAACACTTTTTATTAGAGAAAGCGGCTATTTCTGCCTTTTTTTTATTTGTTAGTAATTTTGTGCTTTATTTCTTTTCAGTTTGTTAAAGAGATAGGAGTAGCACTGTAGTCATATCTCCATTAATGTCAGTCAATAATAATTAATAATAATAACTAGAGGATCAGAGAGGCGATACCGCCTCCGGATATAGTACCACCAGCTGGAGGAAGCGCATTCATATGGACCCCCCCCCCAAAAAAAAAAAAGAGACACCACCACCAGTCTTGTGCTTGACAAGCTCTATAAAATGCAATCAACAAGAATTCTCAAAATATGCAAAAAAATATAACCAAAAATGGTACAATCAAAATTCAGTTCATCATAAAAAGTAGGTCAAAGGTCAATTTGAAGGTCACAGTAAATTGCCAGTATATGACTTCCTATTCAAGTTCAATAGCAACTATGGACCTATCTCTGCTAGTTTTGGAGATAAAAGGGCACCAAATTTTACAAAGTTCAATTCATGATGAAAAGTAAGTCAAAGGTCAATTTCAAGGTCACACTTAGATTGCCAGTATATGACTTCTATTCAAGTGCAATAGTAACTTTGGCCTTATCTCTGCCAGTTTTGGAGATAAAAGGGAACAAAAATTTGCAAAGTTCAGTTCATGGTGAAAAGTAGGTCAAAGGTCAATTTTAAGGTCACAGTAAATTGTCTCTTATGACTTTCTACTCAAATTCAATAGTAACTATGGGCGTATCTTTGCCAGTTTTGAAAGTATAAGCATTTAAAAAGTTGCAAAGTTCAGTTTAAAGTGTAAAGTAGGCCAAAGGTCAATTTCAAGGTCAGAGTAAGATAACCAGTATATAACTTCCTATTCAACTTCAATAGTAACTATGGACCTATCTCTGCCAGGTTTGGAGTTAAAAGGGAAATAAATTAGCAGAGTTCAGTTCATGATAAAAAGTAGGTCAAAGGTCAATTTCAAGGTCACATTTAGATTGCCAGTATATGACTTCCTATTCAACTTTAACAGTAACTATGGACCTATCTCTGCCAGTTTTGGAGATAAAAGGGAATAAAAATTTGCAAAGTTCAGTTCATGGTGAAAAGTAGGTCAAAGGTCAATTTAAAGGTCACAGTAAATTGCTATTGACTTTCTATTCAAATTCAATAGCAACTATGGGCGTATCTCTGCTAGTTTTGGAGATAAAAGGGAACCAAAATTTGCAAAGTTCAAATAAGGATGAAAAGTAGGTCAAAGGTCAATTTCAAGGTCACACTTAGATTGCCAGTATATGACTTTCTATTCAAGTTCAATAGTAACTATGGACATATCTTTGCCAGTTTTGGAGATAAAAGGGAACCAAAATTTGCAAAGTTCAGTTCATGGTAAAAAGTAGGTCAAAGGTCAATTTCAAGGTCACATTTAGATTGCCAGTATATGACTTCCTATTCAACTTTAATAATAACTATTGACCTATTTCTGCCAGTTTTGGAGATATAAGGGACTACAGCATAACACGAAAACCGTATGAATTACAAAAAACGGAGACCACCTCCAGTGTTGGGCTTTACAGGCTCTACAAAATGCAAAAAAGAATAGGTCTCTAGCATTAACGCTTCCCGAATTAGAGACAGTTTTCAGTTTCGGTATCTTATGGACGCTACTCCAGTGAAAATGCACCGATTGACCCCAAATTCACGGAGATGAAAGATAACCCGAAGGATAACACTTTCCAATAATATTATTGGTTAAGTCTGTGTAGTTTCTGAATATCAGGGCAAATAATTTTTTTTTTCGTAAAAAATTTCCTTTTTTTGAAAATTTTGGCCCGTTTGACCTTGAAGCAAAGGTCAAAGATTAAATCCAAGGGCATATTTGAAATCTCCACATATGACTTTCTGTAGAAAATTTTCCCATAATTCCTTCGGTAGGGTAGATAATTGGCATTGAATTTTCAAAAATTTTGACAAGGGTGCATTTCAACGAGCGTCACGCCCAGGTCAATGCACCGACTGAGACAAAAAAACCTGGGGGTTCAAGTTGAGGTTATATGTGACCTAAATCCAAGAGATGGGGACAGGGGTCCTTGCGGTTTAGCAGGAGAAGCGGTAACGGTGACTTGTATCCGGTGCCAGTACGCGGAGCCGGACGAGACGGGTCGGGACTAAAACCATGATTACCGCCAGCGTACACGCTGGTGGTACTAATAATATAAGAAAAGCATGCAGTCTCAAAGAATACAGCCATTTACAAATGTCTCTCAGTAAAATACTGAAGTGTAACAAGTATAATACTTAATTCAATATATTCAACAAGAAGTAAATAGCAAATTGTCAATCATTGCAACTTATCATTTTCTGGAATGAGACCCAATACATACTTTTTAAAGACACAAGTAATATTCCCACAAAAACAAAAAAGCTATGATACAAGCTTGTTCATACAAAGGTTATACAAATAATAACATATCACAGTGTGTACACTTGTGCTGATTCTGGAATTGCTTCATAATAATTTTTAAAGAAACCAGACAGATTCACATTACCCAGTAATAATACAAACATTGATCTTTTAGATCTTAATCTGAACAAAATTGCCACCTTCAATACATTATTCTTCATTAATACATGGCTGAATGAAAATATTATTCAAGGTCAATACTGAGAAGTATTTAAAATATTATACAATGGCATTACTGTACTCAATTTCTACCCACTTGAGATAAAAACTTGAAAATTCATAAACAAAATCAAGAATGCTGTCCTAAACCCTGGTTCAATTTTAGCAACCTATTACAGTAACTGCAGTATAACCAGCTTTGTTCCCTTCAAACCATTCATTCTTCACCATACCCATTCCATACTAATTTCCTTGCAAACCAATAAATATAAATGAACTGTGTTTGGAAGACTGGACGTACAACAGTCACCAACTGAGATTAGAAAGTACAATGTACTTAAGAAATATATACAAAAATGAAATCTAATATCACAAGTATGGGGTATAGTGACTTCAAGGTATTATACTTATATATATTATCACGTGTGCATATATATACAAACAGGACCTAACTATTACTAAACAACAGGTCACCAAGGTACAAGCTGATAAACCATAATTAAATCCATCCATATAGATATAGATGCTAACATCCATTTAGATCCTAACATCTGAATATATAATGTATGATTCATAACATATTTAATGAACAAAAAGTCATTTATACACATACATATACATCTACTGTTTAGTTTGGCATGCCTTTCGTATGAAGGGAAAAATATACTTCATTATATTTCAATCAATATTTAATCAAAATACATTATAAAATATCTTGCTATATTTAAATGACGTAAGATGTAAATATCTCAAAAACAACAGAGAAAGGGAAAATAGAGCTAGTGTTATCATACTTTCTGTGTAAGTTAAGTTTTTCTGTAAACAGTCTTGTATCAAATAATGTTTACTACTCCAAGATGTAAGTTTATTTTTTGATAATATAAAGGAGCATAAAAAGCCTATTAATAGCATTCAATAACAACTTCTAAAAAAGACAATTCTGATTAGAATAATAAGTTCTATCCTAAAACAACCTGTTTTTACCTGAGCATATTTGTTAGTTATTGGGTTTTATAAAAAAACAACTAACAGCATACAAATCACTGGAAATCAAATATCTGACCAAAAAAATTATATATCTGTCATTCTTTTTGGTAGAGTAAATTTTTACAGTAAGTATGACCTAACAATTTGCTCTATAATAACAGCAATCAAACTACAATAACAATTTAGAAAATAACAGGTAACTAATGAATCTATACAAATCAATTTGTCTAGTATCTAGGCATATTAAAGGATTAATTTTGATTTTTTGATAAATTTTACCAAAAACGTCGTCTTTGATTATCTTGTGCAAATTGTGGTCCTGAGTAACTTTTTTGCTGAGGTGGTCTTTGTCTTAAATACGCTCCATTTTGTGGATTTTTGGCACCAAATTGTCCAAATGACTAAAAATTAAATGTAAAAAAAGCTATGATTAAGATATTGCACCCACATAAATTATTATATCATCCATTTTTGAGCAAATATATAAATATTACTTTTGCATTTACATGTTAACCAAAGGGCTTGATAATGATATCATAATTAGCAATTGGAACCAGTTCTTCATAAATTTGATGAAGAACAACACTTTAAAGTAAGCTAAGAACAATATAGCCTTTCAATCAAAATATTCATTCTTACAAAATACTTGTCTTACCCACTGGCCACTAGTGTATGGGAGGTTCTGTCGCCCTGTGTATACAAAACCTGGAGTTTTCAAGTTGGCTACCACTGTAATGTAACAAAAACTTTTATTTAAACATGAAGATGACATCCAGTGTCTGCACAAATCCAAGCCTTCTTCATTAATAACAATTCTACCTCAATCACAATACAAGCTCTTTACTCACTTCATTGCAATGTTGCAAACACACTTGGAAACTACATAATCTATTTGTGCATGAAAGGAAATTAAAGCAGAGTGACGTATAAATTTCTCATTTCTTAAAAAATTGTTTTAATATTACGCTCCATTTCAGAAAGACACTTCAATTTTAAACTATTCAACTGTTTAAATGAATGTGATTATACCTGTAAAATAGTTTCTCACTTACTTCGTTGCTTCCACTCCATTTTCTTTTTCTCTAGCTCACTTAGAGATTTCAAGCATTCAATGTATGTGCTTTTACATGTATAGTCACCACATGGGACAGGGTATCTTGAATCCTGAATCAGATATAGAGTAGACATAATTCCATAAACATTAGACAATCAACCATGCTCCCTATATGCACTAAAAGGTGTAAAGAAAAAAGTCACCTTGGTGAATGGAATAGCTTCAATGAATAAGTAAAGTTACAAAACAGAGAAAAGAGAGAGAGGGAGAGAGAGAGAGAGAGAGAGAGAGAGAGAGAGAATGCCTTATATCCTCAGTTCATTTTTCAAAATGCAGGGGGAGATAAGTGAATGATTGGTTGTCTTTGGGATTTTCTTATAGAAGGTGGTACTTACTTTGCATGGACCTTCATAGTCACTTCCTACACAATGGGATACATAGGGGAAGTTATACTGGTTTCTGAAAAAGGTAAAAATGACACAGTTTAAATTCTGGGAAGACATTACTTTTCTGCTATCACATACACATTTTTTATATTTTCCTTTATGCCATATTTTCCAAAACAATTTTAAATCTGTTAAAACCGATTTAACAGTTTTTACTTATTCAAAAACCAGTATGCTTACATTCCATGCTGTTTACAATGTCCAAAATCATTGATAGTTCTCTCATAATTCATCAGCATTGCCATCACCTTGAAAAAAACTCTGAACTCTGTAAAATTCATATACTAAACATCTACTATTCTTTTCTACTACTATTCTATCAATGGTTGTATTCAAAGTCATTCAAAAATAATACCGGGCAAAATCAGACCAATCAGTTATTTGAGCTTCCCACCAAAAATTAACATTTGATTGTGTATTTTTAATTTACAGGAGTTTTAATGAAAGTATAATACATTATAACTTCATGTTGTGTGTACAGTTTCTTCATATAACTTATCAGTGAGAGATCTGCATTGAGAACTTGTAAATGAGACCACTAAATTCAGTAACTTTACCTGGTATGCAGCAGGCACCATCTTGTTGAAAGTAAAGTCTTTGGTGTCATAATCTATATATTCCAGTCTGCCACTGCGAAACACTATGAAGGTGAAAAAATTTTTAATTATAATGGATATATACAAATGTTAAAACTACAGACTGCTACACAAATGTAATGGTATTTTTTCTTTAAGTTAATAAACTGTATGAATGTTCACTACTTTTGGTATTCAGATACTGTTACCGACAAAAAAATGAAAAGTTAAACTGAACTGACCAATGTTCCATGGAGCCATATCTTCATAGAAGGGCAGTGTCAGGAACAGATCATAAAACATGGTTTTTATGGGCTCCAGTAATCCCATTCTCAGAAGGGCAATTAAAGATATAGCTGAAATAAAAAAATATCATAACCATGAAAAGGGTATCTAGGCTCAGTTAAATTACAGTTAAACAACTGACATTTAGAACTTAATATCCTAAACACATTCACAAACTACAAGAAATAAATATTTACCATAAATTCATGTAATAAGGTACATACCATGAACATCCCCATATGGAATCTTGAATCCATCCCCTTTCCTGATAAGGTATACCTCATAAGTGGACTTACTATGGGCCAGGCAGTGGAGGGTATACTTTCTATCGTGGCCATCTAGCTGGTAGTCAAAATGATGATTAACCTGGAATTCAGAAAAAAAGGGATCAATTCATAACAAAAATCTGATTGCTGATATGCTTGAGTACAAGTTCATAGATTTTTACAAATATTATCACTATATGTAAACAGTGTTTTTTAATTTGATCTTTAAGCAATTTGAGGCATTTGCAGTAGTTTTTCCTAACAGAGTTCACAAATGTTTCAACCAAGCCAAGGGTTGGTACCTTCAAAGGTGCCACTCACATGTCATCTGATATCAATTCACCATTTTTATTAATAAAATAAAACTCACTGTGACAGTGAGGTTCCTGACATCTACACGGACCACTTTCCATGGGAAGGATGCAGACTGCATAAATGGTGGTTGAAGAAGCTCAGCACTTATACTGATGTTCACATCCGCTTCTGCGCTCTGATACAAAGTAATAATGACAATTTCATCAATTTTAAATAACATATGGAACCAAAATGATTTGCAGATGTATAGTATCAATATGGCTTTTACACAGTATCCTTGAACTAATGATCAACAATGAAAGTATGGTAATCATATTTCATTCATCTGTTTATTTAGCAAAGGGTTTGTGATGGGTTGTGATTTACATCATAAAGTTATTCAAGACAACTTCTATGCAAATAAATGATAAAACAGAATCTTTTTGAATACAGTTATGTACCTCTCCCAGCATCTTTAGTTCAGCATTTTCAAATACTGGGGCTGGATGGTGCTTCAGGTAGTAAATGTCCTGCAGAGTCAATATATAACTAGTAATCAGGGATTTATAATTACAGTTTTTTTTTTTAAACATAAGTCTTATCTATATGCACACTCATCCAAAAAAGTTTAGAAACATTGTTATTTTCAATGATTATAAAACAACCATATGAGCTAAGATAAATATTTTAATTAAATATTGATGGATGATGCACGCACCATTCATTACTTTTTGAAGTTTTGCCAGAAAAGGAATTCTGTGGGAATTACAGCAACATTTATTTATGTTGGGTCAAATTTCATTTTCAAAAAACATGCAAATGGAGTGACAAAGTTTGAAGTTTGCAACATTACCAAGTCTTGACAATAAACAGTGAAAATCTTTATCTTTGGTATACAGTATGAAGGATACAGTTAAAATAAAGTTTTGAGGTTGTTGAGCCTCTACTGTTTATTGTCAAGACTTGCTCAAACTTTGTCATGGAAATCAATAGAGATTTTTACTGTCGTGGAAATCTTATATCACAGTAATTACTGTTGTGTAGTATAATTAGGTAAAAATAACCACAAGACTTCCATGTGTGCACTAGGACCTCTAGGACTCCCTATGCACACCTGGCAAGACCATTGCTACAATTAACCAACCTTTCTGTCTAAAGTCCCATTTCCCCTCAGTGGTCGACCAGTAAAAGACTCTGGGAAGAATGTTGCAAATGCCAAAGACAGCATCTAGAAATAATCAAGAAAAAAAAATGCCAAGAATTTTTTTCTGCTTTAAATACAGGATCATCCAAATTTATAATGTTCAGGAGAATATGATGTTTGCAAGCAGTTATATGTTTCAACATTATTGCACTAAACTTAATTATCTAAATGTGAATTGTTCATTCCAAAAGAAAAAAAATGTTAAGAAACAATGATGAAAAGAACATAGCATATCAACTCTATTTCATGAAACACTATAATATATTATGAAACAACATTTTTCTATTTTTTTTCCAAAAGCAACATGATGACCTACCTCTGCTGATGGTAACTGAAAGAAAGAAGTGACTCCATTTGCAATCATCTGCCCAACCATCAGATTGAATTCATCATCGCCCATGGTCATAACAGAGTCCAGAAAAGCCTGAACACCTGCATACAAAACAGAGGGTTTTTTTAATATGCATGGTATTTGTATTGCATCAAGCGTCTTTTCTTCTTTCTTTTGTGTAATGATAATACAGATTAAAATTTTGAAATGGTAAAGACAAAAAAACTAAAAGGATCTATAATGAAATTACACCATCCTGGAAACAAAAATCATTTGCAATCTATTACTAAAAACTGAAGTATAGCCTTAATAAGAAAACACATTCAATGTGAATAAGGTCACCTACCAAAGTACTGGTATCTCAAAAAATCAGGACTCTGCAGTAATTTGGTAGTGAAATCCTGGTCCACAGCAAGGCTGGTTATAACAATATTGGTGACATTCATCTTCCATGTTTCCTGATACAGTTTCTCTGCCTCCTCAAGTTCACTGTGCAGGGATATGAAGGTGCTGTTTTTGTAATGTTTAGCAAGGAGTTTGATCATCTCTCCTGAAAAATTCACAAAATGGATTTTTAAATTAATACCTCAAATTGAACAAAAATGCTGAGAAAAGATGACATGCAGCTATAAATGAGCTACAAATACAATCCAATCAGAGCCTGCAGCTTGACATCACTCGCTCCACTGACCTATGAACATGAATGTGACCAGTTTGCAGCAAAAGCAGTCTATCTATAGCCTTAATAATTGGCTAGCATGGTCTCCACATGTTAGAGAGCTTATCGTTGAACTTCTAGGCTAGAAGTGGCATATAAGAGCCATTTTCAAACATAGATTTTGTGCTAAATGTTTTGTTAAATCGCAGTTCTATGGAAAGGAGTTGACAGGGACCAAAAAACACACCTTACTTCTGGGAATGAATATACTTTAGCATGCATTTTCCGGGCCGATTTTGGTCATTTTGGTTGACTATTCTTGCTTAAAATCTATGAGTTAAGATACCAAAAACACATATTTTCAATTTTTTCTCAGTAGTTTCTTACCCTCCATGCTTTTATATTCCATAAATGAAAAAGGCTGGGTGTAAATCTCATTTCCAAGTACACTTACAGCTGCCTGGAAAAATAAAAACTTTGTTTAATTCATGTGCATTTGTAGCACTGAAATTAGTCAGGATGCCAATATATATCATTTCCATTTCAAAAGAGATGAAAATAAAGGGTCCCACCACAACTCAAGACAACTTAAATTTGTGTAATTAAAAACCCAAAAACTGAAACAGATGTAGTACAAGCTAAAAGCTCTTTCTTAATGCATATCATTAAAACAGACGTCCCTGTAACTTCTTTAAGATTAAAACATATTACATGTATTTGCTGACATATACATACACATCATATCTTTCCCAAATTACTATGTTATAAGTCATTTCAAAAAAGCTCTCATTCCAATTCCATTGCAANTTTTTTTTCCAAAAGCAACATGATGACCTACCTCTGCTGATGGTAACTGAAAGAAAGAAGTGACTCCATTTGCAATCATCTGCCCAACCATCAGGTTGAATTCATCATCGCCCATGGTCATAACAGAGTCCAGAAAAGCCTGAACACCTGCATGCAAAACATAGGTTTTTTTTAATATGCATGGTATTTGTATTGCATCAAGCGTCTTTTCTTCTTTCTTTTGTGTAATGATAATACAGATTAAAATTTTGAAATGGTAAAGACAAAAAAACTAAAAGGATCTATAATGAAATTACACCATCCTGGAAACAAAAATCATTTGCAATCTATTACTAAAAACTGAAGTATAGCCTTAATAAGAAAACACATTCAATGTGAATAAGGTCACCTACCAAAGTACTGGTATCTCAAAAAATCAGGACTCTGCAGTAATTTGGTAGTGAAATCCTGGTCCACAGCAAGGCTGGTTATAACAATATTGGTGACATTCATCTTCCATGTTTCCTGATACAGTTTCTCTGCCTCCTCAAGTTCACTGTGCAGGGATATGAAGGTGCTGTTTTTGTAATGTTTAGCAAGGAGTTTGATCATCTCTCCTGAAAAATTCACAAAATGGATTTTTAAATTAATACCTCAAATTGAACAAAAATGCTGAGAAAAGATGACATGCAGCTATAAATGAGCTACAAATACAATCCAATCAGAGCCTGCAGCTTGACATCACTCGCTCCACTGACCTATGAACATGAATGTGACCAGTTTGCAGCAAAAGCAGTCTATCTATAGCCTTAATAATTGGCTAGCATGGTCTCCACATGTTAGAGAGCTTATCGTTGAACTTCTAGGCTAGAAGTGGCATATAAGAGCCATTTTCAAACATAGATTTTGTGCTAAATGTTTTGTTAAATCGCAGTTCTATGGAAAGGAGTTGACAGGGACCAAAAAACACACCTTACTTCTGGGAATGAATATACTTTAGCATGCATTTTCCGGGCCGATTTTGGTCATTTTGGTTGACTATTCTTGCTTAAAATCTATGAGTTAAGATACCAAAAACACATATTTTCAATTTTTTCTCAGTAGTTTCTTACCCTCCATGCTTTTATATTCCATAAATGAAAAAGGCTGGGTGTAAATCTCATTTCCAAGTACACTTACAGCTGCCTGGAAAAATAAAAACTTTGTTTAATTCATGTGCATTTGTAGCACTGAAATTAGTCAGGATGCCAATATATATCATTTCCATTTCAAAAGAGATGAAAATAAAGGGTCCCACCACAACTCAAGACAACTTAAATTTGTGTAATTAAAAACCCAAAAACTGAAACAGATGTAGTACAAGCTAAAAGCTCTTTCTTAATGCATATCATTAAAACAGACGTCCCTGTAACTTCTTTAAGATTAAAACATATTACATGTATTTGCTGACATATACATACACATCATATCTTTCCCAAATTACTATGTTATAAGTCATTTCAAAAAAGCTCTCATTCCAATTCCATTGCAAGGTTTAAATAATCAATACAAACACACAAAAAACGAAAAAAGAAAAAAATTCAATTAACATGCTATCTTCACAAAATTAACATTTTAGTACACATTCCATGCTACACTGCTTGATTATTTGCATTACTGTACCTGACTTGCTATCAATCTAGACAACTCAGTGGAAGACTGAAGAAAACGGCGTGTACTGTCTGCAGCATGGTATACCAGGGTGGTGTTGTACCATACCAAGTGATGGGGACACATGTCTGGGTAGACTGGCAGGGACAGGTACTCCCTCAGCAGGTTCTTCCTGAAAGTGTATTGAAATCATAAAAAAAGTCAGTATGTTTACCCACTGCAACATGCTGTTTTTAAACATGTAATTCTCACCAACAAATCCTGTGAAAACAAGTTATAGTAGTACTATAATAAATCATAATTTCCCATAATTTTATAAATGCAGAATTCACTCAATGATATTTCCCCTTTTTATGTCTCAATTTACAATAATATCAATTCTCTAAGCTTAAAATATGTTTTCAAAGGAAATCAAAATGCAGCTTCTCTGGAGTTGCTTGAAGCACTTACACTACCCTCACAGTATGATCTATCTTTCTCTTGTACTTGAGTGTAACTTCATTTTAATTATAAAAATGTAAAACTCTGACCTAGCAACCTTATCCAAACCAAGGCAAAGCAAGAGCTCCAGACCTATTCCCTCCATGCATCTAGCCAGCCTGGTTTCTTGTTTGGAGACCCCAACTCTGCACTGCTTGTCTGGAGTCAGCTGAATGTTTGCCCTGGTGTCCTGGCAATCCAATACAACCTGGAAATGATGATAATCAATTGCAATTTACACCTGGTGCAAGCACAAGACCAAGATTTGAATTTTATAAAGCACAAAAATATCTACAACAGTCAATGCCAAAAAATTTAAGCCTGCTGGCCCTACAGAACACCAAAGTCTAAGAATCTGCAGACCTGAAGTAAAAATATGGTAGCCATGGCATAGCTGAACAAATTTACAACACTTTGCAGCTTCAACTTTAAAAGTATTTGGCTTGGGACTGACAATAACATCACAAACTGCTGCAAGGGCATAGTAGGAATAGAAAAACTGCCAGCAAAAAAATGTAAATTAGTTCCATGTACCCTGCAAAAAAAAAAAAAAAAAAAATGGGAGGAAGTAAATGATGTGTTTTTCTTCATTTCCTGAGGCCAACCTGTGACACAATCTTTCATTGCAGCCTGAGACTTACTGTGAGACTAATCTTAAAATAACAAGATAAGTGTACACATTAGCTGCAAGTCACTTTTTTTCTCAAAATGTTAATACTCACTGTTCTCTGCATATGTCCTAGAGTTATTTTAACCAGTTTGGTGGACAATGTATACCCTCTAAGAATATCAACGTCATCTACCAAGCTAACTTCAGCTTCATTCTCCAACCCATGCAGTTTCAAAGTTTCAAATATCATACCCTATGATGAACAGGAAAAAGAAGCATCAGTGCATTCACAATATTACCTCTAATACTGAAATTGGGTATAAGTAAAGCATAATTGAAAATGGGATCTAAATTGTGCCCATTTTAATGATAGTGAATGATAAAGAAGGAGAAAAATCCTATCCCCTTCAAAGTTTCCCTATTCATGATCATATCTAAGACACTTCTCAACTCCCTTTTTTTTACACAATATAGGAAAAGAATAATATTTCTACCATGCCATTTAAAACTGAGAAGAGAAATATGTTTACCCACAAAAGAAAGTAAAAAAAAAAACAATAAAACTCCCTATCTCTCACATAAATCTTTACCTTGAAAACTGCATGTGTTTGCTCTGCACCTGTGCTGTTCCCAAGTAAAAGGTCAGCCATAACCAGCTGCTCAGGAGAAGGGACTTCAAGGTAGGTAGTGTGAGCCATGGTCAGCAAGTGACCGAGGTAGTACAGGAAACCTTGACCAAGAGATGTTAGATGATGAAAGGTCTCCAAGCCCAAAATCTGTAACACAATATAGTGTAAATCTATACATATTTTAATATGCTAAAACAATAAGGTAAATATGAACAGCTTTGATTTTCTTTTTGTTATCAAAATATCAAAGATTATAACATATGTCTGTACAGAGTAAATTTTAGAAGTTAGTTTGTAAAAACAAATGTTACATCATGAAGTTTTACTGACTAATGTAAAATATCCCTTTTTTCACATCTGATAATTCAATGTTCTAAACCAATGTGTATTATTCAGGTCAACATGTTACCCAATCAAATCTAAAGAGGTGCCTTCAATTTTTAATTCATCAACTTATTTGTTACAAAGAAGAGGTTATTTTTAGTTCCTGGCATGTAGGTAAAACAATAAAACATAATGAGCTGACTCAATCTTACCTGAATCTGAAATATCTCTGGCATCTTGACAATTTTATCCACAGTACCAGGACTCAAGTTATTCACCAAGAGAATGAAATTCTTAGCACCCAAGCTTGTTATCATTTTCCTGAAAATTTAGTTTTTTCAGTGCATGAAGCCATTTAAACTGGAGTAAAATTACACAAAAAGTGTAATAGGTGTTTTCCTTCTTTATTCATGATTTTCTAAATCTAGAAGTCATCAATAACTTTTTTTTTTACCTTTGTAGATACCATTCATTTAATATTTTCTTACCAAATTGCCATCTACATGTATCAGTAGGTTTCTTACCTAAGTCCTTGCATATGTCTGGCACTGCTTGTGTCAAGTACAGAGAGGACAGTAGAGTTGGGATACCTGTGAGCAATCTTAGCTCCCAGTAACACCTGCTGGTTACCACCTAGGGTACAAACAACACAGGTCTATAGAAACCAATAGTTTCAATATTGTTTTGATGGAAAAATCTAATTTACATTAAGATAAGAAATCTCCTCATAACTGCAATCTTTATTTTTACAGATCTCAAAAGTCTAGAATCATAAGACATAAGCTTAAAGCTTTTGTATAAAAGAATCCAACACCACTGACAGTGCACTTGAGATGTCCGTGACATTAATATATCATATGCAAGTTATAAGTTAACATTGTCCTCATGGTTCTGGACCATGGAAGCTGCTTTAAAAATATAATTGGCTACACTACATTGTCACTTTTCATACCATAGGTCAAAACACTGAAGAAGTTTCTCTCTTTCCCATTCAGAGCAGCGATGTCATTCTTGATCAGTTTCCACTCAGAGTCGTACACACTTTCCTCTTTATGTTTTGGTCCAAATGTGTGTTCCATTGGCTGGTGTTTCTCCCTCACTGTTCTTGCTGGTTCTCTTAATTCTGGCTTTACAGAAGTCACTGGAGACTATTAAAGAACAGTTATCACAATAAAAAAGTACTTTTCCAAAAAATACTGGGACTATATTCACTGTATGTATGCATGTCTTACATTGTACATGCTTGTTTACAACTGTATCTCACAAACATCATCTAGATTTCTTACGTACATTCTTTACAACAGTGACTGCTATCATTCACTAAATCATAAGTGAAGATATAAAATAACGACAAAATTTTCTACTTTTAACAAGAGGTCAATATGGGTCTTGCATAAAGTTTCTAAGAAGTCGTGTGAGGTATTCAAACACAAATCCTCTGCTACACACTAATGCATGCACACACATGGAGTCATTTCCATAGCTTCCACTCTGAAGAGGCAGTCAATCAAAGATTCTCACTGCAACAAATTTCATGCCCTGATCAGCTTAATTAACTAAAGGCATTCATATTTGCAGCTTTGCTTCTCTCCTACCTTAAAATCATATTCATCATTTAAAGCTTCTTCTTCCTCCTCAATCTCTTCAGGCACCACCTCCTCCTCCTCTTCCTGTAGCATAGCAAGCCAGCTTTAGCAACATGCGGTGTGATTCAGCAGTAATTGGGAAGCACTCAACAAAGCCATGGGGATTGATGGTGTTACAAAAGCTTTCTTTAATTTATATCTTTCATCACACAGCTCATTCTCTAAATCTGTTTCATGTGGAGGTTAATTTGGCAATTGATACTTTGAGGGCAATCATAAGATAAAGACTGCTATATGAAGCAAAGCAAAGAACATTAAGCAATGAGCTATCAATAGCAATTAGCACATATCAATGAAATATTTTGGCCTATTTCTGCATGAAAATTTGCAGCCAGGATTTACAAGTCTTGCTGTAGTATTCATCATGTGAAAAACATTGTATCAAAACCAATCTAAATTCAACTGGCAAAGCCTTTCTAGCCATTTTCACCCTTAATCATTATGATATTCATTAAAGGGGGCAGATGCAATCAAAAACTTGTTGGGTAAAATCAAACACAAAATTGAAACTTTTTTCAAAGATTCAGTCTTCTACAATTATTACACCTGATGCAATAATGCACACAGCATCAATTCTTCTATTACCTCATTATTTCCCAGCTCTGACTTCTGGGCTGCAGCTGCTTGCTGGTCAGTACTATCTGAAAATAACAAACAACCTTGTTCATTTGACCCATTCTTAAAATCACAGGAATGACAGTAAATTGTTTTTTAAAAAAAGGTATAGATACAATGAAGGTGCTATGAAGAGAATGCATTTTGATGCTCATCACATAAAGTTCAATTCACTCAAAACCATCCGTAATAAAACAACTAAAACATTCAATTTCAGTAATGTAAGCAAATAACAACCTTTTCTAATTCCATCTGAAGATATCAAGGGCTCTTTTGAGGACAAGGCCGATGGTGTTGCTGTCTTAGATGCCATTTTCTTCACTGGGCCTTGGGTGGAGGTCACTTTTTTGCTTTCAATTTGATCATGGTCATTGTCAATCTTTGTTCTTTGGGCTTAAGGTATGGAAATACAGAAACTAAGCATAGTTGTACAAAAAACACTGAGGAACATGCCAGTGATATACATGAACAATGTGAGTAAAGAAATCAATACTGACACTACTTTTGCACCATTAGAAAATAACAATTTTATACAAGTAACTTTTGTATTATTTCAGTCACTTTATACATATAAGGTTCAAACAATAAAAACATTTATAAACAGTTAATGTCAGTCTTCTTCCCATTTTCATTTTACCTTTATATCTATTCATGAGAGTTTTCTTAAAGTCTTCTTTGTATTTGTCTAGTCTTTCCCTAACACTTAAGGATAGACCTTGTTGGGCATCATTCTGAAGTAGCCTCCTCTGCAATAAACAATAGCAAAAGAATACATTAATCAACTAGTATTTTATGGAGTTGTGCTTCCAGCAGCCAACAATCACTAAATTAAAATGAAGCCAGCTGTTATAATAGTGCTCTTGAACTTTCTGTTTCTATCATTGGAAGTATTTTTTAAATAAAATTTGAAGTAAAAATTCTTCCAAGATATTATACTTGTATTCTTTTATTTCACAACAAAGACCTGAGCTTAATCTCTGAGAATTTACCTCCATTAAACATATTGAATTTAAAAAAAAAAAAAAAAAAAAAAACTACTCACCATACCATCTTTCCTATTCTCTATCTGACCACCTTGTTCCCTGGGCTTAAACACCACTGGCTGCTGTTCAATCTTTCCAACAGGACCCAAATGATCAGCACCATTTTGTACCAGATCATTTTTCAAATAATCAGCCTGTCTGCTGTCCTGTTGTTCCACACCCTGATATTTATTTCTATAAATTTTCCTGGCATTTCCATGGATTCGTTTTGGTACTGGTTTTGGAATTTGATGCTGCTCTGCAAGAGGTACTGGTTCGTTATTTAAAGAATCAAATTCACGGATTACGCTTTTAAGTGTTGTTGTTGTGCCTCCATGCTGTATACTTCTCAAATTTTGAACATATTTGGGACTGCTCACTTTCTGATGAATTATGTTCTTTTCTAATTCAGGCAACTGTCCTTCAGTTTCTATTGGTTTCTTTGGCTGAGCAATGACTGGATTCCCTGAATTGGTAAGAAGTATTCATATGAACAAAGATTCAAGTTACAACAAGACACCTTACACAACTGTAAAGACAGATGAAGGTGTGCAAGTGCATGTAGGTGTCAACATTTAGTCCAACATCATAATTAATTTATACAATGCAATAAGCATAATTCTCAGTACTTTACCTTCCATTCCCTTAACTCCACCCAATGATCCCATGGCTAGTCTTAATTCCTTTTCATCCTTTGTTAAGGCAGGGTCTATATTCCTGGACAGGGATTCTTTACCTTGGCTTTGAACTTTGCCTTGAACTTGACCTTGAACTGCTGGAGGGTCAAGGCCAACCTTATCCTCCTCCCTGCGCCATGTTTTGTCTAGCCTGACTAACACTGGGTCTTGCTGTGGCAAGGGTGGATTGCCTTCACGGTCCCACTGTTTATTAAGCCTTTGTACTTGTTCTTGGTCTTTCTCAGCAGCTTCCTTTACATCATTGTTCAACCTGTTCCATCTTTCTGCTACACTATCCACCTGCAAGAATGGAATCAATTCATTCTTAAATGAAACTGCAAAGTTTACATAATAGAAATCTGTATATTTTATATAGCAGTGCATCACAGAAAATGCCAAGGTCAGTTTTGCTTCTTGAAATTAATTTAAAATTTTCATTGGTTAACTACTTTTTATATCAAGCTTAAAAAGTCACTTAAATCATTTCATGAAGCTACTCCTTAAACACATCTGCCATTCCTGTTAGTTTACCTGCTCATAGGGTTGTTGCACCCTTGCTCCCCTGTCCTCCTGAGGCTGCTTCTGGTTGAAATTGTGAGGAGAAATCTGCCCTGCTTTGGCACTGTGTAAACCCTAGTGAAGATATCGAAGGACTGGGCACTCAGTACCCTTCATGATGTATTTCAAACTAGTGAGATTTGGTGTATTTGCATAAAAAATCTTAAATAAACAAAATCACTATTTTTTCTTTTTCAAAAATTGAAAATATTAATGATCACTTAGACACATTGTTATGTGTTCCACCGAGGGCAAAAGAAAAGTACACTAATATTTGGAATAACAGAAACAATGATCACGGACATGCCAACACATATAATGTCATGAATACATTAAAAAATAAAAGTATTATTATAAAAACATTAAAGTATTTTTTTATTATTATTATTTTACCACACATACTTTTTCATGTGGCTCTGTACCAGTCAATGAGGGGTCCAAGTCTACTAATTTCTTCACTAAAGCATGCATCTGAGGGTTCTCCTCACAGCTCCACATATGTGAATCAATGCCAGTTTTTACCTAGATCACAAAATTATATTCACTGAACCACCAGCAAGGGAATGCATCACAGTAAAATAACCTTAACTAGCTTAATTTTTTTTTACAAGACTGCTATCACTTAAGATTATGGTTTTTCCATAATAAAGACCTTAATTTTTTATGGCAAAATTATTACACTATTGTGAAAAAACATATAGCTCATGCTTCAGTATATATTATATGAAATGAAGTGGGTAGTCAAATCTAGAAATCACAATTCAATTATGACATTGATGGCTGTTCAAAAGACTGATAATCTGATCATAACTGTGCATCCTTATGAGGGCTGCTTAAAAGAATGGTGCTTCCTGCTACACGGAACACAACATTCCATTGTTCATGTACTTACAGGTGTATCTTGTAATGAAACAATGTTTGAACCATTGATGTAGAGAGTACATGATCTCTGGTCGTCACGGTATGGCACATGTAACAGTTGATACAATAACCTTTCCTTGGTGGATTGTATGGGACCTGTGTTCAAAAGCATAGATGTTTCTCAAGTTCTTTATTAAATCTGCATAAAATCTGTACAGCAATTTGATATCACTGCTGCTGTGAATTGTGTATTGTTAGCAATCAATTTTATCATAAAATATATATTCAATATGTTAATTTTAATAAAGTAATATTTAAAATGTCTTCAATTAATGGGTTTTTAAATATATATCTATACCTATTACATAAACACCAATTCAATTTCATTCTTTAAATTACTATAATATAAAACACTGTTTTTTTACAACATAAACTTAAACCAAATAAACTATGGTATATAAATACTTACAGTATCACTATAAGTAGCCTATTATGAAAACTGATATTATAACATAAGCATTTCAAAGTTATCATTACCTATGTAGTTTATAACTTGGAGTGGGATACAGTCACTGGTATTAGGGACAAGTAGCTGACTTCCATCATTAAAATGTATGGCAACTGGTTCAGATTCATTTCCAAAATGAAGGTAGCACTGAAAACAACCAGAATAGGATAAATTCAGCACAACTGGAGGCTGAAATATTGTAGATTAAACTCGTTTGAAGGTAAACCACTTTCCAGACTCCCTGTCACATAAGAAATCTTATATTTAACTAGAGGATCAGAGAGGCGATACCGCCTCCTGGTATTGTACCACCAGCTGGAGTAANCCTTACCGTCTAGGAGGAGAAGCGGTAACGGTAGCCGTCCGGCGGAGCCGGCGGGGCCGGCGGAACCGGCGGAGCCGGCGGAGCCGGCGGAACGATCCGGACGGGACCGAAACCATGTGTACCGCCAGCGCTAACGCTGGTGGTACAATTAATGGGATTTCAAACAAATCATTTTAAAATGCAAATATTTTAAAATTAATGTAAGAAATATTTCAGTGTCAAAAAAATATTGTCAAAAAGTCTAAATACAAACCTCTCCTTCAAGTAATGATTTTTCGCAAAAACTTTCTGGTAAATTTCTTGTTCCAGTGAGGACCTGTACCTTGTACAGGTCTTCTCGACCATTATTCCATCCACCAAAATACCCCTTGACTTGCTCCACAACACAGTCCAGACCAGCCACAGTACAGCACTTGTTGAGAAGCACTGGCAAGTTTTCCCAGTTCTTAAAAAAATTGAGCTGAAACACAAATTATTATTTTATAAAAAAAATCATCAACAACCTATGCATGGTATACTACTAAAAATACCCGTAAAAAAAACTTTGCAATAAGCCACATCTGCTCGAGCAATTTGTATATAAAGTGCAAGTTGGTGTGACCTACATAAGGTCTCCAGGTTTTAGAATCTATCAAAACAGCAAAGCACATTTGCATTACATCATACAGAGAAAAATAACTCCTCTATAAAAATTAACAGGCTTAAAAATGATGCACAGCAGTTTTCCTTATTTCTCCATGATCAAAGTACCTGTATATCTTATCTCTGCCATATAACAATTAATGCATAAAGTGCACAGTATGATACCTACCATATGCTTATTATTGGTGCTGATGTCTGCTACATAGGTATTTCTAGCCAGAGATAAAAGTCTTGCTAATAGTTCTTCATATTCATGAGGTAGAAGGTCACCAACCATGGAAGTTAAATTGCTGAGTAGGATAGTGTTGAAAAGAACCTGAATTTTGAGCAAAGCAAAAAAAATTAACTAACATCTATTGAAATGCATGTATCTATTATATTCAATTTTAAAAAGTGGTTGAAAATGAATAAATGGGCAGCTGTATCAGACTAGTCCAGGTGTATAAATGTGTACAAAAACAATAATTTGGAAAGAACAAGTGTGGCATACTAGCATCCTAATCAGAGGAAGTGCAAAATCCAGAACATGATTTTAACTACAGAAAATGAGAATACAGAACCACCTGTACAACATTGTGTGGATTGGCACTTCAAGGTATGCAGAATTCACTGCTCTATGCATTCAGAAGTCTGATAATTATCAATTTAATCAAAATGCATTCAACAACTTTGGTCTTATTCACAAAAGCATCATATAATACTGCTTTTTCATCTAGAACTTCAAGCATAAAAAGTATGATTCTATGCCAGATATATGAATACCCTGTAAACGATGTTTTTTTTTCATTTTATTTTATTTATTTTTTTTTTGCATCATGGTACTTAACATGAATTTTTTAATGCTGTTTGCTTTACCTGATTATCATTATAAAGATATTCAACAGCTGCTGGTAGATTGTCTTGAAACAATGAGCCAACATACAGGTTCGGAATACTATGGTAAGTTAAGAGATTTTCTTTTACTGGTAACTTTGAATCTGGAAAACAAAATAAAACAAATGGCCAAGATGTTTAAGTCTGATGCTGAAAAAAATGATACACAGGTGATGGAGTAAGGTTTGGGTTTTGCTGCTTCATATATGTTCTTGTTCACAAAGAATTTTGTTCTAGTTGAATAGTATTGGGTGTTTTTTTTTTTTAATTTGATTTAAAAATGTATGGTATAATCATCACTGTGAAGTGGTAATTTACAATAATTTACAATAATTAATTTTTTGTACATAAGGCCTTCAAATTAGAGAGAAAACAGAGAAGACTCCTGGGAATTGTATCATTATGAGATTTAGAAGAAAAATAAGTGGCAGCAACAACTTTAATGTTACACATAATTCCGATCATTGTAATAAGTATAATTGCATGAAATTTTAAAATTGATTCAAATTTTTAAGGATTATGTTGTAACAAATAAGAGTTTAGTGACCTCAATAAGGTCATTGTGATAAAGAAGTGTTATAGTAAGGTAATATATCTTATTGCCCTTAGTTATACCTTCCACAGGGGGAAGAGAAAAACGGTAAAACTATTAACTTGAACTTAGACATCCTTTGACCAGTCTCAGCCCTCAAAGCAGTATCTGAAAGACTTATCACACTTGTGACTTGAAAAAATGAAAATGGCTAAGTCTCCCCCCAATCCCCACAACTGCTTGATTGCCTTAGTACTGATGTGTTTATAAAATAAAGTGGAGATGTTTAGACACAGAGAGTTCAAATTTCTATAAATCTAAACTGGTTTAGATAAACCTATGTAATCATTTTAAAAAATCCAATTACCTTTAATTTATCACGTGTTACTATTAAGCTTGTATCTAAAAACAACTCACCTTGTATGAGCAGTGCTATAGCTGTATATGTATGGGTAGTATCAGCCAGCAGGGAAACTGTATAACCAGAGCCTATTTCCAATATACTGCCTTTGTGTCCTTTCATTTCACTTATATATGATACAGATTTTGGCAATGTGTGCTGAGGGACCTCTGGTAAAAAATCATGTACAATAATAATATCATGGAAGTTTTTGATAAGTACTGTGAACAGTAAAACATGGATAACATTTATAAAGAACTATGAGAAAATGTAAGGTGTCAAGTGCAATATATCAGTCTCTGATAAAACTAACTGACAACCGTAGAAATATAGGAGGTAACACCTGAAAATTTCTCATACCTCTTGATAAAAATAATTTTTTTCATGTTAAACAATATGAAACATTACTTTTAAAACATATCACTGAGAAATAATCAAGAAAAATTGCAGTAGTATCATAATATTAAATAGATCATAAAATAGGATCAAATATATCTTTTGTACTTAGACCACATTCACATCGAGTTGAGCCAGGCTTTACAAATCCTGGGACTAAATGTGGCGGACGTACATGAAAGAAAAACCGCCTAATCTTTCAATAGTCTCTCCGCCTCTTACACGCCTCCCCACACGTCGTCCCTGCAGGGGTACAGTCATTAAATCTCGGCTCCATTGGGACGACACATGGGGAAGCGTGTGAGAGGCGGGGAGACTATTAAAAGATTAGGCAGTTTTTCTTTCATGTACGTCCGCCATATTTAGTCCCAGGATTTGTAAAGCCTGGCTCAACTCGTTGTGAATGCGATCTTAGAAAGACTAAAAATGTCATATTGATAGATTTGAACAATTATTACCATTATCAGGAAGTCTGCCAAATCTTAGAGCAGAACAAAGCCTCTTCATGACAAGGACATCCCCTGGAAGTTTCTCTTCTTGCTGTTTCTCTAACTAAAAATCCAAACAATTGTCACAAAACAGTTAAAGGGATAACAACTCTTCATATGAGATTCATATTTCACAATAAATACATTGTGAACAACTCATAGAATCTGAATTTGATATCTTTGCTTATGACCACGGGACCTTCATAGATGGCTACTCACTGTAATAATCTCTTCTTTATAAGATTATTACAAAAAAACGAACTCCTGAAAAAAAAACAGACTAATTTTGAATGTCAGAATGGATTCATTCACCATTGGTAAGTGTAGGAAAATTGTCATTTACCCCCCCCCCCTTTTTTTTCCAAAATAAACAGTTGTTATCACTTGACTTAAATGCACCTTTAACAGACTAACACGCCCCTGAGTAGAATACAGAGAAGCTGGTGCTTATACAAGTAAACAAGAGGAAGGGTGTTCGTCTCTTATATCTAACTGTATTTAGTGAGAGTCCCTGATGGGTTAGGTCGCACTAGCCAGGTAGGTCCACCTAATTCATTCTGAACGACTCATGCACAGAGAAAACGGATAAACACACCGTGTTTAAATTTGACACCCCTGAATCACTTTCCCTCCTGACCGCGTCCATATATTCTCTTTTAGCCACACTGTCATCTACAACTTGTAATCCAATAGTTGTATAAAAATCCTTGTATTCTTCATATATCTTCCTTCTAATTTCTTTGCCTCGGACCGCACGTGACGTACGCGAAACTTCGCCCACCTGCTGCGGGGATGGTTTAACATGTCTGTTCATATCTCCCTTTTGTGTCAAATAATTTGCAGCACTGTTGACATAATTCCTGTTATATTGAAGGCCTTCCTTCCATTCAGTTAATGCACATATAGTTTTAGAGACAATCACAAGCACATAAAAGGCGCAGAGAGCTTTAAATGCGGCTGCTCTCTCCGCCATCTTTTTTGTTTACGTCAATGCATGCTGGGAGATATTAAACTTCCGACAAAAAGTGACAAATTTTGTTATCTATATCTTACAAAGGATACTGTCAATTATAATCAGCAAACAGTATATTCAATCTTTCTTTTTCTCGTACTTTTAATCGAATTAATTCATTGAATTTCAGATCTCGCTTTTCTTTGAACAACACGAGAAATACACGAGTACCAAATAAGCAATATGGGAGACACCACGCTGAAAGAAGTTGTTGAAAATTTGACCGATATTTCTCCAGGACCGGAGACAAATGGCACAGCAAAGATACCAGCAACGCCAGAGGGGATGGCGGTTGCGTATGGAAGTTTAGTTTTGATGGCATTACTGCCAATTTTCTTCGGATCACTTAGGTCCGTAAGGTACCATAAGGAGCAAAAGGTAAGTGGCAGCAGCCGGCGTTTTTTATTCCTGCTAAACAGTAAAAAAAAAAATAGTAATAATACAAGGAGACCATAAAGTCAATAAATTCCCTGATTTTACATCTAAGTCATATAAGGCATGCGAACGAACAACTTCAACAACTTCATTCACATTACTTCTGCTAGATTTGCTTTTACACATGAGTTATTTGTTATTCCACTCGTGCCAACGTGAACAGAATTGGTGACATATGCCATATGGCAAGGTTTTTAAAGTAGACAGTTGCTTGCTGAAATTTGTCGCTTTTGTTTATGAAAATTAGACACAATGTATATTTATTTCCCCATTATTTCATTGAGGAATCTGGAGAAAAACCTGAAACGATGTCAAGTAAAGATGCAGCCATGTTTCCCATCATTGCCAGCTGCACCCTCTTGGGGTTATATATATTCTTTAAGGTAATGCCTCTCATGTTTTTGTCAAAATATGTGAATGACATCTGTTTAGTAAGTTTGCTCTGTTATTTGAAAATTAGCCTACTTGTAAATAAAACATGCCAAAAAATGGAATAGTGACGCAAAATATGTTAATAATGCATGTTAAAGATGTTTAAAAGATCTAAACAAAACAAATGAAAAAAAGTAAAGTTCCATATGCAAATTTTGCCGTCCGTGCCTGAACCAACATACTCTTGTGTTTCTCTATTGTCATTATAGATAGTCTGACTTAATTTTCCAGATTTTCTCCAAAGAGTACATCAACCTACTCCTGACATTTTATTTTTTCTTCCTTGGAGTGCTTGCCCTTGCGCACATCCTAAGGTATGTTAGAAAGAGATGATGATTGTACGGAAATGTACAGTAGTCCAGGCATAACTTAGTGGTATCAAGATCTTAGTTTTCAACAGTATTCATTTTTGTATGTATTTTGATCTCTGGAACTAAATAGTTTTCTAAGCAGCTTTATGTAGATAATTTGGCAATGCACTACCAACAAAACATAGAAAGGGTCACACAGTAGCTGTCTCTGTACTGAGATTTGTTGATAATTTTTTTTATTGAAAGACCATGTGTAAATGAGCCCTTTTTTTATTTGTTTAACCCTATAGCCCTGTAGTGAACAAGCTGATCCCAGCAGCATTCCCAGATGAGCAGTATCACTTACTGCTGAGAAGAGGGAAAGATAAAGAAAAGAGAGAAGGTTGGTGGTCCCTATAGAATTTCCTTTCTTTTTATATTATTATTATTATTATTATTATAAAATATAATAAAATATCAAAATAGAAAATTAATCCATATCTTCAATGTTTACAATATATTAAGTAATTACATCTTCTTTAGATAGCAGAGAAAACACACTTATTGTTTATCTTTGATAAATTTTATTCCTGTTACAGATCTCATGGACTATGAGTTCAACAATAAAGATCTTGTGTGTCTTCTCTTGTGTGCTGGGTTTGGTGTCTGGTACCTGCTGAAGAAGGTGAGAGTGTGAGGCACATGGCATAAGTTTCACTTCAACAAAATTGTTTGGTTTTCTAATGATTGTTAGAAAAAGAAACATCTATGATGCTTAATGGAAATTTCACTTTCAGCTTTGCTCACTCCTAATAAAGTTATAAACAATTTTGTAATGTCTGATATCGGATTGATGAAACATGTTTACACCTACATAGGTGAAAGTTTCTGGGATTATGCCTGATTTCGGGATTTTCAGTCTTTATTTTGATGTTTTTTTTCCCCCATATGGTCCAAATACCACACAAAATTGCAATCAACATTTTCAGGATTTCAGTTTTTACAACTTTCACCTGTCCACCTAATTCTTTTATTATATTCTATTTGCAGATGCCATATGATTGACATTGATAAAAGTTGTGATTTTTAAACAAATTATGTTAATTTTTTTTACAGCACTGGATTGCCAACAACCTGTTTGGGCTTGCCTTTGCTGTCAATGGCGTAGAACTGCTACAGTTGAACAGAATCAGCACAGGCTGTATACTTCTAGGCGGGCTCTTTCTTTATGACATATTCTGGGTTAGTATTCATAGGAATTGGTAAAAACAGTTTTTTTAGCTTGGTGAAGTCATATCACAAGCTCTTTTGGTAGCATAAGCCATTCAAAGAAATTGCAGACTATTTTTTAGACTTATACCAATATGAAGACACTGAATAAATGGGACAGTTGGGTGAATAACCTAGGCTGCATTTTAGTCAAGTTTTGAAAAACTTTTAATGTATTATCTCAGCAGACATTGCAATTAGGAATCTTAACTGTAAGAAGTCAGTCTAAAGGCACCTGTTTCTTCTCAGTGACTGTAGAGGACAACAGCGGGTTTTGACTGGATACCCACAGATAGAAGTTGCAGTTGTATGATCTGCTGAGATAGTGCTTAAGTTTTAATATTTTGCCTGGAAATTATGCCATAGGGTTTCTGTATTTCATTAAGGCATACATTATATTGGTTAAAAGGATTGCACAGAATTGTGTTGTAGAGTAAATGTTGCTCAGAATTAGAAAATATTTGTTAATTGCAGTATTATTTGTATTACAGGTATTTGGAACCAATGTCATGGTCACTGTTGCCAAATCCTTTGAAGCGCCAATCAAATGTAAGTGCATCAGTGTCAACATTCAGTGTACCAATTTTATTTTTTAAATGATTTAAAATTTTTTTAGCTATTGTTTTTACCACAGTAACCAGATTTTTTAACATGCATAATAATAACAACAATTGATAATGGAATGAAACAAATCATTGTACGCTATTATGGGCATTGCTCTTATTGTAATGGAAGTAGCCTCTGAATAGTAAATATTTTTTTTTTTTACATTTTTATGAAATGATTAACATTCATTACCTATACAAGTTCTTCATGGAAATATTATCAGTTGTACATTTTATTTTGTCTGAGAAGATGAGTGATTTTAAACATTGTGTATGTGAGAGTTACTTAGGTTATCATCTTTTCAGTGGTGTTTCCTCAGGATCTCCTGGAGAAGGGGCTTGCAGCTAATAATTTTGCCATGTTAGGACTGGGAGATATTGTTATTCCAGGCATATTTATTGCCCTTTTACTGAGATTTGATGTCAGGTATAAAAAGTACAGCTTCTCTGTTGCAATACTTATAATTTTCTTTGCTATTTGATCATTAAAAATGCACTGTTTCATTGAGCTAGTTGAATGGTAGCATTTTTCTTTTTTTAATCCATGAAAACTTGTTTAATTTAATAAATTTAGATTGTATAATTTTTTTATACATGATCTGAAATTAAACAATTCATTTTCAGGTGTTTTAGATTTTAAGAACTCTTTAATGCTGAATTCTTATTTTACTTTATTTGTGATGCCTTTTTTTCAGTCTGAAGAAGGGTGGCAAGGTGTATTTCTACACTAGTTTTGCAGCATATTTCCTGGGCCTAATGACTACAATATTCATCATGCATGTATTCAAGCATGCACAGGTATGTCAGGTCTTTTCCTAAACATTTAAACCTTGTTCTTGTTATTTGCTGTACTACAGGTACCTCTAAATAATATCACCTTTCTATTGATGCAGTCAGTCAAGATTCAATATTTTATTAGAAGCTTATTCAGTTTTTCATCTCAATGCCTCATGATTGCACAAAACTAATTTGCAAAAACCCCTTTCTATGTATAGACATTCTTTCTGTAAAAGAAAAGAAAATATGTGTCTGCTTGCAACTTTGGTGGAGCATTTTTGATAAGTAATTGAATATTTCAGCCGGCCTTGCTGTACCTTGTGCCTGCATGTATTGGTGCACCACTCATAACTGCCATTGTAAGAGGGGAACTTAAAGAACTGTTTGCGTAAGTAGATAACAGCTACAGTTACAGTTTTTAAAATAAAAATGCTTTAGTATAAGTCACATTGTCTGATAATGAATACTGAAACAAGTTGTATGTGATATTTTTGTTATCAACTATGTAGTAATTCTTTAAAAAAGAAATATGCAGTGTAAAAAAAAGTTATGTATCTAAAATTTGTGAATCTTAACAATTGGGATCTTTGTCTGGCAAATCCTGACACTTTTAATAATAGAACTCTCATTAAATTTTGGTTCCTTGTGTCAGTCGTCATTGTCCACTGTAAGACAATTTAAAGTGTGAATTCACACCAATATTGTTACATGACATGCTTCAGAAGCTTTAAGTTTTGAGTAATTATATATGTCAAATGGTGATTTATTTATTTATTTATTTATTTATTTATTTTTCAGTTATGAAGATAACCCAGAGAAACTGGAGGAGACAAGTGAAGAGGATGAGAAATCTACAGAGAACAAACAGACATCCAAAGAGGACGGAAAAGAAGAAAAGAAAATCAAATAATAACATCTCATTGATAGAATGATATACTTTTTTGTTTTTTTGAAGTATAGTGCATATATTTTCAGCTTTTTATATCACTATTATTTATTTCAAAGTGAATTGTACAGGTAGTGTACTTGGTTTCAAACATGTTATCATTACATCTGTATGATAAGTGAAAAGGAAAAAGTTGAACATTGCTTGTTTCACTCTTTTTAGTAATATTATTACTTTGTTGCAACTTGTTGGGAGAATGGCAAATAACTTTGTTCTCTATTCCTGGAGATTATTATGAACTAAATTTTATTGCCTTTGCCATTTGGAAAAATTAATTGGGTAAATGTGGTTTGGAATGGATGTCTAGTTAACAATTTTCATAGAATGCTCAAACAATATTTAAAGTCTCACATTATTTAATTTTAGTAACTATTATTTCCATAAGATACATATGGACAGAAACCATTGTAATACTGCACTCTAGGATGCTGGATATTTAAGTGACACTGTTATTTGCCGACCAGAGTAAACTCCTTACATTTACGTTGTTAATGTAAAATATCAAACATCAGTCAATGTCCTTTTTGACACTTGCCTAATACAATAGTGTTTCAAGACTTTTTCTTAAACTTTTGAGTATAATATCTGACAGAACTATGGGTCCATTTACTTTGATTTAGGCTGGTGAGTTACTTTATTATGGTTGCATGTTGTAGAAAGTGACTTGGATATAAATGTATTTCACTAATGAATGTGAAGCAGAGAAAATATAGTTTATGTAAAGTGAACAGCTATACCATTTGCATGTTGTTCAGTATATAAAATGTGTATTTATTTGATCAGAAGTATAATGAATGTGTTTTAGAACTATCAGATTTAGCGTAGATGGAAAAAACTCGAATCCTACAGCCACGAAATCCAGTTCTTGAATATGAGTTTTACCAGGATTCAGGAATAGGTGATTCTGACCTTACCTGGCCCATAATGCTGACGTTGTTAAGTCTTTCAAATGGTGCTTTAGTTGTTCAAATACTAAATGTATAACTATTTTATCTCTGTAGTACATTGGTCACATGAAACCCAGGGTCTCAGAAATGTAGTCTTACTTAGTTTTTTGTTGCTTTAGATAGTTAAGTATTGACTAAATATGTAGTAGTCTTTATTTCTTCCATTTACTGAACACTCCTTATTTTATTTTTTACAAAATAATATGTTATAGTCACAGTAGGTGCAAAGTGGTGCAAGGTGAAGGTTATGAAACGACCGAAAAAAGAAAATATTCCATTGATTTAATGGATTTAAGAGATAAATATATTGAATATATTCAGCAACTTGCGGGTCTTTTTTTAATTCGTAAGAACTTATGCCAAGTTACAATGTAAAGCACGTCACCCTCCACAGTTCATAATTGATTGCGGGCTGTCTGCTGTACGTCTCTCCTACCCTCTCTTAATACAGTGGTCTCTAGTGTAGTAAAGAGACCACTAGCGACCCCTGTGGCAAGAGATTATATCTTTCCCAACAGATGGGGGCTTTCCTCCCAACTACGGAAACTAGTGACATTGAGATTAGGGACCTTTTACACCTGTGCGTGCTAAGGCTTGGTCATAAACTAGATTAAGGCTATTAACATCCCTGGGAATAAAAGGCCTACATGTTTTAACAAGCAAATTCAAATAAAATACGTCTATATGTTTGTTATCTTCTTAAACTACAAAGAAGTTTATTGGCCAGGCATGAAGTGTATAGTATTTGCGCAATGGATGAAAGAATCTTATAGTTTCTCGAAAACCGTTTCTCGTTACAATTCAACTCGGTTATTTTACAAAAAAAAAAAAAAAAACATTTGCTTGTGATCATGTCGTGCGAGGGTTTTACTCTACTTTTCTTTCCTTTTAAAACCAGGACAAAACTCCGGTTTGTTTGATAGCATTTTATCAGGCACGTCCAAATTTGAGAATTGTCACCTGACGGTGTCTTGCTAGTGAAACGCGTCGTCTACAGACGTAATATCCGTTAGAAAAATAAAACGGTCTGATAAGAGGACACAGCATACCAACTTTAAAAATCTCACGTGGATCGTGTCTGGCGAACTCCGGCGGTGACCTGCCTCTCGATTAACATGGCCCGTGTCCTTATGGTAGTGATCCTGTGTCTTCAGTCACTGTGGTATTTACGTAAGTCATAATTCAATTTTTGCATGTGTGTGTGTGTGTTTAATTCTTTCTGAAGACCCAAATGTTTTATGTCTTATTAAAGTGTCCATGGGCATGTATAGATTCGTGAAGAAAAAAGAGACGGTGTTTGGGGTTATGCCTTCCAAAAACTAAAGCTTGAAGCACGACTTTATTTTGATCTTGAATTTGGATCAATTCAGTGATTGAAAGATTTGTGCTTTTCCATAATAGAGGCCAAGTTTTATTTAACTCTGCTTTTTATGTAAACTGTGAGGTAAAAATAAAAAGATGGAATAATTTGTATATCATCATTCTTTTTATCGTGACTACGTGTTGGTATTAGAATCAACTAATTTCATTTGCAGACGCTCGTGAGGTAACCGATCCAGAAGTAGTTGAAATTGTGAATAATCGTCAGAGGCGGGCCGACGATGAGTCGGTATGTTATCCAAGAGTTGGCTGTTTTAACAATTCCGCTCCATTCAACAACGCCTACAACGAACTCCCTTCAGATCCAGACGAAGTAGGGACTGGCTTCTTTTTGTACACCCGTAACAACCCAGATGTCCCAGAAAACATATCTAACAGTGACAGAGGCGCAAGTCTAAAAAGTTCATCCTTCAATAAAGACCTCCCTGTGAAATTCATTACCCACGGATTCACAGATAGCAGAAATGCGTCATGGATGAAACTTATGGTAGATGCTTTTTTGAAAGTGGTAAGTTAAATTACTTTGACTGACAAGAGCGTATTTATTATATATTTCATTTGTTATATATATATCATACTTTTTATCAATATTTTGAAGAGGCCGTTCCCATTGGAAAAGGTGTTTGGACTCCATTAGGGAGGGATATTGGGTACCCTCTACAGCATGTACCGGGGCTACAGATTGGTTTTTCACTAGATACTCACAGATAATGTCTATGGCTAAATATGGTCAATCTTCTGGAAAATGTGCCTAAAACATCTGCCACCCTAGAACAAGGTAGATATTGGGAGCTATTCCAAGTGCTTTTACCACTGATAACATTTTTAAATTCTTAAAAGTACATACTTTGTGATTATGCAAATAAATAGTAGACCGAGTTTCACGTACTTTATAGCAATCAATTTTACAATCAGGCGACAGGCATAACAATACTCATATCCACATGAGGGTAAAAAACAATGGCAAATACGTAACAGCTTATCTAATTATTAATTTTGTGAAAATTTAATCTAGTACCTTCGATACCCTGTCCCCGCCAAATGTTTTTAAGGATGCGGAAAGATGCGGGGGAGGGGGGACGTGGCTGTCTTCTTAACCAACCAAGATATACTGACATGTTGCATATCAATAAAAAGCTTATTTCAACAGCATCCTGAAATTATTATAAGCTCATATGTATCGCTAAATTTGCTGCCTTCCTCAACAAGTTATATAAAAAGTGAAAAATACACGGATAGTTAACACTAAGTGACTCCTGCTTTAACAGTTAACTGTTGCAACAACTTTGTGTTTAAGTTTTATAGACGATACATAAAAGAAAAATAATAGATAATTTAATTCACCCAAACTTTATACTTGGCATCTTCGAGTGGTTATTTATTATTAAAAATACAGTTTTTGATTTATTCAGTTGTTTTAAACGAAGATAAAATGGAATTATGATTTACTCTTCGACTTGATCTTAGGTTAGCGGGGGTCTTCCAGATATCACAAGGCCCTCTTCAGGTAAACTGAGGTTGAGTTTTCATCTAGGAGCTTACAGTATGATATCAAGTTATTGAAAGGAAACATACAACATAGATATTGGTTAGCTTTTTGTAATGCAAACAACCCTCTTGCTTTTCAGTGAAAATTGATAAATTGATACAAGTGCAACAAATTATGTTTTAGTTTACCGGTTTACGCCATTTTATATGGGTAAATGTGGTGTGCTGCAAACAAATGAACATTGCAAGATATGTTGTTTATTTGATCGTTCCCTTTGTTCATCCTTTCCCTTCTCAGTGTATACAGCCATGGCTATGCATGTAATAATTATATGTTATCATATTTATCACTATACTATGAATTTCCAGCTTTTCCTCCAATTTCTCGTAATTTAGGGACCGATGAACGTCGTTCTCGTAGACTGGGAAAACGGAGCAAAGGCACCAAACTATCCAAAGGCTACTGCTAACACGCGCCTGGTCGGCAGAGAAATAGGTTTGATGGTTAAATTAATGGTCAGCAAGATGAAATCCAAGCATAGTCTGATCCATTTGTTAGGACACAGTCTGGGTGCTCATATATCGGGGTATGCTGGGGCATACCTAGGTGGAAAGATTGCTAGAATTACAGGTAAATGAGTGAAGTGCCATGAAAGCGAAGTCTTTCCTTCGGATTATCCGGTTTTCCGTAATTGTCTCAGTCTGATTTAGAACGAATAATGATGTAAAATGAATATGGAAATAGGGTTTTCATCCCAACAGAATATTGTCAATCTGGCGATGCGAAAGAATCAAATAAATTAACGATGAACTTAATTCTTTAATTCTCGGAAATGGTTTGAATAAACCAAAGCACACGGACAGTTAAATAAATCAAAATGCTTCCCGCAAAAAATGAAGTATAACANGTCTTATTAAATTGTTCATGGGCATATACAGATTCGTGGAGTTAAAAAGAGACGGTGTTTGGGGTTAGGCGTTCCAAAAATTAAAGCTGGAAACTCGACTTTATTTTGATCTTGAATTGGTTCAATTCAGTGATTGAAAGATTTGTGCTTTTTCATAATAGAGGCCAAGTTTTATTCAACTCTGCTTTTTATGTAAACTTTCAGGTAAAAATAAAAACATGGAATAATTTGTATATCATCATTCTTTTTATCGTGACTATGTGTTGGTATTAGAATCAACTAATTTCATTTGCAGACGCTCGTGAGGTAACCGATCCAGAAGTAGTTGAAATTGTGAATAATCGTCAGAGGCGGGCCGACGATGAGTCGGTATGTTATCCAAGAGTTGGCTGTTTTAACAATTCCGCTCCATTCAACAACGCCTACAACGAACTCCCTTCAGATCCAGACGAAGTAGGGACTGGCTTCTTTTTGTACACCCGTAACAACCCAGATGTCCCAGAAAACATATCTAACAGTGACAGAGGCGCAAGTCTAAAAAGTTCATCCTTCAATAAAGACCTCCCTGTGAAATTCATTACCCACGGATTCACAGATAGCAGAAATGCGTCATGGATGAAACTTATGGTAGATGCTTTTTTGAAAGTGGTAAGTTAAATTACTTTGACTGACAAGAGCGTATTTATTATATATTTCATTTGTTATATATATATATCATACTTTTTATCAATATTTTGAAGAGGCCGTTCCCATTGGAAAAGGTGTTTGGACTCCATTAGGGAGGGATATTGGGTACCCTCTACAGCATGTATCGGGGCTACAGATTGATTTTTCACTAGATACTCACAGATAATGTCTATGGCTAAATATGGTCAGTCTTCTGGAAAATGTGCCTAAAACATCTGCCACCCTGGAACAAGGTAGATATTGGGAGCTATTCCAAGTGCTTTTACCACTAATAATATTTTTAAATTCTTAAAAGTACATACTGTGTGATTATGCAAATAAATAGTAAATACTATAGGTCTACCGAGTTTCACGTACTTTATAGCAATTAATTTTACAATCAGGCGACAGGCATAACAATACTCATATCTACATGCGGGTAAAAAACAATGGCAAATACGTAACAGCTTATTTCTGTCTATTTAATTATTAATTTGGGAAAACTTAATCTAGTACCTTCGATACCCTGCCCCCGCCAAATGTTTTTAAGGACGCGGAAAGATGCGGGGGAGGGGGGACGTGGCTGTCTTCTTAACCAACCAAGATATACCAACATGTTGCATATCATTAAAAAGCTTATTTCAACAGCATCCTCATATTTTTATAAGCTCATATGTATCGCTAAATTTACTGTCTTTCTCAACAAGTTATATAAAAAGTGTGGTGTGCTGCAAACAAATGAGCATTGCAAGGTATGATGTGTATTTGATGGTTCCCTTAGTTTATCCTTTCCCTTCTCAGTCTATACAGCCATGGCTGTGCATTTAATAACAATATGTTATCATATTTATCACTATACTATGAATTTCCAGCTTTTCCTCCAATTTCTCGTAATCTAGGAACCGATGAACGTCGTTCTCGTAGACTGGGAAAACGGAGCAAAGGCACCGAACTATCCAAAAGCCACTGCTAACACGCGTCTGGTCGGCAGAGAAATAGGTTTGATGGTTAAATTAATGGTCAGCAAGATGAAATCCAAGCATAGTCTGATCCATTTGTTAGGACACAGTCTGGGTGCTCATATATCGGGGTATGCTGGGGCATACCTAGGCGGAAAGATCGCTAGAATTACAGGTAAATGAATGAAGTGCCATGAAAGCGAAGTCTTTCTTTCGGATTATCCGGTTTTCCGTAATTGTCTCAGTCTGATTTAGAACGAATAATGATGTAAAATGAATATGGAAATAGGGTTTTCATCCCAACAGAATATTGTCAATCTGGCGATGCGAAAGAATCAAATAAATTAACGATGAACTAAATTCTTTAATTCTCGGAAATGGTTTGAATAAACCAAAGCACACGGACAGTTAAATAAATCAAAATGCTTCCCGCAAAAAATGAAGTATAACATCGATACGTGATTCTACTATTGAATCAGGTTTAGATCCGGCTGGGCCTTTCTTTGAGAGCTACCCTCCCATAGTCCGCCTTGATAAATCCGACGCCAAGTTTGTAGATGTTATCCACTCCAATGGGGCTTCCATTACCTCCGGGGGCGCTGGTCTTAGATTGCCAGTTGGCGACGTGGATTTCTACCCCAATGGAGGCGGATATCAGCCCGGATGTGGGAATCCAATCAGGGGCAGTTTGGCACAACTTTTCAATGGGAATTTTCAAGGTAATCTTTTACGTACAATTAATTGTCAAATGATTTAACTATTATGTGTTAGATTGCACGTTTATTATTATTTTTTTAACATTTTTTTACTGTAGAGAACTGACCTATGTAGGTCTAATATTGTTCCATGTAGAGCTCAATGAACTATCATCATCGTCAATATTTTTTCACCATTAGTAGTACCACCAGCGTGAGCGCTGTCAGTATACTCATGGATTTAGTCCCGACCCGTTTCGTCCGGCTCCACCGGCCCGGCGTCATGCCGGCGGATGTATTTCACCGTTACCGCTTCTAGTCACTATTAGACTAGACTACTAGACTACCTGTGTCCTCATCTATTGGAATTAGGTCAATTTGAACCCCCTAGATATTGGGATCTGTCGGTGCATGCATATGGATAGGTGTGGCGCTCGTCTGATGCACCTTTGTCAAAATATTTGAAAATCAAATGTTAAATATCTCCCAAACCGAAGAAAATACAGTAGAAAATATGAGAATATAGTTACTACAGAAGCCTGACCGAAAGTTATATGTGGAGATTTCTATTATGACCTTGAATTTGACCTTAACACCTTCATTTCAAAGTGAAATGGACCAAAATTTTGAAAAAAAGAAAATTTTCTGAGAAAAAAATATTTGTTTGTGTCGATCTTAAAAGGCCCTTTGTAAATTATTTGGCCCTTGTATCTCCTAGCAAAAGGGAGACATCTATATAGTTGTTATTGAACTTAAATTACGGTCATATATTAGAAACTTTATGTAGCCTTCAGTTTGACCTTGGTCCGACTTTTTCACATGAAAGGCAACTCATAAACGTCCCAGCCCCCACATATTCTCCACAGCCCCCACATCCACAACAGCTACCACTGGACTTGAGTGCACTTAATCTCGCTGGTGGTACAATATCCGGCGGGGGTATCGCCGCTCAATTCCTTAAGTTATTATTATTATTATTATTATTATTATTATTATTATTATTAGATAAAGAGAATTTTCATGTTTAAAATCTCATTTGTAGGAGCAGGTACCACCATAGCATGCAGTCACAAAAGGGCCATACTTGTATTTGTGGACTCCATGGTTTCTGATTGTCTGTTTACGTCGTACCCATGTGCAGATTGGGTAAGCATAGATGACTTGTGCAAGGAGGGGAGGTTGAAACAAATTGCGTATTCAGTCATAGCACCGTCTCATACGGGAATAACAGATACATACTCAACCTTAAAGTAATGCAAAATATGCCAAATTTTAATGGCCAATGTTGAATAAACAAGATATATTTGCCAGTTTCACTGATCTAAAATAACACACAAAATCAAACGCAGCCCTGAAAACTGCCAATATCAAATATATATGTAGTTCATGCAAGGACACACAATCGCAAATAACCATTTTACTTTCTTTTTTAAAAGGACGCATTTAATAGAGGCGAGTGCTTGGACTGCAGTTGGTCTACAGGAGGATGTTCACAGATGGGTTACTATGCAGACAAGTACAAAGTTACTGGAAATTTGTATTTGAAAACAATTTCTTCTTCTCCTTATTGTGGTAGGTTTATATATGTACACACATATAAACATCTACATATAGATAATAGATAATAGACAATGGTCTTTGGAGGGTAAAATGGTCAAGAAATATCTTTTTTAACTAATAAATGGAAAGGTGTCGCGTTTCCGTAGTAACACTTTACTTCTAGCTTCGTCTGAAGTTTGGGTATAGTTATTATAACTCTACAAATTCCAAACTACAACTTTTTTGTTGATGGAATAAAATTGATAGTGGTCAAAACCTTCGAGAGAGGCAAATGTGAAAATTCATTCCGTTGGTGTAATGCGCATTTCATCAAAATGAAAATCGAAATAATGCGATTTATTTATTTATTTATTTATTTATTTATTATCAATAATTTACTTGGCTTTAGGCTTCAACTATGCTGTAGAAGTCACACTTTCTAACAGTACCAAGGGCCAGGTCAAAATACGATTAGTCGGGGAGCATGGATTATCAGATGTTCTAGAGCTTACTGGGCAAGTAATCTTACTATTATGGTCACTTTATATCTTTTTCACTTTTTTAGTTGTGTTAATTTAAAAAGAATAACATTTGCGAGAGAAAAGCAAGTCGCATGCCAAGTGGAACAATACGGCCAAATATATAATAACACCTTACTTATCTGCTGACTTAGCAAAAACAAGTAAAAACACGTGTGTCTTGCAAACTGACGCAGATGAATTAATGGCATTTCTCTTTATTAGTAAGAGTGACACATTAGAATCTGGAGCACCCATCAAGGGAATAGCAATTGCTCCGCAAGCATTAGGAAACATAAAGGACGTGCAAGTCTTCTACGACAAAAAGGACAGTAAGCTTTTTGGACTCTTTTCCGCTGGAGCTGAGAGCTTGGTGGTCAAAGCTGCCACGGTATCTGCTGCAGGGAACAAACAGTTGTAAGAACATAATCACGTTCTAATTTTTCGATTAAGAAACCAGCTTATAAAAAAACTGGATTTAAATCTGGATACCATAAAAAAGTATACGAAAATGCAATATTCTCCCATTTAAAATCAGATAATCTATCAGAGGAATAATTTTATTTCTCTGGCGTGAAAGGATACCGTGTATAAACCAATATTGAAAATCCATCAAATCAATAGAGTTCGTTTAGAATTGCTGAATCATGATAAATTTGATAGAAATCAGAATGCAATTATTCCTATTCAGGTAAAAAAAAAAGTATCTTAAAATTTTTCTTTAATTTGTTAGTATGTTAATTAATTGTATTTATATTTTACAGATGGACTTTCAATGCCCGCCAAACGGAAGTATCTGATGACACCTGGGTGTCCATGGTAACTAGCAAGACAATAGCTAGCTTGAATCCAGATGGATCAGTTGTAGTTGGCTGAAATTTGTTTTAAACCTTGACACGATATCAAAATAAGCACTATTTTTGTTTTCCAAGGATTAACAGCATTAACAGCTTGGGAGTTTTGTAACGGATGAGAAGAATAATATCGTGCAATAAAGATATTTACCAAATATAACCTATTTAAAAACCAATTTGAAAGTGGTATTTGCATTATGTAAGTAAAAATTTCATCATCCACATAGTCTATGTTATTTAACGAAATTACCGATACTTTTGTCACTGGTCTCGTTCAAATAAAATCGCCTTGAGTAATTTGTTCAGTACAGAACCATATTACCTGATTCCAAGTAGGCCTACGTTTATGACGGGACGCATACAGTATGAAAAACAGAAGTGACTGCAAAAAATTAATAATAATAATAATAATGGTCGACTAGGTTACAATTATACTGTTCATATGACGCCAATAACGTCAATAAAGTGTGTACAGCAGCACCGCAACTCGTCAACGACAATCGACAAAAGAAAACGTAGAGGTCTCAAAGCTGAAATTACTTATGATTTTACAGATTTTAATGTGGATACGTAGATCTAATATTCATACATAAAATTTAATTTGAGTAACGATAATTCTTTTTTGTACAATCTCACGCGCCTTGGGTATCTCAAAAGACCATTGTGACGTACATGTGAATATTTAGCCCCCCCCCCCCATTGCGTGCACAGCAACGATTGTCAGCAGACCACTGAATCATTGTAAGTGCACTAATTAAGACTTCATCCATAGAGATGTGTTCTTAAATAAACGATTTTGATCATGTCTATAATGTAACTATAAATGAAAAAAAAAAAAGATTTATTAAAACAGGATAGGCCTACGTAGTACGGTCGCCTTGTGTACTACTGATGGAAAAATACTTATGACGTATACAATTGCGACTGTGACGTCATAAGTATCAACAACACGAAGAGTTCTCTCTCGTAAACCTAGTTCTGTCAAGCCATGAAAATGAATGCGAAACGAATGATGAACACACAACAACGAGGTCTTCGATTCACACAAGGAAATTAGTGCCGTGGAAATGAATAAATGGTTCGTATTGACACCGGTTGTAGTAATTATGTGCAGGTAGAAAATGCAGTTCTGAAGCACATCGCACTTGACAAAAGCTATATACTGGTAAAAATGTCTATCGTGCTGTATTGACTTTCAACTTCTGTAGCAGGAATGGTGATTGACACGTTCTCCGGTTTATGATAAGGCCGACAGTGTTACATAGGAGAAAAATACGTTGAATTTAGAATTAAATGTAATATTTCACCAGTTGAATTTTAACTGATCACTTTCTTTAACAACAACCATCATGATGAGTGTAGGCCTATAGCTAGAGTGCAAATTGTGTTTGATTTTTTAACGTTAAGATATACCTTTTTATGCATTTTTGTATGAAATATTTCCATCACAATAAAAATTCTAGCTCAAATTGTTCATGCGTTCATGTTTAAGTTTTACTCCTTTTGCCTGAAATCACGCTAATGAGTTAGAACTGTAATTGATCCCCTTTTGAATCCTTTTCTATCAAAAATATGCACTCGACCCTCCCACGACTGCCCTTCTCTCGGGATAATATAGACATGTTACAGACATTCAACATTTGGTAACTTTCCCACATGCGAAAGACAGGGAGATAAAAAGCCTCTTGCACAACAACTGTGAAGTACATATAGGCCTTGTGACTTAAGCTGTCCAAAACCACAGCTTCCTCTATAAATAACAACTCCATAGTATACCATAATTCATTTGATTCAAGCCATTCTTAAAAGAGCACTTAATGGCAATAATTTTGTCTAAACGACATAAAATCATTTTTAACTAAGTTCATCGGTGCTTACATCATCATGACCCATCTTATCTGTTCTGAAATTTTTTGCGGGTGCATTGATGGTGAACTGCCTCTCTGTATGCCATACAAGCAAAGGTGGGATTTGGAGTGCTTTGAAATCATTAAGCTAATAAGACCAACATTCTGGTTGACACACGCTTTGAAAAAACGTCATTAAACAGTTAGACAGATACACATAATCATCCACCAGGGAGGGCAGAAAATAGGATCATAACCCTATAATATCCCCTTAAAATCGTGTTGTCTAACGGGTTCGGCCTCTGTCCAGCAATGACCTTCGATTGTGTTAACATGGTTCGTCTTCTTTGGGCGTCCGCATGGTTGCTGCAGTGTGCATGGTGTATAAGTAAGTTGTCATTTAATAACATAATCTGAAAGGTTTACAGATTTTCAAGATTTTTAAGCATTAATTTGTTTTTCACATATCCTAGCTGCCATTGAGCAAACTTGATAATTTATTCACTTCATAGTATCCTTTTTTTTTGTCACAGGCGCTCGTCATCTGGCTGAACCGGAGATTATCGACCTTGTTCACAATCGTCACAGACGCGGCAGTTCCACAGTCTGTTATCCAGATGTCGGTTGTTTCAACAATTCTGCTCCTTTCAATAACGCCTACAACGAACTTCCATCTAAACCGGAAGACATAGGCACAAAGTTTCACCTGTATACTCGCCACAATCCAGATTTTCCTCAACAAATATTTTACAATGACGGAGGAGAAAGTTTGCTTCATTCGTTCTTCGATAAGGACCTACCAGTGAAGATTGTAACGCATGGGTTTACCGATAGTATAGATGCACTTTGGCTAAAATCAATGTCGGATGCTTTCTTAAAACACGTGAGGAGTCTCAGTATTTGGCAATTTACAAAGCATTTTATGTCGTTATAATTATTCGTTTTATGTCGTTATAATTATTATATCTCTCGAAAAAATCTTTATGGTAAGGTAAAATATCCACAATTATATGACTTATAAATATGAGAAACGTCAACATCGGACAGGGTATGTTCCAAATGCATGTATTGATCTTTTTACTGGATTTTGTGATTTATCTTTTAGGCCCCGATGAACGTTGTACTCACAGGATGGAAGAATGGGGCAAAGGCACCATATTATCCCAAAGCTGTTGCCAACACGCGCCTAGTCGGAAGACAAATAGGTCTACTGGTAAACTTAATGGTCAACGTGATGGGGTCCAAGTACGATCAAGTTCATTTAGCGGGCCATAGTCTTGGTGCTCACATTTCTGGGTACGCAGGGGCATATCTGGACGGGAAGATTGCACGAATAACTGGTATATTTTTTATTGAAACAACTTTTATCTGCAACTGGCTTTACATGTGGTATTCTAATTTTCAATAAGCTTTTGATTGGCAATTTTATTTTCATTTGTATTGTTTGATCGGATTTTTAATCCTTTTGCCTTTCAAAACTAAAAAAACTGACAAATTGGTAAATGCCCTTACGTATGGTTTATACGTACGGTGTACGAAGTATAGCTTGGGATCACGAAAATTGGCTAATGATAAGTAATCCGACCGAGTCGACCCTTAGGCAGTATTTCCATATTTGTACTTACCGGTACTGTAGGAGTGCATGTCCTTTCTGTGTGTGACAAGAACATCTGGACCGGAAGTTGAATGTATAACCATTTCTCCGTAGACATGTTCCATATATAACATTTTAATGGTATAATAGCATAAGATGACGTAATCACAATAACGGGAAAGCGATTTTTATTCCATTTTTCTTTCTTTTCACGCAGGCTTAGATCCAGCCGGACCATTTTATGAGAAATATCCAACAATAGTTCGTCTCGATAAATCTGATGCCAAATTCGTAGATGCAATTCACACTAACGGAGCTCCTCTAACACATGAAGGAGCGGGGCTGCAAAAAATATCTGGCCACGTGGATTTCTACCCTAATGGCGGTGCCTTTCAACCCGGGTGTGGAGACCCTGTAAAAGGTTCTCTTGGGCAACTATTCCAGGGACACTTAACAGGTAGGTCGAACAAATAGGCAATAGAATTAAGGAGATACTTCTCATATAGAAGATTTAATTTGTAAGTAGGTCTAACAGGGAAATGATTTATCACTTGAAGAAATAATCATGTGAGCAACACTGTACATTTCAGGACCAAAGTTGGAATGACTTTATCATTAAAATGCAGCTGAAGACGAATGCAATACCTGGGATTTCATATTTTGTTACATAACTGAAATTCACTTTGTTACATGTGGATTTAGAGTAGTTGATACTTATTTTCCTTTTTATCCATAGGGGCAGAAGGCGTGATAGCATGCAGTCACAGAAGGTCCTATTATTTCTTCACGGAATCCATCAATTCCGTCTGCCCGTTTACTTCTTACCAATGCACTGACTGGGTAAGCACTGTTTCTTAGGTAAATCGTAGAGTATACACATCATTTTAAATATCTGCTATTATGTGAAGCTACCAAATATCCCAATTAACAATGGCTGAACTATCAGAACGTTGTACCATCGTTTACATCCCGGAGAGAGGTTCTCTTGTCCAAGGGGGAGATTGATCCTGATGCGCTTTGAACATAGCAATATACTAATGTTAATACAATAATACAATAGTTCCCAATAGTGAGTAATATGCATAAGTTTTTTAAGGATACGTTCAGACGAGGGGAGTGCATGGACTGCAGCAGAGGTCAGTGTTCACAGTTGGGCTACCATGCAGACCAGTACAATGGCACCGGAAAAATGTATCTTCAAACGCTTGGTGCTTCTCCCTACTGCGGTAAGTAATAATATATTAAATGAATAATGAATTCCCCCCTCCACCCCCCCCCCCCCCCAAAAAAAAAAAAAAAAAAAAGCTTAAGTGTTGTTACTCTAGCTCCCGTTTCTGTCAAATTGAAATGATAAACAACAGGCCTACCCAACTACCAGACTGGGCANATATTCAGCCTTATCTTTGATTGGTCCGGATTTGAACAAAGCGCGCTTTGACTCGTTCGCGTTCATTGGCTAGATCGTTCAATGAGTCATTGAGTGCGGGCTTTAAATTTGATTGGCGGGCGGCGGGGGCACTCGAATCTGGTCAGAGGTTACTTGACACGATGGAGATAGGCTACAGTGAAAAGGTTAGTGTCAAGTTAGCTCTGAAGCTCAGGGTGCTGTGTTGATTGCTCAGCATTTTAAACCTGTAGTTATGGAAAAAATGCATAAACTGTTATGTCAAAATTATTTTAGGCTATCAGTACAGAGTTACGCTTACAGTCGCAGACGACAGTCAAGGTCTAGTGAAAATAAGAGTAGTGGGAGAAAACGGTGTTTCGGACGTTTTAGAGCTTTCTGAGTGAGTTTTTTTTATATTTTCCTTCATATCTGTTTAGATGAAGCTATAAAACAGTATGTCAAGCAGTCCGGTTATTTTGAACGATCCCAATCTTAATTACATTCTACGAAATTTAGGTATTTAAAAATTTAATTATAACTCAATGGTTTTTAGATCAGCAATGTTAAGTTCAATTCAGAATGTTGACAGGTTGATTACTTATTCTAAGAAGTTATTGGTGAAGCTCCAAAATGCTTTCATGAACGATGTGTGCGTCATCATTTTAGAAAGCCGGACAAGTTGCATATTCAGCAACCTCTTCAGAAGATCTTCATTACCAAGAAAGACCTGGGGGATATAAAAGATGTTCAAGTTTTCTACGACAGACAAGAGCGTCTGCTCTGGGGGTTCGTTGCTGGGGGTGATGCTAGCTTAAAACTGGATACTGTGACGATATCTACAGGGGAAAAGAAAAATGCGTGAGTAGAAATTGAAGTACAGCAATACCATTCCTTTACGCTTTCATCTGAAAATGTGCCGTATAGTAGTGACACTCGTCCGGAAAACAGCCAATTTTCTTTTGTTTTGAATATGAGAGTAATTTAAATAAACTTTTCAATTAGATATCAGAATTAATTTTTATTATGGTATGTTATGTTTTAATGTCAAAATGGACACTGACTTCTCTTTCAGCTGGACGTTCAGTGCTGACCAGGTCGAAGTAACTGATGATGCCTGGGTTTCCCTTGTAACTAAAACGACAATAAAAGGCGCTGATGCAGACCTGGGACCACAATTCATCGGTTGAGTTTAAAGGAAATGAAGTTTATTGGCTTGAAATTGTGTCCATCACAGTGATTAATAAATGGAAAGATTAAACAATATTTACCAAAACTTTTTGTATTGTTCTAACTTGTGCAACAAGAGTAGCGTCTATTTAAGTCTAATATCTGAAGAATCCGTCGCTTTCTATTCGCGCAATAAGTCCCCATTGGTGGACACACTGGATACGAAACACAATGGAAAAACATTTGAAAAGCAAAAACTAGGAATATTTGACAGTTTCTTTGGAATTGGTAAAAAAAACTTTTAAAAGTGCGGTTCCTGGTCCAATGTTGGCAATGACGTTGATAACACTTTTAATGAATTTTAAGGCAAAGAATAGGTCCAAATATTACAAATTACCCCATAAGTCTTGCACTATCACTATATTGGACTTAATTCTTTGAAAAATATCATTGCACCCTTGGCTGTTCATTTTTGGGTGAAAATAGTAACGACTATCTTTAATGCCTGTAAGGTAATCAAATGTCAATTTAAAAAACACCTTGATCTTTCGAAACTTCTTTCCCGCTACTGGTAATGCCAAATACGGTGGCTTACTTATGATATTCACTCCAATATTTTCGATTTTCAGTACACCATTTAATTATAATTTAACCAAACCATAAAAAACTCTACCATTGACAGAAAATTTCACATTCACCAACAATGTATTGCATTGGTTTCGAAACAAACAGACTCGGTAGAAATTGATTCTTCAGGTCCCCTGTGTTGTTGACGGCCCATTCAGGAATGCTTTTATAGCTCCTTTTATAATCATCCATTTTTCTTAATCACATTCAGTTCCACGACCTGTTGAATTTGATATCAAAGAGTACATGCCCAACCTCATGACTAGACATCACCAGATGGTGATATTCTCATAACTAAGTGACAGAGGACTCAAAATCCCTTGGCACCTATGTGTGCAAAGATTTGATCACTTACAAGTCTACAATGTCTTTACAGCCCATTTGCGACGGTTTGGATTCCGTTTCGCATTCAAAGGCGTTGCAGGCGCTTGGCGAGAAAGAGGGGGCTCAGCTTCCTGCCTTCCATTTTAACCACGCCAGTCATTACGAAGAAAGGGACACTAAGAAAACCCCTCCCCTCGTCGGTATTTTTATGAGTGGTTAAACCCCAACCATCCTCTTGAAAATTTTTTCCTTCGAGCCCTACTATTACAAATTTTTGATTTACGATTTATGAAGATAGAGAGCCAATCGAACTTTAGTGGTGGACATCGTGGATCAGAGGGGAGTGTTAGAAATCGTATTTATATCATGTAATATTAGGGTACAATGATAAGTCGTCACAACTGAACTGTAAAGGTGTTTTTTAAAAACTGGCACTTAATATATGTACATAAGTCCAGTGTGAGTCAAGGCCATTGCCCGAGTGTTATGCAATGATAAGTCTCGCCATAGAATCGGATTTCGGTTATTCATTCCGAGTCGAAATAACATGAATAGCATATTATAGAATATAGTATTACAGAAAGCATTTACAAAAAAGGGAAAATCCTTCAATTTTAGTTATATTATCTGCAATATCTATTCATAAGAGAACCGGTTTATAATTTTTTTGCTATCACGTATGCAATAAGGGAGAAAATACAACTGAAATGCATGGCCTGGTGTCACTCGTAAGTGGTCAAGCTAATGGCATTTGTCCCAATTGTTGAACTTTTAGGAAATTATACAAGCGCGTGCATGGAATTAGTTGTAATCCACGTATATAAATTGAGCTTGTTAAGGGAAGTCTGTCTCTTTTGGCGTTAGAAGGCAATCGGATTCGACGAAATGGCTGTTCTGGCCCTGGTTTTATTTTTTCAGTCTTTATGGCTCGTATGTAAGTAATAATTAAAGCAAATGTTACATTTGAATTTTAAACATTTCATCGGAAGTGCTATTATTTGGATATTTGGGTTTGATTCGAATTTTTAAATGTTTAAGGTACTTTTGAAACTAGCCAATCAAAATAAAGGAAATATTTATCTATATACAGTTTTGTTGTTGACGTCCGCCACTAGATACTCCAGTCACTGGTAATACTGTGCAATGTTTCCCTTGTGTTGATTCACCCGTCACTGCAAAATATAAAAACTTATATTATTCAATCACTGTTTTAACCCGAGTCTTGTGACCCGCCTTGTAGAAATCTAAGAAGGCTCAATTTTGCTTACTAGCTGCAGATGCCCGCCAGGTGATCGGCCCAGCAATTGGCAATGCTGTTCCAAATCGCTTCAGACGTTGGTCAGCCAATGTCTGCTATCCGGATGTAGGTTGCTTCAACAATGCTGCGCCTTTTAACAACGCCTACGATGAAGTCCCGTCAAAACCAGAAGATATAGGAACAAAGTTCCATTTGTACACTCGATCCAATTCTGATTTTCCACAACAATTGACTTACAACGATGGAGGTAACAGTCTTCGTGTTTCGTTTTTCAACAAAGACCTTCCAGTAAAATTCATAATTCACGGATTTACAGAGAGTATTGATGCTCCATGGCTTAAGCGTATGTCAGATGCGTTTTTAAAAAAGGTTAGTACTGTATGTGTCTCAGATCTTTTTAAATATCTCCCTTTTTATATTTTAAAAGGGCAGATATAATTATCTTCAACTATAACGAGATGGGTAGGCCTATCCTAATTTTGATAGTTTTAGTACAAGTGTGGTCTTATTGTCTTACTTCTTAACATGCACCTACAGCTTTTATATATAACTTCTATTTTGGGTATCTATTGCGTAAATTTAATTTAAAAAGAGCAGATCTCCATGAACATTTCATCAATTCATGTTAAAAGCGACATTTTGTTGAAGTTGAAAATATATCATCTTCACGTTATTTGACGTATCTTTAGGAACCAATGAATGTTATTCTTACTGGTTGGAAAGAAGGCGCAAAAGAGCCCTACTACCCTAAGGCTGCTGCCAACACGCGGTTGGTGGGTCGTCAGATTGGTTTATTGGTCAACTTGATGGTCAGTATGATGGGATCCACGTATGATAAGGTTCATCTGACAGGACACAGCCTGGGTGCTCATATATCTGGTTATGCAGGAGCTTACCTGGACGGGAAGATTGGACGTATTACTGGTGAGACGTCTTTCATTAGTCAAACTATGCCACAATTTGCTACAACGGAATTTTTGTTTACTAATCTAAAATACATATTGCCTTTTAGTTCACGATTGAAATATTTTCCTTTTTTCAATTCCTACCATATCATATATAGTTTTGTCGTCAAAAGTACACCAAAGGAATTATTGCGATCAGAATGAAAATATGATAATTTAAGAAAAGTAACTACACTCAAATATGTAAAAAAAACCATACAGATAATTTAATATAAAACGTTAATGCGTTTTCAAATTTGACCTCAGGTTTGGACCCAGCCGGGCCGTTCTTTGAAAGTTATCCCACAGTTGTCCGCCTCGACAAATCTGACGCCAAGTTCGTTGATATCATCCACTCCAATGGGGTGTCCATTACGTCTGGTGGGGCAGGTCTTTCCATAGTTTCTGGCCATGTAGATTTCTACCCTAATGGAGGTGAATTTCAACCCGGCTGCGGCGACCCTGTACAAAGCACCCTCGGTGAACTATTCAGTGGAGACTTTGAAGGTAAAAAAAGTTGTCAGATAAAGAAATTACTTATTTTAATATAAAAAGATTATCGTTATTGCCATAAGGTCTCATACCTTCACAAGTTATTAGACCCTATAACGATGTCCGATTCAATAAATTTGCAGTCTTGTGTAATCTTGTTTACGTTTTAATTTTTCGCTCTTTTAAGGGGCAGGGAATGCTGTGGCATGCAGTCATAACAGAGCGTTTGACCTGTTCACTGCATCTATTGGTAATAACCGTGCATTCACTTCCTACTCGTGTTCAGATTGGGTAAGTGGTGGTCATGTTTTCTGAATGATTAAATGGCCGTAATGTCATTTAAAGGACCATTCCCAAAGATATTTGGATCGATCTATCTCCTTGGTGAGTCTCACTAAATTGCTATCAACCTAATCGGCTTAAATTTCTGTCACGCCTAGTAAAGCTGTTAGGGGGTAATTATCTTTTCTCCCTAGCTGATTTGGTAGGCATGACAGACATTTAAGCAGGTTAGTTGATAGCTATTTAGTGAGACTCCCCAGGGAGTTACACCGATCCAGATGGATCGATCTAGGCATGACAACCCAGTCTTTAACTTTTTTAATCAATTATAACTGCCGTTTCTGGTATCATAAACGTTGATGCAGCGTTTTATGCCCTTGCGTAGAGAAATAATGAAGAATAATTGTATCAGTTTTATCATTTATTTAACAGCGTGAAGAACTCGATATTCAACAACATTAAAATGCACAGTTCTGACATAATTTTAAAGATTTAAAAATATTGGCGTTTCTTTTTTTATCAAGGCAAGCATAATAACAGTCACTAAATATTTTAGATAACGGCCTAGAAAAAAATTGCACAGATTTTGACAATTTATATTTCAAAATGTTGTTTTTTTACCTCATAAGGATTCATTCTCCGTTGGAGATTGCTTTGACTGCAGCCGCGGCAGGTGCTCACAGATGGGTTATTATGCAGACCAGTACAAAGCAACTGGAAAAATGTATTTACAAACGCTTGATGAATCTCCTTTTTATGGTAAGTATTTGATTAAACATGTAGGAAAAATTGTAATGTCGAATACTTGCTGTTAGGCAAACAGTATCAAAACAAAATACCGATAAAGAAAAGATACGATGCTAGAATCTTTAAATGTAGGCTACAAATATCATATGATGTTTCGATGTTGTACTGCATAAAGATTTCATGAATGCACATAGAGCTTTTTTTATTTTCTTAGGTTTCCAATACCTGGTTAAGCTTACAGTCGCAGACGACAGTCAAGGACTAGTGAAAATACGAGTAGTCGGGGAAAATGGTGTATCAGACGTACTAGAGCTTTCTGAGTAAGACTTTCTACATTTCTGAAATAAAAATCCTTAAAGTGCTTTTCAGAGACTTAATCTATTACAAAAGCGCTTTGTTTCAATCGATTTAACTTCATTGTTAATTAATACAAGCATTTGTATAAAAATCTTTCAAGATATAAATATCAGGTGGAGCTAGGAGTTTTATCTGATACAATCCCTTGGGTGGAGAGAGCAGAGAACTTAATTTGACAATAAGTCGCAGAACAGCCTTTAGTTTGTTTTATTTATTTCAGACAAACAGATACGTTGAAGACTGGGGATCCTCTCCAGCAAATTTTCATCACTCAGCGCAAATTGGGCAATATAAAAGACGTTCAGGTTTTCTACGACAAACAGGATCGTTTGCTTTGGGGATTTGTTGCTGGAGGAAGTGACGCATTGACAATAAAGTCTGCTGTTGTTACTGCTGGAGAGTCAAAGCAAAAGTAAGTGTCAACCAACTTATCAGCTCCTTTATGGCTCCAATAACCGTAATGTCCAGTATGCAATAACTTCATTCCGTGTTTAGGTAATGGTATTATTTTTCAGCGTAAATATTTCTTTAACTACAAGTTGAGGCATATGACAAAAAAATTCTACTTGAAACAGATCAGGATCACGGTTTTGATTCTCGATGTTAACACCATTCATTTCGTTAAAACAATGTATTCAGCGTTTTTTCCGATGTTTTAAAATTTCGATCGGAAAGACCCATATTTTACCGTCTATTTCCATTGTATGCCTCTTAGCGTTATCTCGAATTCTAATTCTTTTTCTTTTTTTTTTTACTTCAAATGACACTTAGTTATATAATAGTTTCAGTTACAAATTGTCTTCTAATTAAAATTATGGTTCAAATTCCAGCCCCATTTGAAAAGTCCTCTTACATACACCAATTGAATTTTGAATCATTTGAGGTTTAAGAAAATCTTTCGTAATCTGCAGCTCATGAGATCACACAGTACGGTTGAATTCATGTTAACTGTTATTTCTCTCAATTTCCCTCGCAGGTGGAGGTTCAACCAAGTTCAAGTACCTGATGACACCTGGGTTTCCACAGTAACCAAGAAGACAATTTCTGATTTCAATACAGATGGAGGAATCGTTATTGGTTGAGGACTTGTAAGATAATGCTTGTCTAAAGAAAAAAGTTCTGTTTCTGATTTCAAGACAGACGGAGGTATCGTCATTGGTTGAGGACTTATGAAAAAATTGTGAGACACTGTGAGTCGGGAGAGACAGTTCTGATAAGCAGTTCAGTTAGCGCATTTGCAGGCGGTATTTATGTGTATTCAATCACAATTCAGAGTTTTAGCTTCTTCTCTCTCCCTTCCACATCTTTACGAATTGATGTTATGATGAGAATGCATAATCTTGAATAAATGTTTAATCATAATCGAATTCTGAAAAAGAAATCGCCTACGTTATATATTTGCCTTGATTGTCGTTTAGTTTATTTATAAGTTAATTGTGGTGGAATGCCAAATCAAGAAAACCTGTCATATTAGTAATGTTACACTTGTAAATTTGAAGTGATCTGAGACTCACATTCAAAATAATACAAGTGTGGAACGCAATCATGGTTGAGATTCCGATCCGTTTTATTTCTTTTTGCTTTCCTTCAAATCTTCCTGTAGTCTCAAGTGATACATCAGCGATGGGACATATACTAAGTTACTCACATCTATTCCTGTTTTAAAACATACTGAAGCCAGTTTCAGGTGGCATCCTTAGTTTAGTTGACAGAGTAGCACCCGACATACAATCGCAATTTGTAGGACAGGTCACAACTAACACATTTCAATCTTCAATGGCACAAGAGATTTGGGGAGGGGGGTATAAGATAACGCCACCCTTTTGTATACCAATTGCCAGGCTGCTAGTTTTATAGTGAAATACCTGGGTCTGCTCCCTAAAAACACTGCTTTCAGAAGAACACGTTTAAATATTTTATTTCACCAAGATCCCATAGATTTAAAATGCACAGCATTAGAGAATATACGAGTTTACATTCTGGGTAATACTTCACCTAACCCCCATCCTTTCCACCCAGTCTTCTTTAAAACCCCCCTCAAAAGAACATAAATACATAATCATAAAAGCTGACCCACTTAAATAAAATGTTTTGATCAGTGGACAACAATGAAGAATTTACATTTCATACTCTACAAAGAATATAACATCAGATATCACAATGACCCATTGTCTAAAATGGTCTTTACTTGGAAATTTAAGTTACAGATTCAACTTTGTTCAGCGTTCTAGTGTACATCGAGCTGCACATTCATATCAGTGTGTGGGTTTCCAAGCCTTCATAAATAGTCAACTCATTCTGCAGTTGACACAATTGAATTCTATTCTAAACAGATATATGTTAAGTCCATCAACCTTCTTTCAAATTGATATATAGAAGTCAACATGGAGACAGCTTTAGTAACAGTGTGTAATATTCATCCAAATAAAGCTTTAATATCAGCAAAGTTGTGTGAAGCTATGTTGCATTTAAGCAGATTCTGCAGGTTGGTATGGAGGAGGAGGATTCTCACTTTGGCTGATGGCTTCTTCATATTTTGGGGGCAACAGCATCTAAAACAAAAGAAATACCATGAACAATGCATGTCTCCCTGGCAAACGATATTTAATCAAGTATGAAACATTTAATTTGTAACTGTGACCAGCAGACATGCAAAAAACAGAAGACACCTTCTCAATTTTTGAAAGATGTCTCAAAACTTTTAACACAAACACACTCTTTCTTACCTCTGCCTCTGAGTCACTGTAATGGGCAACAACAGAGTTTGCACAATCCACAGCTTGCAGATACTTGTAGCAAGACCAAACCACCCCCAAGAAGTAGGCCTGTAATCAAAAACAGATGTTAACCATGGTTTACAGGGATTACATGCATTGCAAATTACATATAAACTATTAAATACTTCTTTTGGAGGTAAAAACACGAGAACCCCAGCGTTCATGCTTTAGTTCTTATACTAAGTTTGGGATCAAAATTTTGAGTGATTTTCAAAGGTAGGTACTAAACAGAAAACAATACCATGCTTAAAATATGCATCAAGTACAGTCAATATCTTTTTCAAAGAACTCAATTACCTTAAGAGAGACCGACAGGACAAAGATAGAAATGACCACAATGGACAAAAGCTGAGGATCACAGTTCATCAAGTGTTCCTTCAGACAATCAGGGAAATTCTGAAAGACAAGAAAACACAATCAATCCCCTAAAATGCACTCAAAAGCAAACATGTCCTCAAAAATTAACATGAGCTATTTTTTAAAATAAAGATATCAGTAAAAATAATTTAAGTATTTCTTGCAGCTGACGTCAAAGTTTTACTCACATTCTAGCAGAATAAAAATCAAACAGTGAAATCAATTGAATCAAGTTCTTTCTTGACTGTCTAAGTTGACAAAATCAAATAACTAACCTGATCTCTAAGGTAAACTTGCACATCAGGCATGTAAGTGATGTAGCCAATGAAGGTCAAACAGTTTAGGGCAAAGTCAAAAACTTGGAAAGCAAAGAAGGGCAGCAAATATCCAGGACGACCCTAAAAATACAATTATATCTGCAAGTTTAAAAGAACTTTACAAGTGGTCTAGCCTTATTATCATTAGTTCTGACTCTGAGCATCATCTTCAAGCATAAATACTAAAAGTCAGAGTTTTCGGTGAAGATTTCAATAAATTACCAGGTCCATAAACCAGTAATGGAAATACTTTTTTCTGATATTCCAGCTTACTTTTTATCTAAGGGAAGCACATAATAATTCTTGAATTGAATTTAGCAGTGTTGGCCCTACCTTTAAAGCTCCATATAAGAGACAGATAGTGAGGAAGATAATCCCAAGAACTACAGCCATACCAATGTACAAATCATCTGAAAGAAAAAATAGAGTTCTAATATTTCTAAATACAATACAGTTATCTAGGCTTATTGCCAAGAAATTGAGCACAATTAAGTAAAAAATCTACACCTGAAATTAAACCCATCCATCCTGTCAAAATGGGGTGATACTCTGGACATTTTTGAAGTGAAAAATAAAAACTGACTCCTGGATAATAAAATATTAATTTACATTATTAACATTTTAATAAAAGAGCAGTGATATCTAAATATTTAACTGTATAAAAATAAAATAATGAAAATAACACCTGTCGTCCACTTGCGTTGGTGCCAGTACAGATTGTCCATCATATCATAATCAAATGCATCCAAGGCTGGCTCCACTGCTTTAGAATCATATTGCACCTCAAAAAAGTCAACAGCAGGGCTAGGTGTTGTACTGCTCACCACAGGATTTGTAGTGGGGTCTGTACCTTGGAACTGTTGCAGTATCTCTGGATGAATGAATGCCAGCACTAGTAACATCAAGGCAAATACCTGGGCAATCTGAATAATTAAACACAAAAATATTAATCATTAGTATTAACATATCCTTACTGTCATTAAAAAGCATGTTAAAAGAGAATTCCACGTCATCCCACTTTTTTTTTTTAATGAAGGCTGAATTTTGCAACAAAGCAAGTCAACGTCGTCATAAAAGGTAGACTTACCCTTCAAGAAATTGACAAAAAAGATCAGTGTGAACAAAGTGTCAGTATAAATCACAAGCACATATAATGCAACATTTGACACTTTGTTTTAGATGCTTCATTTTACTTGACAGCTCAGTGTTTGTGTCAGTCATGCAAAAAAAAAAAAAAAAAAAAAAGTTTGGTTTCACCGCATTCTCTATCGTAGCTTGCAAAACTGAATAATATTTGTTGATCAAACACCTTTATATTAGGTACAAACCAATTAAATATAATGCAACATTTAACACTTTGTTTCAGATGCTTCATTTTACTTGACAGCATAGTGTTTGTATCAGTCATGCCAAACAAAACAAAAAAGGAGAGAGAGAGAGAGAGAGAGAATAAAATGTTTTTGTTGAATGTGAGGGAGATTGAGAGATATTTTACAAAAATAAATAAATAAATAAATAAACAAATAAATGAATGAAAAAATAAATTCGTTGAAGGTGGTCGTCAAAGCCCCTCTGTCCTCATCCCTAACTGTGTCCTACCACCCTGCCAGTGAGGTAGAAGACGTCTACANAAAAAGAGAGAGAGAGAGAGAGAGAGAGAGAGAGAGAGAGAGAGAGAGAGAGACATTTTCATTTTTTTTTTTGGTTTACTTAAAAGTGTCAATTTGTTGATTGTTGAGGGTGAGTCTAAACTTAACCTTTGAGGCAGGGTTCTGGAGGCACAAGGATTCATTACATGATATTATCACAAGACATTGCTCTTGAACATATTTGTCGCTTTGTCATAAAAAATATTACTCAAATGTGATATTGTAAATATGACACAAGTCGTAAGTATTTGATTCAGCCTGGTTTTAGTTTCACTACATTCTCAATCTTGTGACTTGCAAAACCGAATAAAATTTGTTGATCAAACACCTTTAAATTAGGAACAAACCAAATAAATAAAATAATAAACTAGAAAAGCACTCCGAGAGCGCAGACCTCTGCCAAGGCAGCGATTTTTTTATATTATTGATTATTAACTGATAATTGATCCAGATCACCACCAAAAACTAATCACTTCTAAGTTAACCCATTTCCCACCTACCCTAAAAATAACTTTTTATGTTGATGACAAACAAACAAACAGACAGACAGGGGTGAAAACATAACCTCCTTGGCTGAGGTAATAAATAAATACATTTGGTTCAGTTGACAACCACAACTACAAACGTTTTACTTGACATTTAGGCATATACTAATACATGCCCGGCTAAGATAATGAGAAAATTAATAATCTTGTAAGATAAAAACAGGCTATTTTACATGCTCTACCTACCAGCTCCAGGATTCCAAGAATAACTGTTCCAGTTCGTACATGACAACAGAAACAGCATTTATACTCGCTTGAGTTCTTTGGTTGGACTTTCGTCCGCATGTTGGCTTCTTTTTCGTTGTCTGATGCGTTAAAATGTATTTGGTTATAACAGCAAGTTTTCTTCTTGTCTCAACGAAATAAATATGGCTGCTGTCTGGTAAAAAAGAAAGTAGTACGGTAGAAAGAATCAATGTTAATAAACAAAAAATACACCTAAAATAGCTCTTACCCTTTGTGTTGAATAATAATCTAAAGCTAATCAAATTTATTAGACCATATAACAACATTTAACTGAGTTATCTTGTTAATATAGGTAATATTATAGGAACTATTTTATGAGTAACAACAGTTGACGTCATAGTATGAAACCATGTGTCGCTTTGATTATACCGCATCTTCAAATCGCCGATCTGCTATGCAATACACCTGCAGTAATGCATTTCAGAAGGGAATCTCCATGTGTTAGACCTGTATGCGGCACGTATTTTATTTTAGTTACCAATAACTTATTCATTTATTCTAAATTATATTTATCTGGTGCCAGTGGTGGGTCTCAATGTCAGCCATGTTTGCGTTGTCATACTTTTCTGTATTTACAAACTGTTCACTATTAGCAATGAGCAATAACAAAATGGTTTCATGATATAAATATTTATTATTTTAACTCAAAAATACAATCCTTGTTTACAATAATACAAAGTGAGCAATCATCACATTAGAAAGGATAGGAACTGTCAACTGATCCAGTATTAAATTATAGCTATTTATGTTGTACAATTTTCTTTACGTATCTAAATGTAAGGTAACAATTTGAAATGAAACTATGTCACTTTTCCTTATGTATTCTATGCACCTTATAACATTGAGCATCCACCAATAATTTGCATTTAACATTTAATGCATGGCTACGAACTAGCTAAAGTAAGGTAAGCTGGGGCAAAGTTTCACAAAGCTTTGGTTGGCAAAAGGCCAGGTTTCACAAAGCCTTGTTCCACAAAAGACTTCGTATAAATAAGTTTGTTTGCTGACAACAGTTTCTAATGAACAGTTAAATTCGACAAAGGATTATCAAAAACTGGCCAAGTCCTTAACAGCACATTCATTTACTTTCCTGCTTTAGGATGTTGGTATAAAATAAAGAAATAATGAAAAAAAAAATCATACCAAAAAGGAAAATGAGTGCATGAAAAAACTTTAAATTACAGAGGCAAATTACATAAATAAATACACAGGAAAACTTAATATTGCAAATTATACCATATACCATAAGCTTAAAACTTATGCTGTCAAATCAATTATATAGAGGCTATATACTTGTTCACCCAAACCTTAAATACCCCCTTGCAATATTTATAAGGGGGCAACTTCATTCAAAGCATCACAGGCTTACAGTAACAAGTACAATTTAAACTTATCAACTCATAATGGTTTTAAAAAATTATCATTATATATATGAAGATTAAAAAAAAACAGTCTAAAGAATTAATAAACCTGACCAAAATTATCCTGCTTTCTAAAGCACTTGATGGAAAATTGGTACAACTCCATGTGATAAGAATACAGGCTTGAATTACAATCAACATCACATCATGATTACACAGCATTCCGCTTAAATCAGGTGTACATCATTTCTGCCATGGAAGACATCTTTTTTGGGATGTAGACAAAGTCTTCAAAATAACAGGCAAGTTCATCAACAGTCATTTCATCAAGCCTTGCTTCTTGAGAGCATGTTCTAGTTAGTGTTGGAGTTTCCAAACTCTCTCTTGGTGAATTAGAAGAACTTCTTGTGATCTTTTTCCGACTAATCACAGGGAGCTCAGAGGGGTGGTCTCCATTGCTTGCACAGATTTCTTTCACATCTTTACTGCAAGATGTGCAAACTGTCTCTCCTCTGTAATTGGAATATCCACCACGTTTTCCCTCTTTATCTCTCTCACAAGTGACAAGTTCTGCCTTTTGATCAGCTGAATGATCTTTTGCCATCTTTGAGAAGTCTGTCAGACCACTTGCATTAGCACCAAAAGTCCTTGTCGAAGGAAGCCCACATTCAGGCAACTGGAGATTAGACACTGGCATTTTAATTGATACAGAAACTTTTGATTTTTTAATTATATGAAGCCTCGCGCTTCTGATGACAGTTTTTCTATCTTTGTCACTATTGTGAAGCTTTAGTTTGGCATCATGAAGAATCTTCTTCTTCTCCATGCTGTTGTTTGATGAACTTATAATCCTTGCATAGTTGTATTTTAGCTCTGTCTGAGTATGTGAGCAGTCATCTTTACATGTCTGACAATTGCACTCATCCCTCTGAAAACTTAGGACTTCCATTGATGGTATATCTGGGACTGAATATGGAGCTTTTCGATAGTTTCTCACTTTTGTAGTGGCCTTAAATTTTTCATGTGTAACTTTTTTCATTTTCTTTGCTTCTGGTTGGGCAGCAGATGAATTTTTTCTGCAGAACCAAGAAAAGACTAATATTAATATAATCAGAAAAAAGAAAAGAAATCAGGATGATAAGGGTAATAATTCAGTGACATTTACATATTCAGTGAATCATACGTTTGAAAATGTCTCAGTCAAGTTATGCCCTCAAATATCCTGAAAACTACTCATCCTTCCCAATTCAGACCTTCAAAATGATTTAACCCCTGCAATTTAAGTTCACGGGTTTAACTTTTTTTTTTAATATCAAGAAGACTAGTGGTCTAAATGAATCGCATTTATTTTGAACTAAGTCATTTATTTCGCAATGGTGAAAAAAACATTAATTCCAAGTTGAGATATGATTTTTGAGTACTACATGTAGTAGGTGAAAATTGCTATTTTTTTTTCTTGAAGATCAGATAATTAGATTTGGTGCAAAAATCCCATATTAAATTCTTTCAAGTTGTCATAGCATTCTATGTTAGGCATTACTCATAACTCACTTACCCTAATAATAAACTGCATACAAACAGCTTGCAAGATTTGTCTTCTACCATTTTGGAATTCCTACAATAGAAATTTTTGTGTTATACTAATGACAATGAAATAATGTCTATTTAAACAAAGTTATTATCCTTCTCAATCGATTGTATGGGGTTGGATCAAAGGTTAAAATATCATAAAATGTTGTAATAAAAATAATAATGGTCTTGCGTGTCAAAATTCCTTGCATACCATTCTGGATCAACCTTCAAGTTCTTAAAAGCTGTCTGTAAATCTCCTCCACATGTCGTAACGTCAGTCTTTTTACAGGATACCAAACTATCATCTTCCCCAGTTTCTTCATCTGCCATTGCCGACCTGAAACTAAAAAGCTAGAAATGAACTGCGTATCTTGAGTTATTTCCTGAGGGTAATTAGTTGATCTAATCATGTACAAGTGATTGCTATGTTATCAGACATGATTAGATCTTCATTCAACAACAACAATAAGTCTTGAAGTATTCCAATGTTGATTGTTGTTGTCGCTGACTCACAGTCACTGAACGTTCCAAGATGGCAACATTCCATCTCAATTTTACAGATTGTAAATCCGAAAGATAAAAACAATATAAACCAATTGAATTTTAAGTGTTACATTAACAGATTTTAGTTGAAATATTCATTGTTTTACAAATAAAAAACTAAACTCACCTCTCAATTAAGTTGTTGATGTAATTATGTCACGCAATCTGACTTGATCAACGCTGTAGCATTCTTGTGTTGTACGTCATCATTATTTCCGAAAAGGAATAACATGGAATAGCAGAATTTTTCATTAAAACGTTTACTCATATATAAAAACTATTTGACATCATAATAAAATAAATCACACCAACAGTGACAATATTGATTCAAGATAATCAAAATTTATGCTAGTTGTATAGAATAATTTTATTCCGCTTGCAGCCTTATTTTTTACGAGCCCTTTCACATGAACACAAGTTTCGATGACGCTAATGAAGGCTGCGACGTCAGCAGACAGTCAGTCCATGTCTTCACAGCTGTGCCCTGTTTAGCCACCGTTTTAGTCTTTTTCTGTGACAGCATGGAGCTGTCGGAGGTGGTGACACTACAATATGCGGCTCCTGTAGCTGGTGTTCTTTTTTGTGCTCTTTTAGTATTGATCTTTGGATTCAAATCTCCCGTCCAGCCTCCAAGTTTTGACTTCGAATACGAAGAAAAGAAGTCTCAGAAGAAACAGAAGAAGCAAAAGGTAACAAGTGGTTATAACAGAATAAGAGCTTTGATTCTATGTCCCAAGAATAGCGATATATATATTTAGTTTAAATGCAACCATGCACTTCATTTTGAAATCATATTCTAGTGGTGACAAATCGAGTCACATATGGCAAGTCATGTGAATCGACACACCGGCAAATCCCGAAACCCGAGTGGAGTAATTGTAGAGTTAATTCAGATTGAGATTGATGATATAATTCACTTTGCGGTTTGTGTCCATGCCACTTAATTTTATGGAAATAACTTGTTTTTTTTTCAAGCTTATTTTATTTTTTGAAGTATTTTGTGGAGATAAAGAAATTGAATAATTTAGAGCTTTTTCATATGGTTATATTGACAAAATATTTGGATTGTGAACAATATTTGATGCTTCTTTAAATTATAAGGAAATATCTTTTTTTATCTGAGGAAGAGAGATACACCTGGTAATATATGCAATACACATAAGTTTGTCATTTATCAGTATCAGTATACATGCACTTCAATATTCATTAAGAAGCTGTTCAACTACAAACTAAATTACTGAAAAATGCATGACAAAAATCAACTATGGATTAAAACATTGCATTGCCTTTTTATATTTTTCAAGAAATCCACAAGTAACGGACATGTTCCAACAGAAAGCAACCAGGACCCCAACAAGGTGTCGCCACCTCAACCCACATCCAAGCAGGATCAGCAAACAAATAAGCAGCCAACACTGCAGAATAAAGTAAAGGTAAAAAAAAATGGTTTATAATCCAGTATCTGGTAATCTGTAAAGATTATTTCAGCTGATAAAATGGCATTATTTTTCTTTGATATAGTGGTTTGTTTCAGTTCAAGTTGACAAAGACCTTTCAATAAGTGAATGGTGAAGTGGACTTTCACATTTGAAAATATGTGGCAGCATTAGTGTTTTGGTTTATTGTCGTAATGTTTTAAATTGGAACTTACCTGTGTTATTTTAAATCAAACACATTACAAGAGGTAGTTTGCATTGTTCTGCTTAATTGGTTATTGTGTATGTCAGAAAAGTAATCAGTTGGCATTTAACTTGACTGCAGGGTAAAAAAGCTGCTGCCACAAACTCAAAAGCCAACCACAAAACTGAGACCAGTGCAAGCAAACCAGAGGTCACAGAAGAGGATGGTTAGTGCACATGGCTAGACCACTCACACATACACATGCACACACACACACACACACACACACACTTCATAAACTTCTCCATGGTAATAGTGCTCACACCCTGAAACATTTATGATAAAAAGACCGGGATTTGTTCAAAATAATTGAAATTTTCTCTTAAATTTTTTAAAGCATTCATATTGATTTAAGCAAACAGAAATATTGGAAACCTTTAATTTCATTCAATTTAATAATTTTTATGGGCAATTTTAGTTGGAGAATGGACGACACAACTGTCTCGCAAAGATAAGAAACTGCGTGTTAATAAGAAGGAAGATGGTGCAAAGGGTGACAGTGCTGAGTCAGTCAGTGTAGAATTGCAGGGACAAGGGGATAAGAAAAAGAAGGAGGAGCCCAGCAGCACAACACCCAAGTCTGCTAAGTCAAAGAAAGAGAAGAAACAGGTGTGAATATTTGACTTATCTAAGTGATCTGTGGTATTGATGCATATCTTGTCGAAAGAGTCCTTGTAAGTCAGATTTGTTGCTCCCTTTTTTGATATATCTGTATCCTCAAAGTATTTCAGTTTAGATGAATATTTCCACACTGTTGATATTGATAATGGTTACTAAAAGTTGTCCATTTTAGGAAAAGAAGGATGCTAGCAAGCAAGAAACAGAGACAAAACCACTAAAAACAGAAGAGGTTGTGGTAAGTCTTCATATAGTGTACAGTGTTGTGTGTTAAACAGATATACCTGACAATGGTGTCTTATATCCAGACTTTCATAACAGTCATATTTGTTTGTTTTTATTATAATATTGGCAGTGTATTCCATAATCAAATAAAGCAATGTGGTGAATGTCAGTTGACTCTTTCATTGGACATTACTTTTAAATATTAGGCCAAGGTTGTAGATGAAACAGAGTTCCATGAAGTCAGTAACAAGAAAACAAAACCAACTGCTAAGCAGAAAGAAGCCAAGGCTGCTGCAGCTCAATCCACACCAGCTGATGAAAAGCCAGTGAAAGACAAGAGTACAGAGGATGTAGGAGAAAGTCCTAAAGCTTCTCAAACACCAAAGAAAAAGAATAAGAAGCAGCAGTCTCATCAAAATGAAGCAGCAGTGAGTAATGCATTTCATCTTGATGTGTTGATAAGTTTGATAAAATATGTTCTTAAAAAGTAATCCCCGATGTCAATATTCATTTTCTGTTGAATGTTTCTTGAGAGGTTTGAGTTAAGATGAAATTTGATGCTTTGACACATTTTATTTTATATGTTTTATACATTTGATAATCTTTGTGTCTTAGTTCTTTTGGATCACAAATGATAAATTCTTTTTATTATTTTTCATTGCTTCTACTTTTTTCTTGTGTAGGATGCTACATTATCTAGTCCATCGTCTCCAAGTGGCCAAGCCCAAGTGCCAAAAAAAGGTGCTGACTCCAAAACTAGTCTCAGCAACCAACAAAATGATACAAAAGGTAAGTTATTTTCTGATTTATAATTAATGCATTTACATATACCTTTTAAGACAACCTGGAACTTAGGTAAGAAATTACATGCCTGTCACAATAGCCACTGAATTGTATAAAAATTGCTAGTATAACTATAAGAGATTTTTGTTTCTTTTTTGTTTATTATAGGTGCTAGCAATACAACTGAATCTAGCACTAAAACAGAAAGTGTTATCGCATCAAGTACTGATGACAGCAAGGTCAACTTCGATGAGCTTGGAGGAGAAAGTAAGTTTACAGTGCAGTCAAGAAATTAACATATCTGAGAACAAATTTTTAATGTCACAGGTTTTTATGGTCAGGGTAGATTTTTAAAACTTACACTAATGTATTACACAAATCTTCAGTGCTATGATCTTGTAGAACATAAATATATTTCTTTCTGTTGTAGGTAATGATTGGTTGGAGGCAAAGCCACAGAAAAAGAAGAAGAAAGCCAGAAGGGAAAATTAATTTTTTCTTTTTTTTTTTTTTTTATGAAATAAGAATGTGAAACATTCTATTAAATCCAGGAAAGCATCACTTACAAACATTCCTTGTTCAGGGGACATGTGAACCCCATCAGGGCAGTTCAGCATTACAGTATCAATCCAATTCATTTCAGAGCTAGTGGTTTTGAAAAAAAAATCAGTCCAATTGTTACGAAGTAGAATTAATGGAAAGTCGTAAAGGGAAGTTAATAAGCTGTAATTGATGCATGGTGATTAAGGTCACATTTTGATCACTGTTGTGTCTCCATCTACTGTAACAGTATAAGTGGATTTGTTAGGAGTGTGTTGCAGTGGTAAAGACTTAATGTTGAATTGGGTGCTGGTTGGTTGAATGCCAAAGATAGTAGTGGACTCTATTGGATGTCAAACTGGATGTGTTGGTACAGGTTGTTTGAAACATTGAGCTGAAATTTACTTAGTATATCAAAATGATAATGTAAGGCTATGTAGCTGAACCAGTGGGTCACCCCTTATGGTTATATAGCTCACACCACTGTGTGTAGGCCTTGCAGCATGTTGAGGACTGAGCATGTATTTATAATTATAAATTGTTTCATTTTGAAATTTTAAAGAAAGGGAGGTAAAGGGGAGGAAATATTCAATGTATTTTACTAATCTTCAATTATTATTTTTGGAAGGACTGTTGTCATTTGGCTTGTATCTTGCCACAATATGGTCTTGAAAATGGTAATTTTCAGACTGAAGGCTGTGATGTTATGAATTTTCACATATAAATGCTGAACAAGCCACAGAGTATTGTTAAGAAATGATTTAAATATGTAAAATTCCACATTGTTGTATAGGACCAGTTGAAATGAAAAATGATTTGTTATATTTATTGGCTCAGAATGCTGGAGTACGATCTACCTTTTTAAAATATCAGTGTTAAAAAGATTAAACAGAATATTAGTCTGTAACCCTCTAAATATTTTATTAATAGTATAAGAATCTAAAAAATTAGATAGTAAAGATGGTTATTTTGGATGAGAATAATCCCAGGGCTATAAGCCAAACTATATTATTAATCTTTTTGGGGGCACTGCACAAATCCACCCTAATTCCTCAAATTTAGTGGCATTTACTCCTTTGGCTGGCAGAATAGTGGTTGTCCAACTTTTCTTTTGTATATTTGTGAATATGCATACTGTTACTTGTCATATCTTAGACAAAGGCTCAAATTTCTTTCAATAAGAAATTTCCTTTAAGGTATCTGTTAAGGTAAGATTTATTTTTTAGGTGCTCTTGTTTTGATCTAGAGTGTCCCAACTTACAGGCTTTCTGGAAGAACTTGGTCATGTTGGGTGGATGTTCTTCATGCCATGTGAAACACAAAGAGAGACAATGTTGCTGGTAGATAATATATTAATTGAGCTCAAGTTGATTTTACATTGGTCTCTGTAGACTTGGTAATGGTTGATCCTCAAGTTAGTCATAGATTTTGTCTGCAGGGTATGATACTACTGTGTAAAGGGTGAAGGGGACTAATATTTCAAGTATTAATACTTGGCAGTTGGGGTTCAGTGCTTATGTGATGCATTTAATTAAGGTCAGATTAGTTTGTAGGTAGTATACTACTTTATTTGTATATAAACACTATGGCACCTTTTATGCTTAATGATAAGTCTATAAGTGAAACAATTAGACCTATTTGGTTACAGTTGAAAGTGCAGTCAAGTCATTATGTAGGTTACATTTTTTGTGGAAAATCCCACAATTTCAGTGCTAGAATATTGGGCAAGGCAATTTTAAAAACTTTTCAGAGTAATCTGAAGATGTCAATGCAGCAGTTTGCCATTTTGTACTGTACATGATTAGCAGTAATAAAACGAGTGAACTGCATACGAAGTTTGAGTTCTTCACCTGTGGACGTCTTTGAATTGCTTCTAAGAATTCACTTCCAAATTTCTGACTAAGAGCCCTTTGTGTGAGAATTTAGTCAACTCTTGTATCTGGCAACTAGGAATTAATTTTTGGACAAACTTTTTTGCCATATTAATGTGATCTTCACATACAGTTTGTTCTCATTTGGTGGCAGATTGCTAATACTGGGAGGTTGACCTTGGACCTAAATGGGCAAATAAGGCATTCTCTATTCTTTAATCAAAAAAATAATGGTGTTCGAGAAACAAAGCTTTTGTTAACAATCACATTTATTTTTAAGTTCCCCAATTCGCTGTTTCACATCAAAATGAAGAAATCATCTAAAAACAGTAAATATTTGTCTCTGTTAAAACTTGGTGCAATCTAGACCTTCTGGAGTATTGCACCTAATCCTTGAATTCAGTATCTAAGATTTCTTTTTATCGAGCTTATGCTGGGATAAAAGTCAACGTTGCTATCTTCTATATGTAGCCTCTGCCCCCTGTCCATGGAGTGTCCATTTAAAATGGTCATGGCTCTAACCCATATTTGCTTTGCTCTCAATGATCTAGAAACGGAAAAGAAATGTATTGTTTTATAAAGCGTTATATATAAAATAATTTAAATCTTGTTATATGAACAATATAAAATACATAGAGTGAAGTGCCACATAACACAGTAATGGATTTCATCAAAAGAAAATTATAATACATATGAGGAAAACTTACTTCTGTGACTAGACCAGCAGCTATGGTCATGCCGCTGTAACGTAGCATAAATCTACCCAGATCTTTGTAATCTCTGAACATTTCTATGCATATTGGCCGTCCCACTTCTATCTCAATCACGGCATTCATGTTCTTAGTTAAGCACCTGAATAAAATATTAAAACAGCAAGTGTTAATCATTAACACAAAGTAAACATGAACATCTGCTGGAATATTATCTGGGAATAAAAGCAATTGTATGATTATTCTTCATTTATCACCTCTTACATTGTATTTAAAAAAAGGATCATGATAATGTTTGGCATTTCCCTTACCTTGGTTTTTTCTTAACAACCTCCCCTGTCGATTTGTGTAATTGACTAATCAGTTTTCTGATGGTGGCAGGCTCATTCAAAGTTTGGTAGTGGAGAACAACCTTTTTGAAAAAGGGAAAAATAATCTGAATTACTTGAAGACATCAGCATTATAAAACTCCATGAACAAAAAGTACATCCTAAACTTCGAGAACTCGTACAGTAACTGTCAAAAATTGTTGGTAAATTTTAATCTTCATTTAAAGCTTTTAACATTACTACCACTCACCGGAAAACCTTTAGTTATTGGCACTTCAATGTTAAAGATGACCACTCTCGCTTTTATTCTTGTTGCTGACTTAATTGGGTTGGCGGGGTCACAAAGGATACTCCCTGAAGGTAAACAGGAAAGTATTAAACACGTCTTAACTTAATCAATTTCCTAAGATGGTTTAATATTTAACTTCCTATACCAGAACTTAAACTTGGAAAACAGACAAGAAATATTACTTAATATCATTTTCTATTAGGCACTTTATTTCTCAAAACAATTCATGCTTTCTGATACACTTCACATTAATACAATCCTGAGCTACACAAATTTCCCTCTTATTGTTTTGCTCAGAACATTTTATATTGAGCTTTCATTCCAATCAAGTATATCAAAATGACACACTCTTTGTGCCTATGCTCAGTCTTACCTATGTGCACATTGGACATATCAATCCCAGTAACAGTGACAATAGCATTGTCACCAGCTAAGGCACAGGGACATAGCACTTCATCAATGGTCACACCTGTAAATAAACATTTATTTCTTCAGTTCAGCAATCACTACAGAAACTGGACTTGCTGGACATTTCTTTTCTAATATGTATGATCAGTTCTGTTCATACTGATCTAGCAAAGAAGCATTATTTACATCTGTTGCATGCAAAATGTTTAACTAAATGTATATAAACACACACACACACACACACATACAAATATTTGAGATGACATATATTTTTTAACCAATAGTATTATGTAGAAGTCCAAGTAAATGGCATACTTTTATATTCAGTAGGTGTTGAAGGCAAAATGGTATAGATTTGTCTAAAAAGTTCAAACTGGTTCTTAAATTAATATCGACTTTAATGTTAACTGAAATAAGCACAACATGCACACTCATTGAATTTGAAATATGAAACACCAAGTGTCTACATTAAAATTATTTGACAGAACTGTCTGGTGACTCACTTTTTACAGTGGCAGTTTCTCCTGCTGGCATTACAACCACCTTGTCTCCCGCCTGCACACTACCAGCCTCCAGACGACCACTGATGGAGAACCCACTCCCCATCCCTTTGAACACATCGGAAACACACATCCTAAATGGTTTGTTTACCAGGCGCTCTGGGGCTTTGAATTTATCTGGAAAGTAACAAAATGTATTTTTGAAAGTTACCTTCAATGATTGCCATGATTGCTACTCTTTTTTTGATACAACTATATCATTTGTGAAACAAAAGGCACAGAGCACTTGTGATGTGTCACATTCCTCACCTATCTGTTCTAATAATGTGGGACCCTTGTACCATTCCTGGAGCTTAGCCTCTGTTACCCTGGTTAGGTTTTCACCTCCAAGACCACTGCAGGGAATAAAGCTCAATTCAGCCTCTTTAAACCCTGCCTGTTTCAGAAATTGTTTCATCTTCTGGGTTACTTCATCAAATCTTTTCCTTGACCATTCAATTGTGTCCATTTTGTTGACCACTACAGCAAGCTGCGATACGCCTGATTGAAAACAAATGTGGATAATTTAGATGGAAAGTCTTCTAAAGTATTTAATCAAAAGTTCAAAATAAATGACCGATTCTTTTCTGTTTTTGCAATAAATGTAAAAGTGCATTCAATGATAAAAGGACATACAGTATGCATGTGTAGACATGAGAGGGTACCAAGATTCCAAGTAAATTGTAAGTGTAAACTAAATTACTGCTTATATCATAATATCAAGCAGGTCATGAAACAATTTCTACTAAATCTAAAAAAAAATGTGTTAAGTACTATAATTGTTGATAAACATAATCTTATTTTGGCCTCTTGATGTATGGTGACTTACCTAAAGACCTGACTAAAAGGGCATGTTCTCTGGTTTGACCACCAGCTTCAAAGCCAGTTTCAAACTCTCCTTTGGTGGCATTCACAACCATAATTGCTACATCAGCTTGAGCAGCACCTAAATGATTCAGAATGACAAGTAAAAACCTAGACAAGACTGGGAAAATATAATTAACAAAATGATTATGGAAAAGCTAGATTTAAGAGAAAAAGGAAGAATTTTCAAGAAAATTTTCATATTTTATACATCAGCATAGAGAAATATATTTAACTTTCCTAAAAAACCCTTAAGCCGGGCTCCCAATAAAACTTGACGTATTTTAAATATATGAGTCAATTTAAAGAAATCAAAATACAATAATCTACATTTTAACATTAACTTCAGTATTTTCAGTATCAAAATGCAATAACATAAATTTAACAAATATTTGGCATTTTTATTGAAAGAATTATCTGGATTAAAATGGTCCTGTGACGTGTCTTTGATCTGTAAATTGCTTTTATTCTATACCTGTTATCATATTGGGAATAAAATCTTTATGTCCTGGTGCATCTAGCAGGGTAACTATCCTGTTGTCAGTCTCAAATCTGGTTTGAGCTATATCCATTGTGACACCACGGCTCCTACAATAAAGAGAGGAATAAAATTAAATAAAGTTTAAAAATACATAAAAATTGACATTTAAAACTTATCTGATCTTAAACCATTTAGGTAAAAGAGCTACATTTTCCCTGTTTTCATTTAAACTAGATTTGTATATCATTAAAAAGTAAACAAATCCTACCACCAAATGCATTCATTTTTACAATTTCTGGTTTGTCAAGAGTGCTAAAACCTATTTTCTTAAGGTTTCTTCATAACTCTTGCTGTGCCACACCTACCTCTCTTCCTCTGTTTCATCAAGGACCCAAGCATATGCAAACGATGCTTTGCCTATCTTCTTTGAATCCTGTTCATACTTGTGCATAAGTTTCTTGTTCACAAAACCAAGTTGATACAGAAGATGACCCATCAGAGTGCTTTTGCCTGCATCCACATGACCTGGAGGCATAAAAATAATAAAATGGGTGAATTTAAAAAAGGACACAATTTGCAATTTCATCACATATCAATATTTCACCAAATATGCTGTTTTTTTAATTTTTTTATTTATTTTTTTTTTTTTTACAATCCTACATATCTTCAAAACTAAAGTAACAGTAACCACTTTACAGTTTGTTATGGTGAGATGAATTCTTTTGTAATCTTGGTTTAAATAACCTATGCCAACAAAAACTATAAATCAAAGCTTGCTGTCTACACCACAATACTGCCAATTTCTCAACTTTAACAGACATAATTTAGACTTACCAATGACAACCAAATTTAGCAATTCCTTTCCTGTTTTTCTTTTCTCTATCTCTTTTTGGACATCAACTTTATCCTGTTTTGTCCTAGAACAAAATTAGTTAAAGAAAAAATCATATCCTCAAATTAGTATTATACCATTTTAAACACAACCTAGCCTTTTTTCTTTAAAACGAATAACTTTCAGCCAGGTCATATTTGATCCAATATGTGCCCTTTGGCAAAATAGCATTATAAAAGCAACAAAATCATACTTATCCATTCTATATAATCATCTTTGGCAAAATTACTAAACTTGCAAAAGTAGCAAGAGCTGAAATACAGAAACTCGGACAGTATTGTACAAATCTGTACAAGCAGACTCAAGTTACTTTGTTTCTGAGTAAACCGATTCTAAATTTTTCTGAAACAAAGGGAAATGAAAAATACCTGGAAACACTCCTAGTAATTCCAGGAGTTGCACAAGCCCCATCAACAGCCTTGCTGCCCCTCAGTGGCGATGCCTCAACATTGGCATTTCTTACTTTCTCTTCCTTGTCACTATCCACATTGTCAGAGTCGCCTCCAGCTAAACCTAGACCTGCTTTTTTGTCATTGTCTTTTAGAGTGAAACCCTTTGCCGGTGTTGCTGTCTTAGAAAATGTCATCCTCACTCCTTCAGATCCATTGGCCAGATCATTGGCCTTGACCTCAATTTCATTGTCCTTGACCTGGATATTTTTCTGATGCCAATCATCTCCAGCAGGTGGTTTGTCTAATTTAAACTCTGTATTGAGATTGGTTCCTGAATGAAAAGTTAATCTTAGGCTGCTTTTAAAAACTGAATTGAAATGAATATAAGTTATAAAAATTAAAACCCATATTAGGCACCCCTGGTTCAGCAATGTAAAAACAACTTCAACAACCTTAAGTAAACTATCAAACTTTCAAACTACAAAAAGAGGGAAACGAAGGCAATTTATAATGATACATTTGCAACCAGACAGCTTGTGAATAGAAAACTATTATCACAAGACGTTTCTACTTAGTAGGGTATAGATGCCAAGGGTTCTGTTTAAACATTTTTTTAGCTATTGTATTTTGAATTAAATGAAAAAAAAAACTGTCCTTAAGAAAATAATTCCTAAATAGAGGGAGAGGTTCAAACATGAAAATAAATACATAGCAGAATAGAGAAAATTATAGCATCTCAGACTTCAAGGCCACTTACTGTCTGTCAACTTCTGCTTTCCAAATGCTCCCTTCTGCTTTTCTTTAACAATATCATCTGGTGAAGGGGTCGAGAAATCAAATAATTTTATGTGTTTCAAATTTTGAGCAGTGGGATTCTTGGTCATTTGTTTTGCAAAACGAAACTTTTTAAGTTGTCTGTTATTTGTTCGACCTGGCTTCTGCTTTCCACAGTGGGAGCAAACTATAGTTTTCCCAAATTGTGAGGGTTTTGAACAGTACTTTGAAATGTTTTTGGGGAGTTCTGATAACAGTAATTTGATACCAACAGCAGGTTTGTTCAGTGACTTTTCTATTTTTGTAAACATCAGTGACTTGGGTTCTTCTTTAATAGAACTCTGAGTAGTTTGCCCAGTCAAATTTCTTTGATCTTTCTTACGCACAGCAGATGTCAAGTCTATAACTTGTGAAACATCTGAAGATTTTGTAACCACATCTTTTATACCAGTCGAAGGCACTTGGGGGGATGGCCTCAGCACTGACATATTTTGAAAAAGGTTCGATTCCCCTTGTGTTTTTGATTGAAGAGTAGGGTTTGGAGACTGCAAAAACTGCAATTGACTGGATGCAACAGTTTTGGAGTGTTGGCCAGCAAGCTGGGATAGGGAGGGACCCCCAACCACGTTAGATTCCAAATGCTGAGCAGCAAGATGTGATAACGTAGAATTCCCACTTTTACTAGTTTTAGAGTGCAGTGAAGCCAGTTGTGATAATGATGGCTGTCCAGATGAATTAGAAGTTGATTGTTGATTAGGAAGATTAAACAGTGCTGGACTTCCATTCAGTTTTGCACCAGTAAGTTGTGACAGAGTTGACTGCTGCCCAATGTCTTTAGCTTGAAAATGCCGTGTAGCAAGTTGTGATAGCACAGAATTGCCATCTGTGGTGTTTTGAGTATGCTGGCTAGCAAGCTGAGAGAGTACACTCTTTCCACCTTTATTCTGAATTTCTGGTTGGGTCTTTGCCAGAGATAAATTACTGGTGGAAGTAGGGGCTTTAGTGTTGATTCTGTTGCCTACTGGTGAGTCAGGTTTTAAACCACCCCAAAAGTCAAGTTTCTTGGGCTTTATAAGACCACTTTGGATTGCATTGTTAGCATTTGAAGTGTTTGTGTTTTGTGTTTTAATATCTTGTATGGATTGAGCATCAAGAGATAGATTTTTAGTAATATCAGATGAATCTTACCTTAGATGAGCCACAGTCCAAGCAAACAATATACCATGGAATCCAATCAGGCAGCAGCAGACAAAGTAAAAGTGCACATGAAAAACAAACATAAGGGCATTATATTAGCGGAGTTTGTCTGTCATCTCCACACGAGCACATGCACTGTTAGTGTTACAGTAAATAAACATACCATAAGATGATAAATGGTTTACTAAATAATTGACGGGGAAAAATGAAAGGTGCCAAACATTCAAGTCCTACTTGTGGCAATAAAAAAAAATTCTATTTGATCAAACAATATGTCTATAATTTCAACAGTCAGACTAGTCTTACCTCGAAATTTTCTCTGCTCTTGAGCAATCTCTGGAGGTTTTTCTTTAACTGAAATTAATCATAATCATGGTGTTAATACACCTTTCATCATATCTATATGCAGGAATGCCTATAGTATGATACTAAGATACTTCTTGATATAACTTGATATGTAAATTTATTTGCCAAGCAGATCTTTATGTTCAATATGAAAAATTTTAAAGAGAAAGTGAATAACCTGGACTTGACTGCTTTGTAAGGAGTGCATTCAGAGCTTTCTCTATATTGAATCCGTTGCTGAGAACAGCTTCCACAAGCACATGCTCTGGGAAGGCTTCACCCATCACATCTCTTATACCATCAAGGCAAGAATTCAGGCGAGCTGAAAAATTAAAGGATATGCATTCTAATGCATATTTAAGTGTTAAAATAAATAAATTTGTATTTGATTCAAGGATGAATTAACTTTCAATTTACATCTTATAAAATATTTAGGTACCTTCATCTACATCATTTAGAAGGGGCCTCCTGTAGTTTCTGGAATCATTTAAGGGATCTGGACTGTCACTCTCACTTCCTTCCTCTTCTTCAGGAATATCATCTTGTGACATAAAGGCTGACAGTGAATGGCCTTGGTTGCGGTCAAATGTAAACTGGGCAGCTAAAAAAAAGCAAAGATTCCACTTATAATATATCCCTTCTGCCTCCCTCCCCCCCCAAAAAAAAACAGGCACACACACACACACACACACACACACACACACACACACACACACACACTTAGAGTTTTCATATATCATTTGAATGGGTGACCAATGACACATTTTGCACAAAATTTGAATGAATATTTGCCCCATCTCATGATTTTGACACACACAACTTAACTTATTACATAATTTAAACAATATCCATGGTAAATTTACAATTGTACACAGTGGACTTGCAGTGCAGAATGCCACAGTTGTTCCTACCTGTGCCAGGTGAAATACAGTAGTCATCTTCAATAGAATGACCATATATGTCATCTTCATGCTCACACTCTGCAAGGAATTCATATATGTTGTCATAATACTTTTGGTCTGTATATAAAAAGTACGTACACCCCTTACAATATTTGTAAATAATTAATAAAAATAAAAAGCTATGAAAATATATTAACCCATTGTAGCCCTNGACGGCATCGGCATCGGCGACGGCGACGACAGACGCAGGCGATGGCAATATGTACAGACACATCTGTGTCTGTACATAAAAAAAAAAAATCCCCCCTCCCCCCCATCGAAGTCGGTTGTCGCAAACGTCGTTATTCAATTTGCCAGAAAATGTGCTTTCTGCGCATGCGTATTACTGCCACGTGGAAATATGGCCGCTTTGCCATCAAATTCATCTCTAGGATTACTTCCAAATTACAGGACAATTAATTATATAAAGTCATAAAGAGAATGGGGCCATCGTTTTGGGTTGTTATGCCATTGATATTGGGCATGGAGATATCCACTTTTTTACAATTATGCGAAAGGCTGGCGGCGGCCAGCAATTATCGCCCAGAAAAATTCAGTGATATTCTGTCCAAAGCAACACATACCAGGCTTTTTGTAGTGAAAAAAAAGGGTCGACAGGGCGTCGAGGTATCTGGTGGGCTGTAGGTCAGTCAGGCCACCCGACAGTTTGGCTGCTTCATGTGAGTCGAAGTTGACCAAATGGCATCGACCAAAATGACCTTTTATAGAATTGGTAGTATTAAGCATATCTTTGCATCATTTTTTAACATTTCTGTGTAGTGTTCATAATGCTTTAATATTCTGAGAGTACAAATAAAGACATGCTGTTTGTTTGATATTTGTTTTATTGATTGTTATACCAACAAAATGCATGAAATAACCTTAAATAGATTGGGTAATATGCAGCACGTCTATTAGGCCCGTAGCCAGCAATTTCAAAAGGGAGGGGGGGTTCTTTTTTTGAAAAAGTGGACCATTTTCCATAAAAACTTAAAAACTTAACTTGCTCAAACTACTGAATATTGATTAGTTGCTATAAATAACTTCACTGTAGTTATTTATAGCAGCAGTCTGTCTGATCAGCATGTCGGCATCTTTTTATTTGACCAGTTTGTTGTCATGACTACAAATTGCTGTCAATCAAGTTACTGGATCAGACCAGAATTCCTTGGTACTAGCAACAGGTTTTGTCAAAACAACACTGTCTCCGAAGCAAGTGTAATGTATGCATTATCTCATAGAACATATTGGTTAGGACCACTTAGCAGACTGAGGGGTGTAGTATTCTATTTCCTTTTTTGTTTATATTTTTTATTTATAATTTTAATATCCATGAGTTAATACATTTTCCTTTGCTTATTGCCTTTTAAAAGCAATAAGACCCTGGCAGTTACATAAATACCCTATGAACTATTCTTGACAATGTGGGATAGTTGGGTTTATGCCATGGCTACCCCTCCGCACTTTGTCCTGGTAAAGTCCTTGAAAAGTTGTTTTTACAAATGTATAACCAAAAGAATTGTAACCAAAAAAATTGCTTGACATTTGTTTAATTACCCTTACAGCACCTATGTATTTTAAATTAGAAGTGGCATTATATACCGATGTAATTAGAAATAAATTGTTAGAAAAGAGCTATTGTCAATAAAAAGAAAAGGAATTTAAAAAAAGGATTTTGATTGTACATAAAAATGGAAAGAAAGGTATTATAAAAATATGAAAAGTAAGGGTAACTATATTCAGTATTACATATTAAAAAGGGAATTTTTTCAATATTAAATAATTATATATATATTTTAAATCGATTTTACCACTCCATCAACTGAAAATTAACCTGATTGACTTTGTTATTCACTTGCTCTACTTCTATAATAAGGTTTGCAAGAAAGTACAGTATGGTACCACAACTCTTTACAACATCTGCTTAAACTTTTTAAATGAATTATTTAAATTGGGCTAGTGTTTTTTGGTTCGGGCTAGTAAAGTTTGAGAGTCTGCTAGCCCGAAGGGTTTGGCACAGACTGGATAAGTGGTTCTTAATTTCATAAAGCACTCTCCTTGCTTTCTTCTTAGCAGTATATAGAAGATATAACGCAGTATTCAGAAGATATAACGCATTCTTTCACTGAAAAAGGGATTTCCCCATTCCGCCCATTAATGATGAATCTTGATTCTTATCATGCAGGTATATGTATTTTCACTTTTCCTTCAATACCAAAATGCAAAGAAATGAATCTTTCATATACTGTTAATACTTTTAAAATGTATATGTAAAAAATAAGAGGTTTAGTGTTATTTCACGTCGACTTTGTTTACCTGTTACGAGTAATGTCCTGGTGTGCCACTAAGGTCGACCGGAACTCTGGTGTAGAATTTTCTGCTCTTCAATATGGGAGAGGGGAAAAGGCCAGTAAATGCTGTAGATCCACGTACAGTACTGCGCCTTGAATATCTCTCACGGACGTTCGAAGTGTTCTGGTGTATATTGCTTTGGTAAAAATTTATACAATCAAACACACCCTTGAAATTCCCAATTGCTCATCGCGGGGATTGCCCTTGGAAATCCCCTTAGCTGAACTCACGCTCGGCTGTCACCTTGATTGGATAGTAAACGATTGTCGTAAAATCGCTAAATGATATTAAAATCGGGTACATAAACTTAAAAACCACCTAGGACAACCTAAGACTGCCACATTAATCCAATACAATGCAAAAATAAACTATAACAAGTGGTTAAAGCCTTCAAAACGAATGTCGTAAAGTCCCAATATACCTCCATAGAGACAATAAAATAGAATGAGCTCATTCTATTTTAAGCTCACGAACGAAACGGAGTGCCTCGATATAAAACCAGAAAACTTTTTTGTTTTTAATCTCCAAATACTTTAAAAAATCAATTAAGTTAATATAAAGGCCGGGAACAAGAACTTCTTAAATCGTACTTTTTATATTAATGATTATTAAAGATCATAATAATAAAAGAGTCGCATTTCAATTTACTCCATGCTATAGTCTTTATTGAAAAATAGCAATTTTTACGAGATTACAAATTGCATCGTATTGTTTGGTTCCATTGCCTCGCTTTCAAAAATTAGAACTGGCGCTGCAAAACCGGGAGACGAAGTTAAAAAATTTATATTGGCCGAGTTCGCCCTGGAACAAGAATGTCCTCGCAGCATTATCTGCAATTAACCTTCCTACGATTTTAAATACATTTTGCAACGTCATTTTCAATCTGGCACATGGCGCATTTTATGTATCAAGAGTGGGGGAGGGGTGAAAAATCCCAATTGGGGCCACATATAACACTATAAATACAATGGGGATCCCCTTGTAATTACCCTAGGTTCTAGATTCCGGTATTGTCAGCTCGATCTTGATTTCATATATAACCCATATCAACAATACTCCACCACGAGGTATATTTAGCAAGCTAGCTTTTACGTTTCTCTGACACTCAGGGTACTTGTAATGAAGCTAAAATAAATGTTATTCTAAGGAATTCCGATGGATTTACTTTTTAAAACATAAAATCAATAAAACATTTCTAATATAAATTTTCAAAAAGACACCAGAGAGCAAATGAAATAAAATCAACCAGACGGTAAACACCGGCAGGCTTTGTCAATTTCACCAACTTGTTTATTTCAAACAGCGCACTTTTCGTGCATGCGCAGTTGTTTGAAGCCTGTGCTTCTATTTTATTGTCTCTATGGAGGGGACTTTACGACATTCGTTTTGAAGGCTTTAACCACTTGTTATAATTTATTTTTGCATTGTATTGGATTAATGTGGCAGTCTTAGGTTGTCCTAGGTGGTTTTTAAGTTTATGTACCCGATTTTAATATCATTTAGCGATTTTACGACAATCGTTTACTATCCAATCAAGGTGACAGCCGAGCGTGGTTGCGTTGGATCAACGTTGAAAACAGGTTGATCTACCCAGAAATTCAAAGTTAAATCAACGTTGATCCAGCCACGTTGACTCAACGTTGTATTTTGGTCAATGGCACAACCTTGCAGTTATGGATTGTAATTTAAAATATTAATTATTGAAAACGTACGTGATACTTTGTTTATCAATACTGTGACTAAATTTATCAAAATAATAATAAAATGGTTTTAAAGTAAAAGTGACAGTTGTTTTGTGTCTTTAGTTAACTAGTGAATTTTCTTAACTTTTTATTCAGAAATACATTCTAATAAACTGAATTGCTTGCAAGGTCAGCTTACACTAAGATGAATAAGTTGCTGTAAATGTGATGCAGTTAACAGTTCTTGGTAACCTGTTATAGATAGACAGGTTGACGGACTGAGATCTTGTTATATATAAACCTTGGAAATTTTAACTTAAAGGCCATACATTTATACCCTACATATATTTAGCCATCAAACATGCCCTACTGCTAAACACATCCAGGTAAACTACCCGCTGGGTGGGGTTGATATAACATTGTTTTCTGACGTTGATACAACATTGTTATCTGAGGTTGACACAACTTTCAAATCCAACCTTTATTCAATGTCTTTTCAAAGTTATGGTTCAACGTTGTTTCAACGTTAAAACAACATAATTTGCCCGCTGGGTGTTTTACCACAAAAATGGCAGTTATAGCTATTATTCTGATATCTGAGCTTGTCTTTAGACCACGTGACCTCCATTGATGGCTATATACTCTGTTAAAATCTCTTAACTTATTTTAACAAGAAACCAAACTTTTTAGAAAAAAAAAAAAAAAAAAAAAACAGGGACTAACTTTGAATGTAAAAATGGATTCATTAACCATTTGTAAGTATGGGAAAATTGTTGTTTAATTACTACAGGAAAATTCATTTTTTGGCCGAAACGAAGAGTTATTATCCCTATAAGGATAATGTCACCCAAAACTACTTACAAATATTCTTTTGGGTAATACATGAATCATAAGTGTCTATGCAGTGACAAAATTAATTAACGTTTACACATATGTCATATTACGGGTGGCGTAGGATCTTTCGATAACTTTAAATCAAATTTGACAGAATAACGTCAGTTCAATGCATTCAGCTTTCTGGTTAAAAAAAATACTAAAATAATAAAAAAATAAAAACTTGACATCACCAAATATTGGCCTAATGGCGGCTTATTAAACATAAAAAAAAGACTCTGGCCCAACAAAAGT